TTTATTGTTCATCTAAATTTTACCTTTGTTTTTATTAACATTTTTTACCTTTTACTGAGACTCTGTGTTTTATGTTATCTTATTTACGCATTGTTTATTATTAAATACTTGAGGTTTCGTTGTTAGCCATACGATCTTCTTATTGTAGGTAACCAATGGGAATAAACGCGACGCATTCCGATCTCAGTTGACTTCTTCGTCAGTACGTAATATGTGATAATGTGAAACTTTACAGCTTCAGGCTAAGAGAGAGATCAGAGACCTGGTAACTTTTGATTTCATTCGCGTGACATTGAACTTGATTTCGATGGTTTGTCTCGGTATACCTTCAATGTTTGCCGCAAGGGTTCACATAATAAGTAGTCGCTTATGAGTAAACAGATGATTCATAACTCCGAGATACGAGATATGAATTGATGATTTTGCAACACAGCTTTATTTATTGACTTTGTTCAAAGTAATTTCCACCACAATCAAAACACTTCTCCATCCGCCAAGAGCAGTCCTTAAACCAGCTGATGAACATGTATCAACGTGCAGTACAAGCAGCCTCCTGCGTCCGTTTATTAAGTTATATTGCAAAACCCTTTGTAAGATGTTTGCAGCCCAGAAGAAATCGTTGCTTTTGCCCTCTGGCAATTCTTGAATAAAATCAGATAGAATAAGAAACCTATTTATCTACGGCTTACACGACAGACATTATCCTCCAAGCCTTTCAAAACTTTAATCTGTCCATTATCCGGTGAAACAGCGATTGTTTTCATGTAAAACTGTGCAATTTAATGAAGGGCAACACAACTACGTACGTTCAGTAACAGGTGATTTGTGTCGCAATGCATTGTTTTTGATTAAATTTGCAAAATCGTGCGCAGGTTATTTTTAGATGAATGGGCAATTACGTCTAGTGGTACATACCCTGCTGCAAGGAAATGCATGTAAAATACGCCATGCCACGACAGGTTGACACAAAATCTACTTGACATAAAAATCTTAAATTACGCAACGGCTATACTCCAGCCAGCATTTTATCGAAATGGGCTACCACCCAAGAATAAGTCACTATATTTTTGTCTATGACACTTTTCAGAACCTACTCCTTTTTTTTATCTAAATCAATCACCAAACGCTAGTAATGAACGCTCCCCGATACGTCATCTCTCTCTCTCTCTCTCTCTCTCTGTAATTTAAAAGGATAAAATGATCGCCGTCAAGAATTTTTTCCTATCACATGAACGCAATATGGAGTGCGATTGTGGAATAATTCATACACATCTCGCCACCTTTTCAAATCCAATTTGTAAAGAAACAGCTCGATATACCTAGAGACGGGTTAAAGGGCCGAATTGGATATCGCAGATTTTTCTATATTAAATATCATTCTTATATTAGCACACTCATATAGTTTCTATCTTTCTTATCAAGATGAGAATCTCCAGTTTTATTTCATAAGCTGTACTTACCTACTTTATCGTTGTTTTGGGGCTAGGCTAAAGCCACAACTTGCTTTCTGTTTCGAGAGTATTCTATATAATGCCTACAGAAAGGACTTACTAAACAACTCGGTGGGCCGGTTGGCCTTCTTCGTGTTCCTCTACATTCTTATATCCACACACGACACACTCGCATTAACATGCTTAACACTATAAAAGGGCAATAACTAAAAATAACTGTACTACTCAGCATTCAGAAACTGCTTTCTTAACAAAAACTAAGAGATAACATGCTTTAAATATAGTCTTTAAGTGGCCAAAAAGAAACGAGTTGAACTATTTTTTCTAGGTGAAACACTTGATAGCCCTGTCAGTGATCGTGTCCAAGATCCCGCCACACAAATTTCGTTCATTCTGCTACGCTTTATAGACAAAATTTACGAGGCCGGATCCCAGACACTGTCACCGACCACTGAACAAACAAACCGCTAATGTTTTTTTTTTTTTGGTGAGGGGGGAATGCATTTACGCACCATACCATAGCCCGAGCTACGGCGTGTGTGGGACTCCAGGGTCTTGAGGAGATCACCTAATACCCACTAAACCCTAAACCTCCGCGTGGCCTGACTCATCAGCGTCTCGGTAGGCCATGTGCATGACCTGCGGTCTGCTACAACGTCTCCTCATGTGTTTCAGTCTCTGGGAACGCCGGGTTGGTTCCCTTTACCTCGCACATTCTATTGATGTCGTTAAGCGATCATCGATAGAGGGTCTGCTGGTTCTCTTGAAACTCTTGTTTTCGAAAAATCAAGAGTTTCAAGTCCTCTTACCAATATGTTGTTCCTGGTCCTGGTCCTGAAGGGTCCTGGTCCTGGTGGGTCCTGGTCGTGGCGGGTCCTGGTCCTGGTTGGTCCTGGTCCCGGTGGGTCCTGTTCCCGGTGGTAACTGGTCCTCTGCATCCACGCCGTGGGGGGGGAGCAACCGCGAGTTCTCCTAGTCTCCTAGTCAAGGTTCCAGTTTGCGGGTGCCAACTGGGACCTTGGTCTGGGGTACCTGGTTCTGCGGTTGCGAGGCCTCTCGTCCGGATCGTAGTCCATGAGGAATCGTAGCTGCTCGTTCGGGTGGTCCTGAGCTTTCTCGAAGGTCTTCTCCGCTTTTTTCCTCATGTACTCGTGGATGGTGTCCCAATGCAGGTCTCTACGCAAGGTTGAGTTTCTTACGTAGGATGGTGCACCGGTGGCGATCCGGAGTAGCTTCATCTCTAGAGCAGCAAGTCGCTTGCGGTAGCTGGGGGCAGCGTACCCCCAGACCGCGGAGGCGTAAGCGAGCTGAGGTCTGGCGATGGCCTTGATCAGCCATAGCTTGGTCGCTAGCGGCATCCGGCTGTGTCTACCCAGTAATGGGTAGAGTTGAGCCATGGCTGCTCTGGTCTTTGCGATGACAGCTTCTATGTGGGCTTTCCAGGTGAGGGACTTGTCAAATACGATCCCCAGATATTTGACTTTGTCGCTCCACTGGATATCTTCGTCGAAGATGGATGCTTCGAGAGGTCTTGCAATCCTTCTTCGTTGAATGAAGATTGCCTGCGTCTTCTGGACGTTGATGCGGATTTTCCATTTCACGCACCAGTCCTGGATGTGGTCCAGTTCATCCTGTAGTCTCCTACGGATGATCTCGGGTCGTCTATGCTTGGCGGCTATAGCAGTATCGTCTGCATATAGGGCCAGCATTGTGTCAGCTGTCTTCGGCACATCGTGAGTATAGATGTTGTAGAGCAGGGGGGCTAAGGCTGACCCCTGGGGCACGCCTGCTTCCAGCTGTCGTCTTGTTGAATGGCATGTACCAATCTTCACCGTGAACCATCTTTGTGTTAGATAGCTCTGGATCAGTTGGCACATGTTCGCATCGATTCCGGCGGCTTCCATTTTGGCGATGAGTCCATCGTGCCAAACTCGATCGAAGGCTCGTTCCACGTCCAGCAGGACGAGACCGGTTGCCTCCTGGAGATTGAAGCCGCTGGTGATGTTTTCCGTCAGTCGTAGCGCTTGGAGTTCCGTGTTGTGGGAGGATCTGAAGCCGAATTGCTCTGGGGGGAGAAGTTGCAGTTCTTCTGCCTGCTTCTCTAGTCGAACGGCGATAGCCTTTTCGACTACTTTGCCCATCGAGGAAACCAGGCTGATGGGCCGGTAGTTCTGGGGCAACTTCCGGTCCTTGCCTGGCTTGGTGAGCATTATAACCTGGGCTTCCCGCCACCGCCGCGGGAAGTGGTTAAGTCTCAGAGTGGCATTGGCGATGTTGGTGAGCGCAGCAATGCCTTTGGTGGGAAGGTTCTTCAGCATCCTATTGTTGATGCCGTCCCTTTCCGGCGCCTTTCTGACCTTCAACCTGCGGATGATCAGACGGATTTCCTCTGGACTGGAGGGGTGATCCGTCTCCTGGCGAGGTGGTCGACTCCTCATGATTTCGGCTGCGACTTCCACGGCCTCCTCGTGGTTGTCGTCCTCGTCTTCGTGGTAATTGAGTCTGCATTCGGATTCTAGCGAATCGGCGAATGCTTCGGCTTTTTCTTCACTGGAGTAGGCCAAGCCGCGTTGGCCGTGAAGAGTGGGGATCGTGGTGCGCTGACGACGGAATTTTCGCTGCATAGTCCAGGCCGTACCATCCTGGGTCTCTAGTTCTGCACAGGCTGCATTCCATCTGCTGTTTTGGAGTTCCGCGAGTGCGTTCTTCAGAGCTAGCGATGCTCTGTTTCGCGCAACTCTCGACTCCTCTGTCAACAGTTGGAGATGTTCTCGCTTGAGTCTTCTGTTCTCCCTGATCAGGTGCCTAATATGGTGCGGTGCTGGACCATTTAGGTGTCTAGGAACTGCCGTAGTCTCGGAGCGGGTGCTGTCCTCGTGCGCTCGCAGGACAGCATTCTCGCTAATGTCACCGAGTATATGTATACTTATACGAATCTATGAATGTCTAAGTATAGTACCGCTAGGTGATTAGCTGTGATAAAGCTTATGAGCCGGCTTGACGCGTCTGCCTATGGACGAGGACTTTCTTCTTTTGCCCATAATTTGCAAGGAATGCAACTGATACATGCAAATGCGTATTCACAAGCGTTGCTTTATTTTTACTTTATTTACTGATTAGTCTACGGATCAGAGAAAACGATCGGCATTCCATATTTCGATCTATTTTTAAATCACTTGCCCACATAAAGTCCTCGACAGAATCGGATTTGGTTAGAGATGTTAAAAAATAATCAATTTGTTCATTTGATCGATTTTATTCTTTCCTCATATTCGATTTTCTTGATAATGAGCGGCGCAATTTTAAGAAAACGTTGTTTTTCATTTTTTTTTTTCAGGTTATATCACGCGGTAGATTTTCTAAAAATAGATCTATCGGAAATAAAACCGAGGGAATGTTTGGATACAAAACGCGTTCCAATATCTCGCAGAGCCGGACTGGCAAGTTGTCAAAGTTGAGCGTTTTTTTGTCAATTCATCAGCTTATAACTCAACAACTGATGATCAAAATCCTTTAGTGTATAATGTCTATTGAATACAGGGTGAGGCTTTTTTCGAGGCTTTGCTTCTTCTACTGCTGACTGTGTATTTATTTTCTGGTGTTTGAAACCTGTCTTTCAATTCCAGGAGCCAGTCAAAGTCTTCGTACCTAGCCCCGCGACGCGATAGAGACCGAATTATCCCGGATTCGGAAACTGGCAGCTATAAGCGAACTATGTCCCCAAATGGCCATGCTCTCACCGCTGAGGACTCGCAGAGGATCAACAGTAGGGAAACCGTGTGGCCAACAGCCGGGAAAGAAACCATCATCAAGAGAGCTTCAGTTGAAAAGAAACTAGACGATCAGAGGTATTCAGCTCATCTAGGATTAGAATAACTTAGGCCCGGTTTTTCAGTCGCTGGTTAACTTTCAAGTTTGGTAACTATACTATAACTATCTAAAACTGTAACGACTCATCGATGTTCACGTGACCATCACTTAACTACCAGTAGTCGACTGTTCATAGGCGGGGTATGAATGTTTAACATGGGTGAACTAGATTTGTCACATGCTTAATAAAGAGTGGTTTGAAACATATTGTAAGTCAAAAATTTGGGAATTACCTTTATTCATCGTCGCTTCCACTTACATCTGACAGTAATAAACTGTCGCTATCGCTTTCCTCGTTGAAATTGACTATAACTGGCTCTATGATGGTGTCGATGTGGTGGTCAAACTGCCACATTTTTGTTTCTTCCTTCACAACATGACGGATAGCATTCTGCCAAGCTTCGGGCGTTGCTAGCTGTATGGAAGTCTCAAGTAAAACCTTAACGTCTGGTAATTTGAAGGTTGTGTTATGGCGCGCAATATAACCCTTCACTTGAGCCCAGATGAGCTCTATTGGGTTCAGTTCACAGTGGTAGGGTGGTAACCGCAGCACAGTGACACCTCATTGACGGGCCATCTCATCAGTCACGTAACTAATGTTCGCAGGTTTGTGCTGTTTAATTTTTTCTTACAATTCCGCTTTCACACATGAATCGTAAAACGGGATTCCTTTTTCGCGCAACCATTGCTGCATGTCACTTTTTCGAGATCCCGTAGTCGGTACACGTTCGGCTCGACGACTATGGTAGGAAGCATTATCCATGACGATGACAGAATTGGGCTCAACTCGCTGAAGCACCCCTTGAAACCAGCTCTCGAAGCAGCTGGCATTCATTTCGTCATGGTAATCACCTCCTTTCTTAGAGACGAAAATTAAGTCACACTCTTCTAAAAAGCCACTATCGCTACCAATATGAGTTGCGATCAATCTTTGACCTTTCCCTGACGGTCCACGAAGACCTGTTGACAAACGTTCAATGCTTGTCGGTTACTCACTACGTTTTTGTCTATCCAGGTTTTTTAACTGTGTGACCTGCATTTACCCGAGTCTCGTCCAAATAATAGATTTTTCTGCTTTGTCGCCTATATTCATTTCGCGTAGGTATTTTCGACGCCAGGCGACTATTTCAAGTCTCTCTATCAATACTGACTTCCGATTACGCGTTTCGTAACGAAAATTAATTTCGTGCAGGGATTTCCTCATTACCTCGACGCTCATTTGGGGTATAATTTCATTTTCCTTGATCGCTGCATGTACAGCCTTGAGGGTTGGTATCTCATTCCTAAAGAAGAATGAATGTACGGTTCGCCTTAACGCCATTTTGCTATCGTCATCCAATTTAACGGCCTTTCGTCCCTTCAAATTAAACTTTGGATCAGTAGTAGCTCCAGTTTTCTTCTTTTCATGCACCACCCTGCGAATGGTCCACTCTGGAACGCCTGTCATACTTTCACAATGCGCGAGTGCATCTCCTTGCGACATAGTTCCGTTCAGATAATTGAACACGTTGAGCACGATTTCTTTCGCGTCCCTCTTCAGTGCTTTACGAAGCCGTCTACTTGTTCCCTGGCTTTCAGTACTTCCACTCGTGCCATTTGTACTCTCCATGGTTAAGTATAACCAAAACAGTAACCACAGAAACCACAACAATAACAATCACACAACAATTCTTATAAAAACACACAATATGCGATCGCTCAACGAAACACGTTCCAATGCGTTGCCGACGCCTATGAGTCTGCCGGTCGAGGCGCGTCTTTGATTTCATTGGTTCTACCGGCGGAGAACAATCAGCCATTATTTCCATCTCTGTCTGTGCTGTTGACCACCGCAAAGCCACAGAAACGACATATGTCGTACGCTATACGGCTGTACTGGAAGGAAGCCGGGATCGAGCTCTGATCACGTGTTGATCACGCGTATGAGTCATTACAGTTTTAAATAGTTGTAGTATAGAAATAGTGAATTTAGTTGCCCGTAAATTCGTTGGTCGGTTGATCTGGCAACGCTGCCTCTACATCTGAAATATCGTGTTTTGTGGGTTTTGTGACGCTCGACGTTTGTGCCGTATCACTGTCACGCAAGAAATGTTAGGACAAACCTGACACTGAAAAACACAATAGTTTACATCTGGTCAGCTGCAAACTTCACAGTTAACCTACAAGTGAAAAACCGAGCCTAATTATTGCTTATTCGTAAAAAAAGCCTTTCAATACCCACCATTTATAGGTGTAACTCGCCTAGTATACCACTCACAGAAGCGCATTCGCCTTGGAAAATCAGATTTATGATTTTAATGAGAGAAAACGTATCTAACGTCAAAGTCCGAGCCTCCTTAGATGGAAAAAATGTATTACATATTAATTTTATTTTCTGGCAAATAACTCATAGTGTCCTTAGAATACAAATAATACATAACATTACGTGTGAGGATATTTCGATGTCACAATACAATATGGCGGACATTCAAAAAAAATAAATTTGAGATAGGTTGCGGGAAAACAAAAGACGATTGAGACATGTCATACACGCTATCTTATTTGCCTTAAAAAAATGTCCGAATAATGACACACTTTGACAGCTGTCAAATTAACCGTTTCGGATTTACTGTCAAAAAAACAAAATTCAACATTTTCGGTTTGTCGCCGATATTTCCTTTTTTAGGAGATATAAAAACAGTAATTGAAGTTTTCCATCGGTAGTTTTTAGACACTACATGATAGTGAGAGTAAATGCCAACGGAAAAGTTTTCTGACGTTTCTTGAAATAATGTCCGAAAAAAATGAAATGTTTTTACCAAATTTTAGTGTTTCCCAAATACCTCAGTAAGCCATGAAATTTTAGTTTCTCAATACGGCCCCAAAGAACGTAACTCTTTCCTAATTTTTTCCTTATCTTGGACACCGTTTATAAATATAAAAAGGCACGTGAGTTACTATTTTCTTAATCTAGGAATTCCGATGAGGATCTGAAGAAACCTATCGTTCTACCAGACGTCCTCCCCGTTAATGTAAAACTGCTAGGGCCTAGATCTCAACAATACAACAGGCCTACGCACCTGAGTCTCTCTCCGTTGGACTCCGCAGAAAGTAGATCTCCTAAAACCCCTCCCTCCTCGCCCCCTAAGAGCCCGTCAAGAAATTCACCCTTCGCAACTTTACGTACAATCAGCATCTCGCCGCTGGATTCGCTTGAAGGCAAAACACGCGTCGGAAACAAGCACGGTAAGTACTCTCAATCGTTATTAGAGGAATTGTCGTCCCTGTGTACGGGCAGTAAATACCACAGGTTTTTGAAACGTAGCAGTTAAAATAATAAAATAAGCACACGTAAATCCTACTCACTCGCAGAGCGCTCCAGCTCGAACCCTCGAACTGAGCATAGAAGGGATTTCCTAGACACGACGCCCCGAACATTTTATACGTATTTTAAGTATCGACATTGCTAGACGTCTCAATTGATTGCTGTTTCGCAAAGGATTATTGATAAAAGTTGATTTTTAATTACAGGTAGCTATTGCGAGGCATCCTCGCCTGCATCACCGCCGAAAAGCCCTTCGAGGAGTTCTCCGTTTGCTCCATTACGCGCGACCCATCTATCTACTGCTACAACAATCACCACGTCATCAAATCCCAAGTTTTCTATTAGCGCTGTTAATAAAAAAACATCACAGTCCCCACCCGATAAGTCACCACCAGGTAATTGGAAAAAGTATTGTGATATTTTTTGGACGTTATGTGACGTGAACAAGACTTGCAACGCAGCGTTCAATCTGGCAACATTGGAGGCGCCGGGCTTGAAGGGGAGTCAGGGGAACATGTGATCCGCCTTCAGTACAAGTTTGAACTCGCTCGAGTCATTTGCTTTTTGTGAAAGCGCCCGGTTTCTAGTTTCCGATACGATATCGTTCTCGAATAAAGCGTATCGACAACCGGGAAAGAACCGGAAAATCGGTGTTGAGCACTTTGGTATATAAACTAGGAAACCGAGATAATCCTAAGCATATCAGTGTTCAATTATTTTATATTCACATTATTCCTAGGTTCCCCGAAGAGCCAAAGTTCTTCCACGAGCTGCACACCTTCTAGTCCAAGGAAGTCGTCGCCGCCTGTGATTAAGCCGTCTCTGTCTCCGAACGCTTTAGTGAAGCTGTGTTCGTCAAGAGAGGCTTCATCCGCGACGAATACCCCCTTGCGTGCTTTATCTCCAGCTTCGCCTGAATCTTTGAAGTGTAATAATTCGACTAAGAAGATCGAAGATTATCCAAAGGTAAACTATACTTTCTTCCAGTATGCAACTTTATGTTACTCTTCCGACGAATGTGATTCAGACATGGTATTACCTGCTCGCACTCCGCTATTGTTCTACGACAGCAAACTAGGTAAACAAAGTTTTGTTTCCAAAGACAACGTGATATTATTTTGCACGTGTTAAAATTAAAGCCAATGAACTTGGACAAACGTTATTACCTATAGAGGGATTATCCTTTATTCCGTAAACGTTAATGTCACTTTGCTTGTAATTGTCGCAGGTTGAAGAGGGTCTGCAGATGATCCAAAGGACTGAGGTGGTATTGAGGGTGAATACGACAACGACCGATGCTGCTTCGCAAACGGAAGCCGAGGAATTGCCTACGCCGGCAGTGATGCAGCCTTCGCCCACCACGAAGAAGTTCCAGGAGGAGTTAGAATGCGAAAAGCTGGCGGAAGACTTCATTGGTCAACTGCCGCATTCTCATAGGCTTAAAGAAATTTTAGGTAAGTCAGCAAATGTTCAATGAGAAAAAAATTTAATCAAATCAAATTGTGAGTAGGCCAATTATGGTATGGAACCTCGTTCGAAAATTGGTTCTCAAATACTCTACCGAAGCTTGAAGATAATTCGGTTATAGTATTAGATAATGCTTCATTCCACAGGAGAAAATTAGAGATAATACCAACAACGTCAACAAAAAAAATCAGAAAGTCAGGGATGGCTTAAAAATAAAAACATTGATTATGATGATACAATTAATGCAGAATTGTTCTAAATTTTCAAGACGCACTAAAATAAATATAACCTGAACATAATTGATGAAATGGCAAAAAAACAAAATATACTAAGTGACATATAAATCCGAACACCCAGTTTAAATGGTTTTATTTTAATAAAAGTTGGTGAATGTATTTATATTACTGTAAATAACAAGTGAACAAATTTTCAGCCTTATCAGTTGGACATTCCGGTTTTTATACTGCTTTTTTTTAATTCACTAACGCTCTAAAAATGAATATTTCAGCCGCAGTAAAGAATCAACGTTGGCGGATTTTGGTTCTTGACATCCTTTACGATCGGTTACGATGCCTAGAGTACGGAGACCTGTACGATTTCGTCAACTTAGAGAGTTTGATACGGGCCGAATAGTGGGACTTCGGGACGCTGGACTTTCTTTTCGGGCAAGTGCAGTTAGAGTGCAAAGAAGTGTAGACACTGTGGTTAGGTATTGTCAGGCATGGCTTCGAGAAGGCCGTACGCAAAGAGCAAGGGGCACTGGACGCCGCCGTAGAACAACAGACCGTAAAGATCGCCGCCTAAGATTATTGGCCTTAAGGGACCGTTTCTCCACTACCAGGTCCATTGCAAATGAATGGTTTGCAGAACACGGAAGACCTATTGGCATGCGAAGTGTTTACCGACGAATGAGAAGTTTTGGCTTGTTTTCATACCGGCCACACTGGGCCCTCCCTTTAACTCGTGAACACCGACGTAATCGCCTTGAGTGGTGCAGACAACGGTCACTCTGGGATCAGGAATGGAACAGTATTGTCTTTAGTGACGAGTCTCGATTTTGTTTAGGCATGCACGATGGTCGTGCTAGGGTTAGAAGGCGACGTGGTGAAAGGAAGAATCCACAGTTTTTTGTTGAAAGACATGTTCATCACACTGTTGGAGTTATGGTTTGGGGTCCTATAGCTTATGGTTCCAGGTCACCTTTAATCTTCATCAGAGGTAACATAAACGCGCAGCGTTATATCCACGAAGTTCTAGAACCCCATCTTTTACCCTATCTTGACACCCTGGTAGATCCAACTTTCCAACAAGATAATGCCCGACCACATGTTGCAAGAGTCACAATAGACTTCTTTCAACATAATGATGTCACATTGTTACCATGGCCACCAAGATCTCCCGACTTATCCCCAATTGAGCACGTGTGGGATATGATGGGTAGGAGATTGCTCAATTTGCAATGTCCTCCTCAGACTCTAGAAGCACTTCGAGAGGAGTTGGTGGTTGCCTGGAATGAGATACCACAGGAGGACATTGACCACCTGATCAGAAGCATCCCTAGGCGCGTTGGAGAATGCGTAGCACATCAGGGTGCATCCACACATTATTAAAGGTCAAAGGGCTTTGAAGCAGTGCAATCATTTTGAAATGTTTATCATTTACTTATTATGCTTCAGTAAGTACTTATACAAAATTTTATTAAAATAAAACCATTTAAACTGGGTGTTCGGATTTATATGTCACTTAGTATAAAACTGTTTTACGACTGCCTCCTTACCGTTGCGAGCTCAATCCCGTTGAGCTCACTTGAGCAGACATAAAAACATATGTTGCAGCAGAAAATAAATGTTTTAAATTTTCTGATATTAAAAATATTTTCCATGATGCTATACAAAGAATAACACCGAATAAGTGGGAAAATGTATCAGCATGTAAAAGAAAAGGTCAAACCTAAAATATGTGAATTAGACGGTATCATTGATACTCACGTTGCCCCTTCAATCATAAATCTTGATGACAGTGGGAGTTCCACGGCCTCAGATGTAGAATGATTTTCATTTTCAAGTATATGTATATAAGGTTTCGGAGGTAAAATGTCTGTGCAATAAATGTTTGTATAATTAATAATTAATAAATTATTAATGCGTGTTCTAATATCACGACGATGAAGGCAAAATATACATTTTATTTTTAAGTTTATTATTGAAACTCAGGTTTATAACCTAATTTCTGTACTACTTTTTTTACATTTTGTTTTTTGAGAAATCAACTGCTTTAGTAACAGTGTATATGTGGTTAAAGTTTGTCGGATAAGATGTGAAACACCCTGTATAGCGTGCCTTGACAAATATGTGATATCAAAAATTTTTGAAAACCTATCACTGATTATTGATAGTTTCGATTCAAAATAAAAGCTTCCGAATTTTGTAGCAAAGTTCGATATTTTTATTTTCATTGATGTGTGAACCTTATTTTATGGGATCCAGCTAATTTTTGTCCGATTGTCCAGAAAGAGGTCATAATATGTCACCATCTACTAAGAAGCAGTTCTTTGTTTTGAACTCGGTGACTTAGTAAATTTTATCATTAGATTAAATAAAAAAATGTATCAACTATATATGTGACAGCTAGCAAGTTTAAACTTCGACTTCTAAAACAGTTTACTTGATCTACATTCTCCATAAATGAGGTGCATATCTGTCTTGCTGTCACTACGTAGAATGGCACATTCCGTCTAAGAAAAAATTAATTTTGTAGTAATGGGAGCTCAAATTTGAAAAGCACACGTCTCGGAAATTTTTTTATACTTTCCGGATAGCTATTATGACTTGGCCTATCCCCCGTTTAACCTCGACTTCCGCGACACCCTGTATAACGTGATTTTGTCTTGTTTCAGTTCCTGCACCCCAATACAAGAAACCAACGGACTACGTCCAAGGACTGTTTCGAATCGACGTTACAACGAAATCCAGGCAGGCCAACTCTCCTTTCCGAAGTAGAAACAATACACCTTCCAGTAGTCCACCTCCTACGTTATCTTCAGTACCCCTTTGCACCACCACCAGCACACTCACCGCTACTCGACTAAGGTAAATATACGCTTTACTGATACACAGAGAAAGACAAACAGCGGTTGCGAGGATATTATTTACCTGTTTGGTGTACAGCTTTTTTTCTTAAAATCTTAACGCACTGTAGCTCGAAAGGCTTAGAACATGATTATGTTTTTCCTAAAATGGGTGCTGTTGCGTCTTGTAGAACTTCCGATTTCAATGGTTTTTTCTTAAAAAAGTGTGGATGAAACACACTTTTCATAAAAAAAAATTACCAAAGCATTGTATTTTTAGCTGTTTCCATCATTATTTCCACCGCCATCTATCTGCCATATGACGTTGGCGTTTGTGCATATGTCATGTATGAGAGGCGCTTGCCTGCGGTGTTGCCGAATTGGGCTCCGCATTTTGGGAAAAATATTAAAAGTTGAAAATGTATATGATATATGTACCTATATTAATTAATGAATCACAAAAACGAGAAACTGAAACAAACAACAGTAGCAAAATAAAAGGCGATTCCTAATAAGTATAAATCAAACAATCAACAGCAGTAAGCTAAAAAATGATAAATTATAAATAATTGTAAAAAACAAAAAATAAAAACAGTAGTAAAACAAAAAAACAATTCCATGTTGAATAAAAACCAATTCTAAGTGACAACACACAACAAAAAGTTAAAACAGTGGTAAAACGAAGAACAATTTCATTCTATCCAAATTGCTTTTTAATTACTGTTTATTTTTTGTTTTTTTATAATTAAATGGAATTGTTTTTTTGTTTTACTACTGTCTTAATTTTTTGTCTTTTATAATCACTTAGAATTGCTTTTTATTTTACTGCTGTTTGTCATTTTTTGTTTTCTACTTAGTAAGAATTACTTTTAATTTTACTAGTGTTGTTTGTCTCAGTTTTTTATTTTTGTGTTTCTTTAATATAAGTGTATATAAATCTTCCACTTTTCATGTTTTTCCATAAATACGGAGCACAATCCGGCAACGCCGCAGGCAAGCGCCTCTCATATATGACATATCCACAGACGTCAACGTCATATGGTAGATGGCGGTGGAAATAATGGGGGAAATAACTGCTAAAAATACAGTGTTTTGGGAAAAAAACATGAAAAGCGTGCTTGATCCACACTTTTTTGTTTCTAAATAATCTATCTGACTACCCTCTAAAAGTTTTAAGAGAAAAACCAGTAAAATCGAAAGTTCTACAGGACGCAACAGTACCGTGGCGTGTTGTAGGGAAATAGGCACTGGTTCTCGGTTTTGGGTTTATTCAAGTTACAATGCGAATGTGGTTTTACAATATAAAAAATTATGCGTATGGCTTGGACGGTTGATGCGAAGACGGGAGGCGAATGCGTACAAAGGCGGCGTCTTCCTGTGGTTCCCCCACTCCCGCGTACAACTGGACTCAGTGGCGGGACATGTAGGGCGCTTCACGCAGTGGCAGGACATGAGGTTTACGGAACACTGTATTTTTAGACATATATTAAATTACACAATGAATATCTTAAAAACTGAGCGGTTTTTGTGAAGCTATCAAAGAAATTTACTATTTTCACACCATATTTTGTAAGCATACTTATTTTTTTCCAGTATATCTCCGACGATATGCTCTATGTCGATACCGAGCGTTGTACCGATTGCAGAATCAATCAGTAGTTCCTTGTCTGGATCATCAACGTACTTTACGACGTCGGAACCAAAGGCCAAGTTCCTCACCAGGTACAGCCAGGATATGAACAAATGCTACGTCGTCAAGAATACCAAAGATCTTAGTCAGAAGAAGGTAAATATAATTATTCAAATCACCGCTAAAATCATTTATCGCTTTCGGGAAACTCTAATACAGGGTGTCCCAAAAGTCGACGTCAAACCGGAAACGGGATATCGGCCAAATCATGCAATCAATGTTAAGATGAGCTAATGCTTGCGTTCAGGTTATAGGAGGACATTTTCAGCAGTCTCGTGTTATTTACTGTTAAATATTTTCATTGCAATAAAAGTTTAAGTGTAGTTTTAAAAAGACGTTTTTCCGGTTCGATTTTTTTTTAATTTCCAGCGTTACCAAATGCAACGCCTCTACCAAAATGTTGCAACAATAAAGAACGTTATCTAAATATTTTGTTTATTTATCGAAAGCAGCTATAAACTGAGCAAAAAATTCAAAAGACTTTCGTGTAACTTGATTATCAAAAACATGCAATAAAGTGCTTTTTATTTTTTATCATCTCGCAAACGAAACGAGATATGAAAGAAACTTAGGAGACAAAAAAGTTGTATTTTTAGAATCTTAATTCGAAAAAAAAATAAAAATTGAAAAAAGTCAGTAGCGCATACTTTTTTGTCAAAGATATTGGTTATGGTGCCTTACTGCCCTTAATACCGCTGCTAAATTTGAAAGAAATGGAACAAGTTTGGCCACGTACTTAAATAACACCCCGTATAGAAGATTTCAACATTATTTCTGTTTTTGGTGTTGCAATAATTATTTGTTTATTTTTCTTTCTAGTGTTATTTTAATAATTTTTATAAATGGTCGAATGTTGGTTTTTGCGGAATTCTAGTATAACATTATTTTGGAGGGATATACAGTGCAACCGGCTTACAATGGACTCGGCGGGACTGTGACAAATAGTCTATTATAGGCGGATGACCATCTTAAAAGAAACACTTTTTTTAATGAAAAATGCAGCATAAATAAGATATTAAAAGCTTAAAATGTGTTTGATTAACATGTTTTATATAAATAAAGACACATACAAAAAAGTTATACGTAATTTTGAAATTTGCATTTTTTTAGAAGCTGATACACATATTACAGGCATAAGTACTGTGTAGGTATGTGTAAAAACCGTAAATTATTTTGTAAAAAAGCTAGTAATTTTCATTTGATCAGATTGTTTTTTGTATAATTATTTAGAATAGCAAGTTTAATTTTTTTTAATTTGGTAAGTGTAGCTGTACCGTCTTGTTCTTGCTGAAAATAACGTTACAACTTTTTCACGCAGTCTAATGCCTCCTTAGTTGTTAATGGAAGCTCTTCTTCTACCTTGTTTTCTGTTTGTTATCAAAGGATCCTTCAATAACCAAATTGAAGTCTGACAATTCCTGTGTTGCTATTAAATTATTGTCAACATTTACATACTCATTAAATTTGTCTATATTCAGTAAACTATTAATTTTCATTAAATCACTTAATGGAATTTCATCTTCTGGATTAAAATCGTTGACTATTTCAGTCATGTTTTTCAATAAACCAGCATGGCGAAAACAATTACGAATCGTTTCTGGAGTAACCGATTCCCATTCAATAGTAAGCAAATTGATAGCATCTAAAATGGTGACAGCTTTTGGAATCTTGACATCTTCTTGAAGCTACATAATTTTCATCAACATATGTTTCCGATACATTTGTTTAAGACTCTAAATGACACCCTGATCCATTGGTTGCAGAACTGATGTCACATTGGGTGGAAAAAGTTGAAGGTTGATGTTATTAAGCAAAATGTTTGGATGAGCGGGGCAGTTATCGACCAAGAGCAATATTTTACGATTTATTACTCCTATTAGAGTTGCAAGAATGATTATACAGTATTCCCTACATAGCATTGTATACTGAAGAACATTGGCAAAACCCCCTTAGAACAGCTATACAAGCGGAATGGGCACACCTAATAGGACACTTCAGTCATTTAAGAGGTTGTATAAGGGTGCAGGTAACAGTTATACACACAAGTGTAAGCCTCTTGCAGCCGCTATAAGGCATTTGCGTCAGTGCAAGATTCAGTTTTTGTCAACTATACAACTATTCTGTTACGTGATTCTGCTTTATTGCAACCAAACTATTTCTTATGTATTGTATAGGCGAAGTGAAGAATATATAACTAACACATTACAGTCATCTTGTTTACTTACATATCGGCCATTGTGAATTTCATACACAGGTATATGATAAACGTCTACACTGTGGTATAGGGCTATTGCATTACTTGCGCACCAAATTTTATTGTGATTATCGTCCAAAGTAGTTACACAATTTCTACGGGCTTAGTATTTGATTCATATTTTAATAATGATCAAAAGTATGTCTAGATTTTTAAGATGGAAAACTGAACTTATCTGCGTTAAATCTTCCACAAATCCTATATTTAGACACAATTACACTAATGCTTATCACTTTATATCTGTAATTTCGAACTGAAACATAATTATTTAATATCAAATAGAGGAATAAATGTTTGCCCAATATGGCGGGTGGTTGTGTATAATCATGGCATCGTCCATGTTGTCTTTAGTTTATTAGAACATTTTGGTGTTGCCTGCAGGTGTTATACAACAATTTGACAAATGTCTGGAATGAAATACCGACAGAGTCGAATGATTTACCCAGAATTTGTACCAGATCTATATCTTCTGTTTGAACAGTTGATAAAACCTTTTGAACCAATATGCATGCATTGTTTATCTTAAAACATTGGTTATGGCATTTTAACAAAAATATGACAGCACAAAGTTAGGTTATGGTGAAGTTGTATACCAACATATTTAGCAACAAATGTATGCCGAGCACAGCAATTTTGTACTACAAAAGTTGTAATATTGTTGCATATGTACAGCCTTTAATAGTTACTAAACAACAGTTGTATAAGTGCTTCCATTGGGAGCAATTTGTTGGCTAAAGTAGTAAATTTGCAGAGCAAAACAACAAGGCTCGGGTTCGTTTTATAAACGTTACCATGGATGCCACAACACAACCATTTTGACTAACATGCAAATATGCCGTATAAAATAGTTGATAAACGTTTATGCAACAGTTAAAAATTTGTCATATAAGGTGTTGTATAACTATGGTATAAGAATATTTTAAACACTTCATCTTAGAGCAAATATGTTGCAGAAAGCAAATTTGCATTCCAGACAACATTAAGCCAGCATTTTGGTGTTCATGCAAAAATAATAGAGAGCTTTTATGACTGAACAGTTCTTTTACCAAAAGCTTATACCACTACTTTGCTAGTTGGGAATGGATTAAAATAGTCCGCTGCTATAAGCGAGGATCTATTTTAAGCGAACCTATAATATCCGAGGATTTTACATGCAATTATTTATAGGACCTTAAATTGTGTCCATTATATAGGGGTTTCCATTATAAACAAGTTTATTATAAGTGGATTCCACTGCAGTAAAGGTTTGTTATGAATGATATGGTATTATTTGTGAAGATTTTTTTTTCAACGGATTATTATTATTACCATTATTATAAATCTGACACTTATGTCTAAAAAAATGTGGGCTGGTTCCTAGCTTGAAATTATTTACAAGGCGCCTATTTGTGCGGGGGACTTTGCAGGAGGAGCTAGTAAACCGGTTAGATAAAAAGTTGGAGGTACTGCGTAACGAGCAGCTCGTTGTAACGGACGAGTGCAAGATCAACGACGAACTGGGAGAAAACGTCGAATCGCATATTAACCGACTGGCCAGACCGCACGAGGTGGCCAAGTTCAGACTGCACGTCGAAGAGGTAGGGAAGATCACAAGCCTGCTGTTGGGTCTATCGGGGAGGCTAGCCAGGACGGACAACGCTCTCATGAACACGGCTGAAGACCATCCCGAAAGGGTAAGTTGGATCATGTCTTGAACTGTCCATCTCAATGATAGCTGATCACAAAGGGACTAAAATTGGAGATTCTTACACTTTATCAAGAAATTAAATTAAGCATAAATTGTCATTTCGTAGTTGTGTATTGATTTAGGTAAATTAAGATCATAGGAAATCACTAAATTGCCGGTATGTCAGTCTCAATTTTCAATTTTCCAGACGGTACTTGAGGCCAAACGGGACAAACTGTTGGATCAACTAGAAGAAGCAAAGAAGCTAAAAGAAAGCATCGATCGGCGGAGCGTGTGCGTCTCCGACATCTTAAGTAAATACTTGAGCTCTGACTTATACGCGGATTACGACCATTTCATCAACATGAAAGCGAAACTGATCATGGACTGCAAAGAGATCTCGGACAAGATCAGGCTGGGTGAAGAACAGCTCGAAGCTGTCAAAGAAACGTTGATCGTTACAGACTGAGTGTGATATACTTTTGAAATGTTTGATGTAAGTGCTATATTGTCGTTCGAGTTTTATCGAACGAGCTAGTCCGGTGACATGTATATCGCTTCATTGATTTATTTGTGAAAGATGGAGAGAATATATCTACAACTACGAGTGGATTCAATAGAATCATCATATTCTTCAGTTGGACGGTATCTGGAGTCCTTGGAAACAGTGGATAAATGAAACAATGACGTTTCCTTGAGGAACGTTCAAAGGACGATTTAAACTTTCTTTTTACAGTAGCGTATAGCAGTTGTCATCACAAGCTGTCAGCTATGTCAGAGAGATTTTTCTTTGTTTTACGTATTTATCTAACATTTTGATGATAAACGGTTTATTGGTGCTTAACGTCAATAAAAAATGCAAAATAATAACGTGTTTGCATCCTCGAATCGCGAAAAGTAAAAAACACAATATAGGCAACCGTTGCACGCAATGCACTACTGGTTGCAGGTGGTCGATTACGTCTTTCAGATTCAACTACTACAGTATTTCACAAAAAACATTACATTACAAAAACAGAAGTTTATGCGAAGGCACTGTAGTGTCTTGTAGAACTTCGTATTTCACTGCTTTTTCACTTGAAACTTATAGAGGATATATTTTAAAACAAAAAAGTGTGGATGAAGCACGCTTTTCATGAAATTTTATTCCCAAAACACTGCTATTATCACCATTATTTCCACCGCCATTTGCTATATGACGTCTGTGCATATGTCATATGAGTATGAGAGGCGCTTGCCTGCGGTGTTGCCAAATTGGCTCCGCATTTAGGGAAAAATATGAAAAAGGAAAAATTTATATACATACATATAATATATGTATGTATATAAATTTTTCCCTTAATTAATATTATTAATGAAAGAACATAACGAAAAAGAAACAAAAAACTAAAATAACACAGTAGTAAATTAAAAAGGGATTCCTAATAATTATAGAAAAAAGTGGTGGGGAGCCGCCAGCACTCAAGTGATTAAGAATATAAGGCGCGATGCACACTGAACGGACGTGAGGCGAGGACGTGGCACAGACTTATGTCAATTCAGCGTCTCTCCTATATAATTGAATTGTCCAATGCACACAGCGGCAACGTGGCGCTGGCGGTCGCCATCGCGCCCTTGCCACGTCTTCTTCCAGTCTCTTGTGGCGTACAAGAACAGACACGTCCGTTGCACGACACTTGTTGCTTACTTAAAACTTTTTAAAAATGCGAGACGATATTGAATTTAACATTCAATTTTGCGAGGAAATTGAAAAATATCCATGCTTGTACGACTACAGTCGTTCAGATTATTGTAATAGGAGTGCTCAGGACCAAGCGTGGCAGAAAATCGCAAAAAAATTTATTACTAAATTAATTCATTCAGTTACTTACCTTAAAGAAATCAGTAGTTTCTCTTCTGGGCAAATTGGTTCCCTAAAATTGGTTGATCTCTTTTCAAGGCCTTCTTTTACAAGTGCCAATACATTATAAAAACACTCACGGGACATCCTATAAAAATTCTGGAATCGTTCTGGGTATGTGTTCAGTTCACGCACAACGTCGAATGTTCCACACGTTTTCCCCTTCTTTAGCCACAATGGATGCATCCAAAATCGTCTGGTTTTCTGCATATTACCCAAGTAAACCAGATCCAACATATCTTCATCATCTTCATCACTGCTTGAGAAATCCATTCGTTTGTGGCCCTTAAACTTCACCTCGATGTTCCAGCGAATGTTCGAAATCTTTCGTTTTCGTCACTACCCCGCTCCTTGTGTGTGCATTGGCACATGTCACGTCTCCGCAACGTCTGTGCCATGTCCTTGCCACGTCCTCGCCACCGTCCACCCAGTGTGAATTGGGGCTGTGAATGAGAAAGGGCGGCAAGCCTGTATCTTGATATTTGATACGCAGCTTTGAAGCAGGAACTGCGAGAGGGTGACTGATCACTTCTCATACCTACATATGTGTTCAAAAATATATTTTACTACTACTAGCTCGTAATGCACACTTTTCAATCTACTACTGTGTTATTTCAGCTTTTTGTTTCTTTTTCATTAATATATATGTTTATAAATTTTCCACTTTTCATTTACAAAAATAAACTTTTTAGATAAAATTAGATAATGTCTGAATATTTTTGTTACGGTTCGTATCCGCTGTCACTCATTATTACCCGGCCGCAGTTTATTAAAATGAGAAAAAAAAATATTTGAATTTGAACGAGTATTTACGCTGAATTTGGCAGACGTAATCGACACCCTGCAACCGGTAGAGCAGTTGGATGCACAACCGGTTGCCTATATTCACTTTCTTCTATAATTAGAACAAGCAAAAACATTATTTTCGTTTTTTATTGATGCCTAGCACAAAAAACAAATCGCCCTAATTTTATCATCGAAATGCTAAATAGATACGGCCAGCAAAGAAAATATTTATGACTTCGATGACAGTTCGTGATGACTGCTACAGCCTACTGAGAAATGAAAATTTAAATCGTTCCTTGAACGTTCCTCAACGAAACGTCATTGTTTCACTGTTTCCAATGAGATATCTTGTTTCCAAGGAAGCCTCGCGCCTCAAGGCATTATCTAAAAAGATGGTTTACCGATATATTACCACATCGGAAAATTTACCAGACGCAGGTATATCTAAATACATGCTGACGCACCACAGCTTTTGGACCCCAAATTACGATTTTATTTTATCCACTCTAGTTGCGGAAACGCTTTCTGCCTTCAAATCTGTTGAAATGTAGATTTGTTATGAATCTTTAAAATAATCCAATATTTAGTCGTGTCTACTCGCGAATATTATATTTAATTTAGATTGCATCCAATGAATTATAAAATTCAGACTTTCTTCACAAGCAAACCAAAACGTGCCTAACTGATTTATGATGAAGGAACGTATTCCTGCTTCTGTTGAGATGTTCATAAAAGTCGACGTTTTTAAAGAATCATTACGAATTTACGTTTATCTCATTGTTGTTTGTGTACATTATTTGGCTTAGTAGTAGTCTCGCAAATACTCGTTAGACGGCCATCTCGGATCGGACTAAACCTTAGTTTGCGCGCAGATGTAACGTTTTAGACAGATAGCTGCTTTTGATTTATATATAACTGCCATAATATGCCATATCAATAATTTCACTGCTCTTTGGACTTTGTTTAGAAGACTCCTTCAATGACATATTGTAGTCACATCAAGGAGGGTGGTATGTTGAAGACTGTACTTCTCAGGTTCGGACATTTGACCTGACCAATAGGGAAACTAAAAGTGCTAACCACCCTCTCTTCATGGTAATCATGTCATTGGATAACAGGTTCTATCCAAGATGGCCCTGATTCTGTGGTGTGATTTTTCGGATGTTCACGATTGCAATGTTCGAAAATGTCACATGTCATGAACGGCACCTCGCAAAGTAACCGTTTTGCAGGTTATTATCGGTCATGCTCCCGTATTCGCTGATTGATTGATATACAGGGTGTTCGAGAAATAGAGATATTTTAGAGGGTGGTTCCTTGTTAAAAATATAAGTTTATATGAATTTGGGTCCGGAAATAAGATACAGGGTGATACATTTTAAACATTTTTTTTGTTTGCCAAGGCACTTTTTGCAAAAATCAACAAACTAATTTTGTCTAGTGATATGCAATAAAACTGTTTCTATTTTTCTTTTCTCGCAAACGAAGTGAGATACAAAAAAAATGCAAGATGCGGTGAAGTTGTATTTTTAGATTCTTAATCAAAAAACAAATATTAAAGTTACAAAAAAGGCAGTGGCGTACATTTTTTGACAATAATATTTTATTTATTTATATTTTTTTAAGGCTAAATTAGCCTCTTAATACAACAAATAATGCAAAACTTTGACAGAATCGAATAAATATTTTTTAGGATATTTATAAAAAAGATTTTTTTTTAATTTATCACCCTGTATATCTTGAAAATTCTTCATTTCCGGTTCCCTGTTTAGAAGCTTTTTTTCGTATTTTTTAACCAGGAATCACCCTCGAAGGTAGCTCCGTCTATTTGAAGCGAAATTTCGTGTAAATTTTAACAATCACATACAGGATGTTTCAGAAAGACGTGTCAATACTTCGTGTCCGAGCTGCTACCGATTTGTGATATCCTCTCACTTAATCCAAACTGCTAGAATTCGTAAATAAAATTGATCACCCTGTATCTCGATAAGGGAAGGGATGTTGGATACACTTTTTACCCAAGAAATTTCTGAAACACCTTGTATTCCGTATAATCGATACTGATACAGAATCATACTAGTTAGTTGACCTGAGCTTTCTGGATTTTCTTCGATGTCCACATACAAGTGTAGGATCGACATAATTATTACATCATTAATGATTCTACTATGCGAACATGTAAACTGATCGATTGGTACTTTGCGGTCAATAGCGCGTCTCTTGCTGTTTACCTGAAACAGACAAGATGGCGTCGCATTGTTGACATCGTAGGCTGTTTTTTTTTGTGCATTTCGTACGTACGATTTTCTTTGGCCGATTTCTGGAACAGTGACGTATAAGGCAACACGCGACAAGCTTTGACAATATCTTTACACAGAAACTGATTTTGGTACTGTTGCGTCTTGTAGAACTTCGGATTTCACTGTTTTTTCACTTGAAACTTCTCGATGGTAGTGTGATAGACTATGTTAAATAAAAAAAAGTGTGGATGAAGCACACTTTTCATGCATTTTTTTCCAAAAACACGTATTCTTAGCAGTTATTTCGACGATTATTTACACCGTCATCTGCCATATGACGACGTTGAAGTCTGTGCGTACGCTTTTTATATTGCTATTGTCGTTTGTTTCAGTTTTTCATTTTTGTGTTTCATTGATTAATATAAATGTATATAGATTTTCCACTTTTCATATTTTTCCTTAAATGCGGAGCCCAATCCGGCAACACCGCAGGCAAGCGCCTCTCATACATGACATATGCACAGACGTCAACGTCATATGGCAGATGGCGGTGGAAATAATGGTGAAAATAACTGCAAAATACAGTGTTTTGGGAAAAAAATGTTCTCGACAAGCGTGCTTCATCCATCGGACTCCCTCTTCAAGTTTCAAGTGAAAAAAACAGCGAAATTCGAAGTTCTACAAGACGCGACAGTACCCTGATTTTTTTTGTCGTTCCCCTATAAACCTTCACATGAAACTGTTCTAGAAATACGTCAAATTGTTTAGTTAGGAGTTATTTTTAGTTCAATGGGTGACACAACGGACAAGCTTGGTGATAACTACGCGACTGTTTTTTTTTCCTGGGATCAGGTCTTGTGGCAGCCGTTTTCTTTAATTTATTTGTACACGATTATTTATTTTTGTATATTTGTCTTTTGTGATAAAGAAAAATTACTGCGTTGCTGGCAGAAAAATTCGGCAGATCTTCATAGGAGATACTTCGGACTCGTCAGTAATATACGTCCTAAAAGTTTTGCAACAAAATGTTTATCAGATTTCTTTTATTTAAACACTTACTAGATATCATAGATTACAACTCAATACTATCGAATTATGTGGAATTGCTCTACCAGCCGCAACTTTCTGCGAATATCTCATGAGGTCATGGACGGAATTCAGATTAATTTATCTCAATTTTTCGTAAATTTGTCGTCTTAATTGTTCTTCATCTTGGGCTTCCCAGCCTCCATGATATACCTTCCTAGACAGTAAAGCCTAAAAATCCTTTATTCTGCAATTTCGGAGGATTATCGTTTTTGGGAACAAAAGGTATGTTATGTTATCGAAACCAGTTTTGGGTATCTCTTGAGTACATAGTCGTGCCATAAGTTCTGTCCCATGATAATCTCATGATAAAAATGAAACAAGATAAGATATATTTATATGAAAGATATTATTTATTCGACAACATTTTTAGAATTCATAATCAAACAGTTTTATTCAAAATGTCCCCCCTTGGCCTTCACACACTGCTTCAATCTCGCGGGCCACTCATCTATCACTGCACGCACAGCTTCCAAAGGAATAGCTGCCGCTGATCGGATCAAATCCGCTTTCAGGGACTCGATATTACGGTGGGCTTTGGAGCAGGCCAACTGCTCTAGCAGGTCCCACAACTTGTAGTCTAAAGGATTGAGGTCCGGACTCCCTGAGGGCCAATCTTCCGCAGCAATGAACTCTGGCACATTGCTTTCCAGCCAGCGCTGCGTACTCTTAGCCTTGTGAGCGGGGGCGGAATCCTGCTGGTAGACCCAGTGTTGGTTGGCAAACAATGTACCACTTAAAGGCTTGACGATAGGATCCAGTATGTCGCTCTGATAGTTTGCCGCTTTTGTTTTCACGCCCTGTTTACAGAAATGGAGCTGAGTGACCCCTTCGTAGGACACCCCCCACCAAACCATGACTGACGCAGGGTGGTGGCCTCTCTCAACTCTCGGAATGATCTCCGAAGCTTCCTGTGAACTCCTTGCATACACTTTGTCATTTTGTCGGTTGAATTTTTCTTCTATGGTGAAGATTTTCTCATCCGTGAACAAAATCTTTCGGAATCCCCCAGCTGCGTACCTCTCCAAGAGCTTCTTGGATCTTGTCGCCCTGATGTGTCGCAAGGTGGCCGTAAGTCGCTGGCCCGTACGTCTCCGGTAAGCCCCTAGCCCTAGGTCTTGTTTAATGATGCGCGACATCGTCCGGACAGGAATCTTCATTTCCGTGGATAGGATCTTCTGCTTCCGGAGTGGATTCCTTTGAATCCTGGCTTTTACGGCTTTGATGGCTGCTGGAGTCCTTACTTGACGAGGTCTTCCGCTTCTTGGCCTGTCATCAACAGAGGACGTCTCATTGTACCGCTGAATGGTCCTAGACACAAATTTACGCGATATTTGAAGGCCGCGTAAGAGTTCAAAAATCTGACTAGCACTGTGATTACACTTATGTAAAGCTATCACTGCAATACGGTTCTCTGCCTTGCCCCACTCCATCGTTATGCTTCGAGAGATCAATACAAACTGAGGTATATGTAATTACCCGAAAAGCGCTTAATCAACTGACACCACAATGTAAACAATCGGACAAGTATTAACAGGTCTACACTTGTTTGAAAACGAGGGACAGAACTTATGGCATGACTATGTAATAGCATGATGTCTGGCCAAAACATGATATCGTGGACAAACTTAAAACCATGAAATAAAATGAAAATAAAAATGATCAGTGAAATAACCTAACTTCGCAAAATCATAATACAAATTCATGACATCGTGATTTTATCATCGACGGACGTCCATTGATTACTTCAGAACAATTTATGGTATGACGTAATAGTGATCTTTCGTGATTTTGACTATAGACTTGTAGATACTTTTTCTTATTTCTAATTTATACCTTGAAGCGAAAACTTCAAAATACTTGATATCATTTTGTGTTTGTTAAAATTAAAGCCAATGAATTTTGTGCCAAATATACGTTATTATAATTTAAAATCATGTTTCACATTATGTTGTTTGATGCTATTTATAATGTTTCTTTTTTCGGAAGTAGCCTCACCAACTGATACAGCTGCATGAGGACGTACAATAGAATAATTACATTTGCGAAAAGATGATGTCCAACAGTTCTTCTACTCCTGAAATACGTCATCTTCAAAAAATAAATCATATCGTATTGAATGTCTGTCGGATTTTTCTCGGGGTTTGGCTGTTACAAGACCGTAAGAATACGTATTTATTTTTCATATGCGATCTTTTGTTATTATTACTAAACTTGTCCAGGTCAGAGCCCCGAAATGCATCTTCCTACCAAGTATTTATGTAACGCTCTAAATGTGTAGATCTAAATTGTTTACCTTGGTTTTATTTCTTTTTTCTGCTCCTAGAGTTTCGTATTCGTCTTCGAGATATAACTGCAACTATTGAGATCCACCGCCGAATATTAGTGAGTCATAGGTTACAAATGTGACTTGAAAATGAATACGAGTTTTAGGATAAGTGAAAATAAGCGTGTACATATAATGTATTCACATACGAAAGAAAGAAAACGAATGATATGGTGCTCTGGAAATGAATTTGTAATATTATATACTTATATGCGTAAGTTATTACATTGTGATTTTTTATTAGTGTTGAAACCAGTCGTATTTTTAAAATATTTTTAATCTATGCCTTAAGAGATATTCTACGTTTCTCAGATATTTAAATAGATCCTTTCTGACCTTAACGCATCGCTTACAATAAATAACCATTATGAAAATTGCATTTTTCTCCTAACCCATTTTGTTTCTGGTACAGATAAACTGCATATATACTAAGTGAACATAGTATATTGACGGCATTTTTAGGGCACTAATGACGTACGCCGACCAACAAAAATGACGTCATTATGCCTGTCTACTGTCATACGTCATTATATGACGTCATAGTATGTCGTATTAAAGACCAAATTCAAAGTCGATATGACGCCGCTATCACCTCCGCAATTTTTATAGGATAAAATAGTTTTTAATACTGCATAAAAATTTATGAAAAAACCCATTACACAAAAGTCCTATGTAAAATATAAAAACACATCTACCTACCTCTGATGTACCGGATCGGAAGGAGGGCATAATGAGGAGTGCCCCTGCATGCTCTAAGCAAGAGCATTTGAACCCGGATACTCCGAGCAAGGACATGATGGCCGTCCACATCTCTCGATGCAGAGTGAGTCATCCGCCATATTCGCCAACCATACAGTAAAAACATAATAATCTACCAAATAGTGTTAAGGAGTGTGTATACATTTATTCAGAAATTATGTAAAAACACTCAAAAGTTACTTGAACTGTCCAATTTATTGTAGTTAAAATTCGGACCTTAAATATTATTGTTTCCGAGGCCAGTGTTCCAAACACAGATTAGAGAACTTTGTTGACTATAAAATTTGCAAAAATTTACTACTGAATAAAGATTTGTTCAAAAAAAGGTATTCAAAATATGCGGAAAAAAAAGATGTACCTCAGCATAGTTATCCCTAACTAAATGAATGCACCTGTCTGGGCGAGGGCAATGTTCGGCTGTGTGTGTGAACCCTACACCAATAAGAAAACCATAAATGCACTTACATTTCAGCAAGCTGCTCTAGTCCCTGGAACAAGGAGAAACACCATGAGTATACAAGTACTACGTTATTAAACTTCTCACTCTCACACTTCGGGCAGGAAAGGCGGATGGAACAAAATTCTATCGAGCTGTAAAAGCTATTTTCGTAGTTTGCTTCTATTGTATCGTAAAAATGATTCTGTGTTTCTGATTTCAATTGTATGTAGATTATTTGTTTTTTATATTTTAAATTTTGTTTCCATTTTGAATAGTATACATTGTATATAAGTCGGAAAGAACAATAAACTATTACTAATATAAATGTTCTGTTAAGGTTCTCATTTTAGAAAAGATTGTATAACCTAAGATAGTCATTTTGCTGGTTAATCAACCCTGAGTTTTTACAGGGTGCCGCATATGACGAAAGGCTCATTTCTAATCTCAATATCTCAGAAAAATTTAATTTAGACATGAACGCATAACAAATGTTTAAAATTATAAAGAGAATCTCGAAATACAAAAAAGATATTCCACTGAAAAAAGTTTGGCCCGCTTTCATTTTTGGGCTACCCTGTATATTAAAAAAATTATTGTTCATTTATAATTCAACTTTTCAGTTCCTTATAATAAGGAATCTATGGTACTCCGTCAGATCTTTGACCCACCATGTACAATGAGTCTTCAAACTTTTCTCGAAACTTTTTTTGCATTCATCTCTTTTTCCCTGAACCCCTTTCATAGGCCAATTAAATTATCAAAATATGACGAAGAATTGTCGTCAGACGATAAATAATATTTCAGAAACCTTGCGACAACCTTATAGAATATTCGCCCTGTACCTGCGAACCGAAGGCCTTTTCCGAAAACGATCGAGGACAAAGTATCCTTGGAGTAGACTAAAGAATTGCCCTTGATTTTTTATTGAACATACTGCCAAAAGAAAATATTTACACTCAGTGAATTAAAGAGTGATGGGTGTTAGAATTTTTGAAAATATAGATCCTACAGGATTTTAGCAAAAAACTTTCCTATCTCTAGTTCGTACTTTTGCTGCTACGTAGTGTATATAAAGATACAACATGAATCTAGTCCAATCCAATCAATGGCAAATCATCAAATTCATCTCCTTAAAAATATCGATTGTATCGAAGTATTTATCTGTTACAAAAAAAATGTAAACAACTTTTCATACGAAAGCAAGTAGGAAATGAACACTTAATACAATCGGTATGAGCTCAAAGCTAACACAGAAGTAGATGAGTATGCATACTTACTTAGCTTGCTGCAAAGACATTCATTCCAGAAAGATCGGAAGAAGGCACAATATCCAACGTGAAAATACAAAGAGATGCACCACTCATATATCACATTTTTACACACAAAACTATACTCCGCTCGTATAGACAAAGGCTTCCCTGCACACATTACCGAGTTTAACACAAGCAGAGCGTTGCGGACTCTCGACGCACCAGTCGCCACAAACGCCAACCGACGACTGAATCGCGTCAACGTTAGGTTGCAGCGTATGTAGTACGCCTGTACCGCATCGTCGTTATGCGTCGGCACTGGTAGGCATTTAGCCACGCCTCCTTCCAGCTCCTACATATCACATAAGACTGAAGAAATGGGAGCTGCGCCTTAAATAAACGCAACATCGTTGACGTTACTTGCCTGGAGATTTGGAGAAACTTCGAAGGGATTAGGAATGCTAGGAAGGTGCCGGGGACTTTGTTTACAATTTAAAATCTGCTGAAAGTGATATTGAAGAAATATTTTATGAACATAGATGCATAAAATAATATGCGTAATTAATAAAATATTTATTGAATAGTTAAATATATAAATAATAAGTAAAAATTCATTAGCACAGTAGATTGACAATATATACAGGTATTTTTAGACATCCGGAGCTTTCTCTATATTATTAAGTGAATAAGTAATGTTTAAAAAAAAGTATTACAAATCGTACATTAGTAGCATAAAAAACGATAAAAAGGGACCCTCAGTAAACAAAGAAATTTATTAGCAATATGATGCATGCTGCATGCACTACCTATTGTTAATACATCATGACATACATGTATCACTAACGTAAACATTTATACCAAAACAACAAAAAATAAATATTTGTAGTTAAGAAATAACTGGAATAAAAATCTAATCTGATAAAACAAATTTGCACTCATGGTTATAGTGTAAACATGAGAAAAATGTTCTTCAAAGAAGGAAACAAAGATGAAAATAAACAAGATATTCCTCATTCTTAAAACACGTCAGAGGTCTGCATTTTTATAGTAGAGCCTCTGGATAAATATGTCGAAATCATATTTTAGTGTAGACATTCAACATTATTTTCAAAGTTTCTAGTTATAGATGAAGTCAACTACAAGCCGCAGTAAACCTACATTCTTACACCCTCTTGTCATCTTTATAATTCAGGAACATCTCAAATGTACGTTGTGACTGTGGGTCATAACATAACAGTTTTTTACCATTCTCCATTGTCTGGTACCGGTTTAATATGAGTTTGATGCAAAAAAAAATAAAATCAATGAAAAAATATAACTTGACACATTGTCATTTTCGTTATCCCAACTATTTCGGAGCGTATAACACTGAATCAAAAGCTGGTGCATGATGGGGCAGAGGATATCAAAAATGAGTAGCTCAGCTGCCTGACACTCTAGAGCACTGGAACGGTATTGACAGGTGGTGGGTGGTGCCGAGTAACAAAAATGAGGCATTGGTTAGCGACTCTGGCAGTCTGGCACCCCCAAAACATGGCGCTTGCCAATGACATAAGTCAATCGTATTGCCCTTGAATAACATGGATGTTTTATAATCTGCTTTCTTCAGTGTAGAGATGGGCGGCTATTGATAAAAAACTGGCAATAAAATTAAACGGTTAACTGGAAAATAAACTTTATTTTTGTCAACAAGAATTCAATGTGGTATCTTATCGGCCATGTTCACACCGTGGCTAGTGAAGCGCCTAGATAGCGCATAGCACAGATGAAGCGGCCTAGTCTTGCATTCATGCACAAACTTACAACTTACAGCCTCCTTTATCAACCAATCCAAGTTATAGAATAATATATAAAAATGCCGATAACATGAAGTTGGCATCTGTCAAACGTCAAGTCTTGTCATAAACTGTGACATAAAAAAGGCGCTTTGTCTCTTAGAACATCTATTAGAACCTAGAGCTATCCCAAAGTGGTTATGCCTCGTCTGTTATGCCGATTCTTTTTAATGCCCGAATATGGGGTGGGGCATTGAACAATTGGTCAAGAACGACAAGAACTATATCCTATTTGACCAGGATCAATCACGCTTTGACGTCTACTGAGGTGAACAGCTGATCAGCGAGTGACATTTTTGTGTTAGTCTGCATCGTTGGCAATAATGGATCTGGTGTAAATCTAGTAAAACTTGTTTGTGGCATTTTGTTTTGTATGCAAGTGAACTTTTCTTAATAAAAGGGCTGTTAGCAAGTACAAAATGAATCTGTAGCGTACAAAAAACCGAAACAAAGTTCGGCTCTGTCTACCTGCCGTTGACGGATCCGTCAGGATTATGTGTCCTGTGCCGATATGGGGAACTTTGAGATATTACTAGATAATCAGTTGTCAAGTTGTCATGCTGCCGTGAGAGATACTCGTGAAATAGGGTTATTGTTATTCGGTTATTGCATTTTTTTACCCATAAGCGGTTTACCGTAGATAGATTATAAAATAACCGGTCTATTAATTTAGAAAAACCGGTTATTCAATTAACACGTTATTTATGCCCATCCCTACCGTTTATCCTGTATGCCTTAATTGTGTGTTCTAGGATTGTGAATTTTTAGCTTTCCGAGGTGTTTTGAAAGAACTCGCAGAAAAATTAATAACCAGATCTAAATAGAGGAAAACATTTGAAAAGACATTTTGGCACCTTTAGGGCAGATAGTCTATGATCTGCTATTGACTGGAGGTGGGTTTAGGAAGCATTTTTGGGAAATGATAAACGGAACTGGTCATTATTATGTATTTTGGTATCAGCTTGAATGCTTAAAAATGTAGTACAGAAACTTACTTCGTCTACTGCCCGCTCAATTATTTTCTAGCGCCCACCGAAATTACTGTAATTCTCAAATATACCTGGTTTAAGTATTTATAAAAACATAATTTTATTAAGCTCCTAGGTACTCTTTGAGAAAGACTGATCTATTATCTAGCTAGGTCTCAATTTTCAAATAAAAAAGAGACCGCATTTTGGCCTACCCTGTACATTTAATTCATTAGTGTGTCAAATGAAAGGTTATGATGAGATATTAATATTTTTTTCATTCCAGGTACTGGGTATTAGTTTCACAAAAGCCTTTTTTTGCAGCAGTTTGTAGAATAACAGGCACATCAATCCCTGTACAAAATGTCGGCAGGTGGCACTCCAGGTGCTGATCCCTGGGTTATTTCACCTAGAGAACGATTAAAGTATGAAGAACAGTTCAATTCATTGAAGCCAAGCAATGGAATAATCACTGGCGAACAAGCTAAAGGTTTCTTCTTGCAGAGTCAGCTCCCACCTCTCATTCTAGGGAAAATATGGTAAGCATGGATAATTGTTCAACCTAATTACATAATATTAAGTATCTACATTATTTTAACCAATTTTCTGCAAATCTCAAAATTTTTAAGCTCTTCATTTTATTTTTTGTTTTAATTTTTTTATATTAAATTTTCTATGTATCTGCACCTGTTTTTTATTTGTATTTGATGCAAATATGTGAGCATTTTTGCGGGAATTCGGGACAAAATGACTCGAGCGAGTTCAAACTTGTACTGAAGGCGGATCACGTGTACCCCTGTCTCCTCTCCAAGCTTGGCGCCTCCAGTGTTGCCGAATCGAACGCTACATTGGCAGTGTAATCATTTAATTTACCTTGTACAGTAATTAAAAAACAGCGACAATATTTATGTGACAGAACACCCAAAAATAATTTAAAATGTACGTCCTATTGAACTAGCTCACCGAAATATCTAGTAACACATCGCTGCTAATAATACCGTCCTACAGGTCATTGGCGGACACCGATTCAGACGGGAAAATGAACATTATGGAGTTTTCTATAGCTTGCAAACTTATAAATCTGAAGCTGCGTGGCCACGACATACCAGCCATGCTTCCGCCATCACTGTTGGCTTCATCGAGGCCGGCGGCGCCTCTTCAAGGGGGCACCGGAACTCCCACAGGACAAGTTGGAGTACAGGGTAGCTTGCCGCCATCTAGACCGGAACCGCCTAAGGCTGGACCAGTTCCAGTTGCAGCAGCATCTTTGATACCAGCTTTATCTGGTTGGTATACTTGCTTAAATTAGTCGTCGTACTGTCAAGGTTATTTTACTATTTATCATAATAGTACTAATAAATTTATTGTGGATTTTCAAGAAGACTGTCAAATCAACGAGTCGTTATTGTCCACCAATAGCGTACCAGAAAAGAAGAGTCCATCAAATATAGAGAATGAGCTGTAAGATCCATTTGACAAATTTTAGCAACCAGTAGTACTGAAAAATTGACAAAAAAATATTGTCAAAGTATGATTATGAATATTGCTGATTGCTTATTCATGTTTATATTATTTTCTGCAATTGATATGCGATTTTACCGAGGTTTATTTTGATGCACGAGTGTAATTCGGTAGGTACATAAAAATTATAGAAAAATTAGCAAATTGAAATGGGACAGAACTGATCAAAACTAAAAATTGCATGAATTGCAGCTGAAAACACAGTTGTAAAAATTACTGTTTCCTACAGGTGCAAAAATCCTCGTCTGCGATTCGGATTTTTGTTGCCACCAGGACTCATGCTTCTTGTTAAAATATTATATATTAATTTTTTCGGAAAAATTAGATGCCCTTATGATATTACTAATGAAAATTTCTAGTTTTCTAGGTAACGGAAAATTTTCGCTCTAATTTTGCGATAATTCCACACCTCTTCTGGCATTTTTTATACATGAGGGAAATATTCTCCGAAATAGCCGGAAATTTTGGATTTTTTCATGTTCCCTCAATTTTTTTGAGAGAGTTGAATATATGATTGCAGCGCCTGCACCTCCAAGTTCAACTGCTCCGATATCCACGGCTCCGGTGTCTGTACCTGTTAGTGCTACTACCACACCTAGAGGGAGCGTTGGAAGCTTAGATAGAGCCCAGTCTATTGAATCGTAAGTGATATTGGTTTCAAAAAGGTCCCACTGTATTTTCTGCACCGGTCAAGTCATAAGTCGAAATTTCGGATGATGAAACTAACGTAAACGCAACAGTTGAAAATTACGAGATGGAGGCCGGACGCCACTCAGAAACACGGCTGCGATCTTGTATCTAAAAAAGTGATGTTTCTGTGGATTCCAAAAATACCTGGTTTAAATTCGGGGATCGACGATTTTTTGTTTGAAAAGATAAAAATTTATAAGGGCTCTCCGTATAAAATTTTCTTTGGCCTAAATTTTAGGTTGGGAACAAGATATGCCTTCTAGCGGCCACATGTGAAACTAACGAAGCTTCAAATATTATAACATTTGTAGCCCTTGTAGCTCTTTTCAATTAGCCCAAGTTTGTTGAAATCGGCTCAGCCGTTTCGAAGATAAGATAAGATAAGGTGTTTTTTACGGAAACCTTTGAATACTTTTTTAGATTCAAGATTTCAGTTACGCCCCCTAGCGGCCAAAAAAATCGATTTGAAAATAAAAAAAAGTTGTGATGTTCCGAATTCGACCAAAATATTGCTTGTAGGTTCATTTTGAACCTGATTTTGAACAAAACGTGTACAACTGGATGTGATTTGGTAATAATAGGCAACCGGAATGGAGCATTCCCCATCAAACGAAGCTGAAATACACCCAGATGTTCAACACGACTGATCGACAAAGGAGCGGGTACTTGTCTGGCGTTCAGGCGAGACACATAATGGTGCAAACGAAACTGCCGCAGAGCGTACTCGCCCAGATCTGGGCGCTGTCGGACATGGACGCCGATGGTCGCCTGGGATGCGAAGAATTTGTCCTGGCTATGCATCTGTGCGAGAGAGTACAAGCGGGTAAGTTGTAGAGTGGAATACGAGGAATGTCTTTTAAGTTTTGCATATGGAAATAAAACAACACGGTAGGTAGTTTTAAATGGCTTTATTGTTTTTCGAAGTATTTTCCACGAAGATTAATACACATCTGCATGCGCTCGAACCAATTTTCGAAGCACTTATTCCACTCGCTTGCTGGCAGATCAAAAACGGCATTTTTGAATGCGTCAACTGCTTCTGCTGGTGACTGGAACTTTTGACCACGCAGTCTGTTTTTAATTTTCGGGAAAGTAAAGAAATCGTTAGGACTCAGATCGGGACTATATGGAGGATGGTCCAATAACTCCACATTTTCTTCCGTTAAATACTGCCTTGTTTTTTGGGCTGTGTGCGACCTTGCATTGATTGGTGGAGGATGATTCTTCTTTCGGGGTTGATTTTTCGAAGCTCGGTGATGACTTTTGGTAAACAAATGGTTACATCGCTAAATGTATCGACATCGAATTTGGAATCTACGCACTCTATTTACCCAGAAATCAAGTTTCCATCTCGATCATAGACGCGCAAGGGTTTTTAGAAATTTTTTATTAGTCGTTTTTTGACAAAGTTGAATTCTCGTACTCGTCTAGATGTTCTTCGACTTCGTGCAGCACTGCTTCCCCAATTTCAGGTGTTTTCACACTTAGAGGTCTACCTTCAGATGTTCCTTTTCGGACAGAACCAGTTTCAACAAGACGACGATGAATGATTAGAAAAGGTTCGACTATCTGGCAAAGCACGATCGGGATATCTCTGGTCATCAATCCGTCTTACTTGCTCACCATTACCGTCGGCAAGGCCATATACGTAATGCATTTTCACCATTTCTGCATTTGTATAATTCACCATTATTAACAAGATTGTAAAAACTTTTTTTTTTTTTTTTTTTTTTTATACTCCAACTACCACGAAGGCCTAAGGCCTAAGCACCCATTGGGTACCGTGGGGCTATGGGGGATACATGGGAAAGGGGGGACGCCACACGGACTCTGGCGAGGGAACACGTGTGCATGCAACATGCACACATTCTGGCTCCGCCTACGAGATCCGCCGGGTGGTACCTCCACGTTCGACAGTCAGAGACCGTCTACCACCTACGGACAATCACAACATCCATAGCCAAGAGAAAATTTTCTCATGGGACGGGACTCGAACCCGCACAGCGCACGGCGACTGATCAGGAGACCGAAGAGTCTCACAGTCTGTTATCAATTCATTCTACCATGAATTTGTTTAATTTGTCCGATGTGATACTAAATAATGAAAAAGATGTTACAGCGAACAGATTTTAATAACAGAGACTTGTCAGATGGCAAAAGCCAGAGCAACTAGATATTTATTGCTAAACTGCATTCTTCAATTATTACATTAATTTTCTCGGACAATAGAACGATTTTTATATTTAATATACATTTTTAGACAGAATACAGTTAATCATCCTGAAATCAAGTTGTGTTACTAATGGCGCAAAAGCCCGAAATAGATGAATCTATTACAGATGATTATCGTATACCATATTTGTAGCGGTCTTTATATTAGTTCTTACTATCTTTTGCTCTTCTGTTTTCTTCTGTGATCTAGACTTGTATGTAGGTTGACAAACTTAAAATAATCTTTCTCAATGAAAATAGGTGTCCCGCCGCCTGCGCGATTAACTCCAGATTTGATACCGCCTTCGTTCAGACGAGCAGCCCGGACGTCGTCAGTTTCAAGCCAGGGGAGTGCTGGAACTGGTGCCGAACAAGATCTGACCGCTACCTTGCTGCAACAGAGTGAGTCAGATCCAGTTATACAGGCCATTTCAAAAGTTGTCGCCGTATTTGTAGGAAGGAAATTACGCGCCCAAAGATAGAATGGACGCTTATTTAGCTTTAAGCATCAATATTACATCAAAATGAGCAAAACAAAAACCACATTATATAGATGGAGATATTTTAGTGGGTGATTTTTCGTTAAAAAATATGGTGCTGTTGCGTCTTGTAGAACTTTCGATTTTACTGTTTTTTCTCTTAAAACTTTTAGAGGGTAGTCTGATAGATTATTTAGAAACAAAAAAAGTGTGGATGAAGCACGCTTTTCATGAAAAAATGTTCCCAAAACATTGTATTTTTAGCTGTTTCCATCGTCATTTCCACCGCCATCTATCTGCCATGTGACGTAGATGTCTCAGATATGTCATATCTGAGAGGCGCTTGCCTGCGGTGTTGCCGGATTGAGCTCCGCATTTAGGGAAAAATATGAAAAGTTGGAAATTTATATACATATGTATATTAATTAATGAATCACTAAAACGAAAAACTGAAACAAACAACAGTAGCAAAATAAAAGGCGATTCCTAATAAGTATAAATAAAAAAATAACAGTAGTCAGCTAAAAAATGATAAATTATAAATGATTATAAAAAATAAAAACAGTAGTAAAACAAAAAGTAATTCCATGTAATTATAATAATCAAAAAATAACAAACAGCAGTAAAATCAAAAGCAATTCTATAAGTGATTATAAAAAACAAAAAATAAAAACAGTGGTAAAACAAAAAAAAAACAATCGCATGTTGAATAAAAAGCAAATCTAAGTGACAACACAAAACAAAAAGTAAAAACAGTAGTAAAACGAAGAACAATTTTCTGTTTTTTTTATAATAAATGGAATTGTTTTTTTTTTTGTTTTACTACTGTTTTAATTTTCTGTCTTTTATAATTACTTAGAATTGCTTTTTATTTTACTGCAGTTTGTTTCAGTTTTTTGTTGTTGTGTTTCATTAATATAAATGTGTATAAATTTTCCACTTTTAATATTTTTCCCTAAATACGGAGCTCAATCTGGCAACGCCGCAGGCAAGTTCCTCTCATATATGACATATCCACAGACGTCATCGTCATATGGTAGATGGCGGTGGAAATAATGGGGGAAATAACTGCTAAAAAATACAATGTTTTGGGAAAAAAATTTCATGAAAAGCGTGCTTCATCTACACTTTTTATGACGTAAAATAATTTATCAGACTACCCTCTATAAGTTACAAGTGAAAAAACAGTGAAATCAAAAGTTCTTCAAGACGCACCAGTACCGAAAAAAAGTTTTTAAAAAACATGGGTCCGGAAAGCAGAGTTTTCAAGAGACAAGATGATAAATTTAAATATTTTCTTTATTAATATCTTTAAAAAAATTTACAAGATTCTGTTGAAATTTGGCAATATCGTTTTTTGTATTAATAGGCTAAAAAATGTACTACGAAAAAGCTTCTAAAAATACAACTTCTTTGCCTCTTGTATTGTATTGTATTCTCACTTCGTTTTCGAGAAAAAAATCACGTTACTGTTTATCTCCAGATTTAAATACAAGTTTTATGTTTCTATGCATATACCTCAGAAATTTTATAATGTATTAGTTTCAAAGCGTATGCGGTTATACAAGGTGTTCAGGAATAAATTTCCCTTTTAACCTCGAATAACTTGGCATCTGATCGTACACAATTGTAGACGAAAGTTTTGTGCTCACTTCAATGTGAGGCGTGCGGAGAACTCACCAACTAAACATTTAGTGAAATCGTATTTAAGAAGGGAAATTTATTCCTGGACACCCAGTATTATCGAAACCCGGTGATTTCTTAACTTTCAGCTACTTTATGATATGTTCAATTTCGTATTGATCGGTCGGTGTTAGATACGTAATTATACCTCCGAATCGGTTAACGGTAACGATCAAAGTTTCGTACTTCTTGTAAGAAGTGCATAATCTATGGTTCCGCAGATTCGTTCGAAGATAAAAGGAAAGAGAACTTCGAGAAGGGCCAGGCCGAGCTAGAAAGAAGACGGAGAACGCTTTTGGACCAACAGAGGCAAGAACGAGAAGAGCGCGAAAGAAAAGAGCGAGAGGAACAAGAACGGAAAGAAAAAGTGAGTTTGTGTTTGAACATAGCTGTTTGTGTACCAAGAGCGCAAAGTTCTACTTTGCCACTCCAACGCGCGTTTGACATTTCGGAGCTGTGCAAATAGTAGGTTGTTCGGAAAGTTCTTGCGGTTTTTAACCTTCAAATTCGAAGCAGCATATCTCAGCTTTAACAAAACTTTAATAATTAAAATAAAAACTATTAGAATCAGTGAAGTTTTGCTAACGAGAAACAAGGTTATTTATGCCGCTAACGCAATAAACCTGAATTCTGGAAGCGATTAACTCATCGAAGGCATTTTTGGCAACGTCATGGTTATTGAAGCATTTATCGCGAAGGTAGTTGAGGTGTTTGAAAAAGTGGTTGACGGTGGGCGGAAGGTCCAGCGAATATGGTGAGCTTTTTTTACTTTCTGATTCGTTTTAAGTGCTCAGAAATGGTCGCAATACCCACATCAAGCTCGTCTGCAAGCTCACGAACAGTTGTGCACATGTTTGCTTCCACCAAGGCCTTTAATTTGCCTCTTGTACGTCCTATATTTCAAGTCCTGAAGAAACAACAAATTATCATAAAAAAAACGAATACTACGACTAGATAGAGCGAAAAACGAACTTTAAAATGATATTCGAGGGATGTCTTTTAAGTTTTGCATATGGAAATAAAAGAACACGGTAGGTAGTTTTAAATGACTTTATTGTTTTTCGGAGTATTCTCCACGAAGATTAATACACATCTGCAAAACAGACAGTAACTCAGCAAGGCATTCTTGTTGCGATAATTGTCTCTGAAAGTTGTAATAGATTATGGCGAAAAAATGTTCTCGGTTGAGTTCCATTTTTCTAATGACTTGGTGACACTCAAAAATTCACTGTACGTATTGTTGTGAAACTTTGAATTTAAGTTTACCAAAGAGTGAGGTCAAGATTCAGTACTCACGTTCGATCCGCGCGGCCTACTATGTTTCTATATGCAAAACTTAAAAGACATCCCTCGTATAAAGTCAAAGTGTTATAAATAAATTTTAGTGTAAAATGCATCATTTAGAATATCAATAACAAAAACCGCAAGAACTTTCCGTACAACATAAAAGAATGCACTCAAATTTCAAAAAAGATTTTTGCCACCGTAGAAATTCAGATTTTCCGATTAGAGTAAGATCGCAGGGCTGCCAGACATTACTTATTTTCTCAAGGAGAAAGGTTGGTGCAATCAGTAGCATTTGCATGTAGTCACTGCCAAAATATATAGTAGAAAAGACAAAGGGCTTCCATGCAAACTAATCGTTGAAAGAATGTTGAAAGTTGGTGTGGTTTTATTTTGAAGGCAAGACAAGAGGCGGAACGTAAAAGATTGGAAGAACTGGAGAAGCAGATGCGAGAACGACAGGAAAAAGAAAAAATGGTGCAGGAGGAAAGAAAGAGGCAAGCGGAACAAAGAGAGGCGGCTAGAAAAGAGATGGAAAGACAACGACAACTTGAGTGGGAGATACAGAGGTGATTATCTATCAGATAGTTTCAAGCCAGTATACACCAAGCGCGGATAAAAATTTGTTGTTGAAGGCCGATGAATCGCCGAAATTTAAGCACTCGACATTATACGAGGTTTGTCCGAAAAATACGTATGAACGTGGGATGTTAATCTTGTCTTACAGGTATTGCAATATGGGTTCCTTCAAAGTACTCCCCCTGAAACAAGATGCACTTCTGTCAACGCCGTTTTCACTGTTGAGACGATCGCTGAAAGTCGTTTCGGCTTTGATGGCTTCCACTCCCCCAAGGGCCGCCCCTGAAGCATCGTTTTACATTTTGGGAACAGGAAGAAGTCGCAAGAGGCTAAATCGGGTGAATAAGGCGGGTGTTCTGTCACGGTGATTGAGTTTTGGGCCAAAAACTCACGCACAACGAGAGACGCGCGAGCAGGCGCGTTGTCGTGCTGAAGGATCCACGTGCCACCTTGTGCCAAATCCGGTCGAACTCGGGCCATACGAGCTCTGAGACGACCCAAAAGTCCAATGAAAAAATGTCCGTTCAGTGTCCGACCGGGAGGGACAAATTCTTGGTGAACAGTGTCCCGAGAATCAAAGAAAACAATCAACATTCTTTTCGCATTTTACCTTGATTTTTTTTACCTTTTTGTTCTCGGTTCCCCGGCTTGTTTCCACTCCATGCTTGTAGATTTCAGCTCCGCATCGAAATCGTAGAATCAAGACTCGTCTCCAGTGATGACTTGGTTGAGAAAGTCCCCCCTTTCCTCTGCGTTACAGCAAGCAAGCAACCCTCCTTGCTTTATGTTCTGGAGTCGAAAGCTTGGGAAAGATTTTCGCGCACAGTTTTTTCATTTCAAGTTCTTCTGACGAAATTTCGTGAACGATTGTTTTGGGGATTGACAGTTCCTCAGCTATCATTCTAACTGAAGGGTACCGGGGAATAACGACAATAGTCCATCCGGAATGATTTTGAGAAAATCGGTAATTAAGGTTTACTTACCTGTTGTCTCCCTAAACTTGTTCCAACCACTAAAAAATCTCTCTTGCCTAGCATTGCAAGAAACTTGATGTTGATGATCAGAGCATATACGGGATTGCATACAGAGAGGGAACCATCGGGCCGCCCCTCCACAACGCCCCGATTTTTTTACACGTGTTTTCCGAACAAACCTCTTCTATAAAAGTCCTTTATTGCAGATTGCAAGAACTCCAACAGCAAAGGCAACGCGACCAAGAGAACGTGCTGAAACTCAAAGCGAAGAACCAGACGTTAACCATCGAAATCACATCGCTGAACGAGCAAATCAAGCAACTGTCGCAAAAGATCTGCGATTCGCGAATCGGCGTGACGAACGTAAAGGCAACGATAGACGGGATGCGAGGCACCAGAGATGGATATATGAGCGAAATGAGTCAACTCAAAAATAAACTCAAAGAACAGAATGCTAAGCTGTTGTCACTGTCACAAGAAAAGGTAGGACTTCTAGTTCAAAAAGTTGAAATTTTGTCACGACTGAGAGTTGTGGGGCAAGTTTGCTCTTGGTTGGGCAGTCTATCTGGTGAAGTCGCTCAAATAATAAGAATACAGTAAGATCGGGTCATTTACAATGTTTTATCGGGTTGTTCGGAAAGTTCTTGCGGTTTTTGCTATGTATAACTTAAATGATGAATTTTACACTAAACTGTATTTATAATACTCTGACTGTATATATCATTTTGAAGCGCGTTTTTCGCTCTATCGAGTCGTTGTATTCATTTTGTTTTACGATAATTTGTTTTTTTAAAACTTCAAATATAGGATGGACAAGAGGAAAATTCGCGCGATTTTCTTATTCCAGTTCAAATTAGGCCGAAAAGCTGCCGAGGCAGCTCGCGATATCAACGATGCGTTTGGCCAAGGAACCACTATCGAACATACGGCACAATGGCGGTTCAAGAAATTCCGCAGCGGTCACGAGAGACAACTGTTCGTAAGCTTGCGGAGCTTGCTGTGTGGGTACTGCGACCATTTCCGGCCACTTTGGATCAAAAAGTAAAAAAAGCTCGATAAACGGGTGCCGCACGAATTGAGCGAAGATCAGAAAAATCGGCGTTTTGAGGTGGCGTCAGCCCTTCTTCTACGCCTCAAAAACGACTCGTTTTTCGACCGGATTGTGACATGTATTCAAAAGCGTATTCATTGCGACAATAGGCTACGTTCTGCGCAATGGTTGGACAACGACGAAGCTCCAAAACACTTCCGGAAGTCGAAACTCCATCCAAAGAAGGTTATGGTGACTGTGCGGTGATCTGCAGCCGGTCTCATCCACCACAATTTCGGCGGAGAAGTACTACCAGCAGATCGACGAAATGGGTCAGAAGCTTCGACGTATGTGCCCAAGATTGGTCAATATGAAGGGTCCTTCACGACAAAGCCCGGCCACACGTCGCACAACCGACCCTGCAAAAGCTGAACGAATGCCTTCAATGACTTCATCGCCTCCAGATCTCTACGTTAGCGGCACAAATAGACTTGTTTCTCTTTGCCAAAACTGTACTGATTCTAATGTTTTTTTATTTTGATTAATAAAGTTTTGTTAAAGCTGAGCCATGCTCATTTGAATTTGAAGGGTAAAATGCGCAAGTACTTTCCGAACAACCTAATAATTTGTGCAGATATTGCATTATAATTCAAGATGATCGTAAAAATGGTAATTACTGTAAAAAATAGATTTTCGGTATTTATCATGAAATATACTATATTTTTTCATCGAAATATGCTTTTTCTACATGCCTGTCAAATGATAATGACGATATCTCATTTTCGTAATTTTTGCACTTACTGATGTGGCTAATGACGGCAGTAGAGTCTTATTTTAAACCTGTTTGATTGCCATTTTTTTTAAAGGTGAAACTGGAGGCAAAACTCAAAATGAACGCTCGAGACTCCGAGGAGGCAAAGCAGGCGTTCGAGAACAAAGAGGTCAACATAAAGAACTTGAAGAAGAAGATTGACGATCTCCAAGAAGAAATATCCACAAAACAAGCGGACATCGAGAATAACAACACCCAATACATGGATTTGCAAACCGAAATGAATAATCTTGTGAACGATTGCAAACAACTTTACGCTACGTACGAGACAAAACATAACGTTATATTGGAAATGAAGGACTCGTCTAGAAATGACTACAGCGCTTGGAAATCAAACGATGCTTGGAGCGATCACGTCGAAGGTAAGGGTTTTAATCCAGTATCACATTCAAATATACTAAGTGACATATAAAATGCGACACCCAGAATTATTTATTGAAAACTTATTTGCTATCATGGAAGTATACGTTCCGGAAAAGGCGAAGTTCAGCTTTCATTCCTAGGGGAATATAATAAAAGAAAGATTGACGAAATTCAAATAGAAAGGAAAAAAGAAAAAATACAATTGGAGATAGACGCAATCATACATCATAAACATCGGTGATAGATATTTAACATGGTACATGACTATAGCAAGATCTCAGAAACCTGGAGTAGTATTTTGTGAAAGAATCAAGCGATTTGGATTTTAAGTATTGAGAGACAGCATTATATGTTCTGGAAATATTATAAGAAAAGGATCTTTCAAAGATGGTCGTATGATTGCGATTTCAAGAACAACCGTCCGTTGTACCGGACCCTGTATTCATGATTTGATTGATTGACGATAAATATATTTTCAGCTAAACCGGAATGGCCTACAGATAATTGGCCTGTACAGAAATCTTCAATCAGTGAGATAGCCGCAATACCTGGAAACGTGAGATATAGAGCTCTATACGAGTTCGTAGCGAGAAATGCCGACGAAATATCTTTTCAGCCTGGTGACATCATCAATGTGAGTTGATTTTTCTTTCTGTCTTTGATGTTCAAAAAGTGGCGTGAAGTAAACCGACTCCCACGGAATGCTGTCAGTTGATGAATAAACCTGAAGCAAAGTGATAATTGAGATCTCATATGATATTGTTGATATAACGTATGTCCTAGAAGTTTTGGGACAAAATATTTATCGGATTTTTTTTTTTTTAATGAAGAAGTTTATTTAAACATTAACTGGTTGTCATATACAGAGTGTTCCTTAATGATATGCGAATATTTAAAAATGTTTCCTTACAAAAACTCGGGGTGTTGGAATTTTAGGAAAAAATGGAAATTGATTAATATTTTCAGAACCGCTTCAGATATTTCACTGATATTCACTACGTAGTAAAAGTTAATAAAGTTGCATATTTTTCAACGCAAAAATAATTTTTAGCTTTAACAGTGGCGTGTGTACGGGGAACTGACATCGATCTTTTTTAAGAAAAAAATGGTACGCCAACGGTTTTTTGCCAAATAAAAATTATTTTTGAATTCGTCGTTCAATTTAAAACAGATGATCTCGCTTGAATTGTTTTCCTTCGATGCGCCATTTTTGAGTAAAAAAATAAAAACCGTTCTACTGTCCGAGAAAATTAATGTTATAATAATTGAACGCAATTTTTTGCTAGGAAACATTTTTGGACCATCATAGTTTATAAAGCAAAGTAACATTAATTTTTCATGTCGATTCACACCCTTAAATATACGCATATCATTAAGGAACACCCTGTATATGATAATGCGAAAGGCTTTCGCGGCCATCGCAAATAAATATCGACTGACAGTGAAGTAAGTAAACAAACTTTTGTTTCCAAAGGCAATTCGATATAATTTTGTGTTTGTTAAAATTAATGCTAATTAATTTTGCGCCAAAACTTTTAAGACATAATTTTATATAATAACTTTTAAGACATGTTAATTTTGGTAGCACAGCGAGTACTTAGCACTCCGCTGAGGGGCGATCGGATGCCTATGCAGCGGACGACCTTATTCAGCTTCTTTAGAAATATTCAGTCTGGTATCTCTTATATAAATGAAGACTTGAAACTTGTCTCAAAATGGTTAGCATCTAACAGACTACAATTAAATACAAGTAAAACGAAAGCCTTGTTAATCGGAAAATGTTCAACTGAATATTGATGGTGAAGATATTGAATTCGTAGAAAATTTTAAATACCTGGGGTTTTTTGTTGACTCTCGATTAATTTTTGATATTCATTATGAAAAAGTTATAAATAAGATTAGTAGTAAAGTGGGATATTTATCGAGAGTTTCTGGATGTCTGAGTTCATATAGCAGAAAAATTATCTATAATACCATCATTCTTCCAAATTTCTTGTACTGTTCGACTATTCTATATTTAGCAAATAATTCCATTTTTGAAAGACTGCAAATTTTACAATATAAGTGCGTGAAAATAATACTAAATAAAGATAAATATATTCCAATTAGGCAAATGCTTAGCAAATTAAAATGGCTCAATGTAAAAAATGTTATCAAGTATCTTGTAATGATATTCATTTATAAAATAAAAAATAATATATTTCCATCAAGTCTAACTAATTTAACATCATCAAATGTCGACCATCATTTACATAATATCAGAAACAAAGATGACTTCCATTTAATGACCAAAAAGTATAACATATGCTACAAATCTGTATTCCATCAAGTGTTGATTGAATATAATAAATTATACTCGGAAATAAAAGACCAGAAAACTTTGACAAAATTTAAAGTAAAAAATTGAGAAATCACTTGTTAAATGTACAATTATAGGTTGCCCAGCATTTACATCATACACCATATGGCTTGAATTTACTAATTCTAAGTTGTTTACAATTATTCGGTTTATGTAGCCAAATGTGCTAAATAAATCTTTCTACTACTACTACTACTACTACTAGAGATGCCGGGAAACATTTAATTATCGCACTTTTTTCATCTACGTTTGATATGATTATGATGAACATGTGATATTTGTTTAAAGGTACCGAAACAACAAACAGGCGAACCAGGATGGTTGGCCGGTGAAATTAGGGGGAAAACGGGCTGGTTTCCTGAATCTTATGTGGAACCAATGGATGGAGTCGATGTTAGAGATACCGAACTTATATCCTCGTCGGCACACGAAAACATAACGATTGAAAGTACGAGGGTACTAGAGTAAGTACTACACTGCGATGAATTCGTTACGTGAAAAATATCGCACCAATATTGCGGAATGTGGTTCCACCTGTCCGATCGCCCCAAAATGTATCCAGTTATAATGAAAATACGAGGGTGGTCTGAAAAGTTTCCGACCTAACAAAGATAGAAGACTATTTTCTGATTTTCTTTTATTTTCCAGCATAGTCTCGTTATAACTCTACACTTCTCACAGCAATGCTCCCACCTCTGTAACCCGTCGGGGCGTTTTTCTCTGCAAAAATAATTGTTCACGAAGGTGTCTTGTTCCTCAGTTTTTAGGAGAGGGAACAAAAATTGCGCTCGGATGATTGAAGAGGCAATCACCATCGAAAACAATTATTTTGCATTGAAAAATACCGACGGGTTGCAGAGGTGGGAGCGTCGCTGAGTGAAGTGTCTAGAGTTACAAGGAGACTGTTGAAAAAAAACCTCAGAAAAAATGTGTTGCATCTTTATTTCAGATTTATTTAGCATTAATGCTACAATATCCATAATACCCTTATTATACAGTATGTCACAAAATATATTATGTCTTCAAGACTTCATATTTTTATATAAAATTTCACTACTATGAATTCTGGTTTTCCATGAGATATTTTTCCAATTTCCCTTTGAACATTTTCAAACTGTCACACATCTTGATATCATTACTTAATTTATTAAATTCGTACAATCCCCTTTGATATACTGAATTGCTCATTATATTGCTACTGCAGTTTTGTCGATGAAAGTCTATACTTCCTCTAGTAGAATCATTGTGGCACTCATTGTTCAATACGAAGGATGTCTTTTAAGTTTTGCATATGGAAATAAAACAACACGGTAGGTAGTTTTAAGTGAACTGCTTCTTCTGGTGACTGGAACCTTTTTCGAATGACTTGGTGACACTTAAACATTCACTGTAGTGAGAAGACTGCACGTATTGTTGTGAAACTTTGAATTTAAGTTTACTAAAGAGTGAGGTTAAGATTTAGTACTGACTTTCGATCCGCGCGGCATACTATGTTTCTATATGCAAGACATCCCTCGTATATAAAATAAATAGTAATGGACCTAATTTGCTACCTTGTGGCACACCTACAGGTCGGTAATTTTTCAGACCACCCTCGTATTCTGTAAAACGGATTATTCAAGAATGTGTTTCCTAGGGGAATCGCTGAAGTGCCAGAAAGTACCGAAGTGCCTAACGTGGTGGAGCCTGTAGGTACGACTGCCGTCAATGCCATAGACACAGAACCAGAGTATTATATCGCTAACTATCCCTACCAAAGCCAAGAGGTCGGAGACTTGACGTTCAATGCTGGAGAGGTAACGTGGTGTTTTCATTGTGCCAGAGTAAACTGCAGCAATATATTTTTAGGTAATTGCAGTGATAAAGAAAGAAGGAGAATGGTGGACGGGGAAAGCAGGAGATAGAATTGGTATATTTCCTAGCAACTACGTTCAAAAAATGGATACGGTAAGCATTTAATCTTTATGGATTATATCCTGTCCACTACGCCACGACGCGTTCGGTCTATTTGATCTTTTGCTTGTCATTAATGCATAAAATAAATATTAGTGGACTCACTTTGCACCAACAGAAATATTTTTTTAGCTGGATGATGTAGATCCAATTTTGTTTTTTGATTTCTGTCAATTAATCAGATTTGTAGAATATTCAATACAGATCCTTTAAATCCATAGCGATGCAATTTTGTAAGTTATTTATCCCTGTCGATAGTTCGAAACGCCCCGTTATCATTGTTATTATCTTATTGATTATTCAGACGTCCAACATAGCGAAACTAACGTCTAACGTTGAGTACGCGAGCTCGATAAGCGACGCGCCCTCGGAGGGAGTTTCTGCTGAAGCTGTGAAGACCGCGTTGGAAAGTGTCACCTCTCAGCAATCTCAAGCCGACAACGAAGTATCTCAATTGACGCAAACCTCGAAAAAATCCATCAGCGAACAAGGATCCCAGAATGGAGGCCAGGTAGGCGACATTTAGTAAACTTTAATGCTTCCTCGAAATAGTTGAGTCAGCGCAAATCGCCATCCATCATCTATGCTAGTTGAGTAAGCAATTCGTCTACATGATCAGTAAAATCTAATTTATGATCAATGGTCAGTCCCAAAAAATTGATGGTGTGTTTGAATCTATACAATCAAGGGAGCATTTAAATATCATACATTTTGTCTGATTAACGTTGAAAGTCAACATCAGCCTTGCGAGGTCGTCAACCTAATTTGGGCTTCAGTGTAGACTAAGAATAGGATCTAATGCTGAAGAAATAAAGATCTTTTCGTAAATATTTCTAGACGTACTCATTTTTTACAATTTGAATATATGTAAATACGTAGGTGGTGAAAACGAAAAAAACAGAAATAGCGTCGGTGATCGCTCCCTACCAGTCTACAAGTCCAGAGCAATTGTCGTTGGCTCGCGGCCAGCTGATCATGATCAGGAAGAAGACCGACAGCGGTTGGTGGGAAGGAGAATTGCAAGCCAAAGGCAGGAAGAAGCAGGTCGGATGGTTTCCGGCTAGTTATGTCAAGGTAAAAGTTGCTTGTCAAATGTATATCTGTTCTGTTATTGATATAAAGTGCATACCCTGCTTTTTAGTTAATGGCGTACCCCGGGGGCAAGGAGGGCAATTTTGGGAAAATTGGTTCCCTTTTCCGAAGATACTAGAAGCGTCAACATTTTTCAAATGCATTTTCTAAAATGTAATGTCACTTCTTGTTCCTAACCACTTCATATGTAGACTGGTAGACATATTTATCAACATTGACTTCTGATTGATTGAATCCGAAAGATTGTTTAGATATTTATGCTGATACTCGACTTATCCTTTTAGGTATTGAATAGTTCGGGTAAAATGAGCGGTAGAACTACACCCGTCAGCACTACCAGGATGCAGCAGGAAATTATTATAGGTTAGTATAACTCGAAATCTTAGATGAATTTGAAAAGTTCACGACTTAGATTTTTTATATTTTTCCCATAACTATTATGGCTTGGCCTATCCCCCGTTTCCGGCTTCACGTCGACTTCTGGCACATGCTGTTGTTGTTGTTGGAGATTTATTTAGCATTAATGCTACAATGTCAATTTTGTATAATGATCCATTTTATGTAATTTTATATTCTTGTTTATTAAAATTAAAATTACGTATTGTATTTTGATTATTCATAAAGTAATTTTTTAATTTCACGTTAAATATTTTTAAGTTCGAACTCTGTTTAATATCATTATTCAATTTAGTAAATTAAAATACTCCCTTTTCAAATATTATAATTCACCATGAACTAAACAGTGATTCACCAATAATAATAATTTCTCTCCAATTATATTGAAACAATCATTTAGAATATTTTTTGAGAGATTCTCACTTGGATTTTTACTAGATTTCAATTTTGAGGTAGCTTTTCTTAGATTGTTGATGTTAATTGTCCTAAATTGTTTCATTGATGAATTCTGACATACATGTTATCAATCGTCTTCACTATTTGATTTACACTTTCTATAAAATAATTGTTCATTCTTTCTGTTATAATTAATTTGTCTGTCAGTACCCCATCTTCGAAACGGATTTTAGATAATTCAGTCTTTTTATTAGGAGAAACAATATTCTTTAATGTTTTCCACCTCATTTTAGAATTATTTTTATTGCTATCGATCTTCTTATCATTGTTTTTCAGACAAGGTGATAGCGCTGTATCCATACACGGCTCTGAACCCCGACGAGTTGACCTTCAACAAGGACGATATCATCAGCGTCACGGCCAGAGACGAAGAGGCTTGGTGGAAAGGAGAACTAAACGGAGTTTCCGGACTTTTTCCAAGCAACTATGTTACACCTCTTCAAGCCACTCAATGTACGTATATATCTTTATTGAATTCAGTGCCGAGAAATGAACTGAATTATTATGACTTAGGTTTCATTCATATTGTTTGGAAAAGGTATCACATATTTTTGAACTTAATGGATCTCAATACCTGTGAGCTTAGGTTAAATTAGGAAAAAGTTGCGTTCTTAAATTTCATGGCTCAAAGATACAGTTATTAGTGACCGTACCTCGTCGGACCAATTTTTGTGGGACAACAAAGAATGAGAAAACGTGTTTTTTGAGATTCGATTGAAAGTGTTGGCAGGAACGAAAAAACTCTTCAAATAAGATTTTTGGGTATTTAAAATGAGACCACATGTAAAGATCCGACTAATAGTAAGAAGTAAAGGTGTTGGCACTTGATGCTAATGCGACGATATTTTCATGCAGCTACTTGAAATCCTTCAAATCCGAAGGCTTCTTACTTCTAAATAACCAGAACAAAATTGAAGTCGATTGGTCGAGTAGTTTTTGAGAATGTCTAATAAATCTTTCCGGCCATCATCACTAGTTTATTGGGCAATATACAAGGTTCGTCCAAAGAGCACTTTATAGCAAAATACACTACCTTGGCGACATAAATCATAAACCATTCCGAAAGATAATTGTTATTTTTATGCGAAAAACGAAATGTTTCGTTTTTTTCTTCTAAACAAATCCAAACATTTCGTATATGTAACTGAGCATTGATTTGCTACGATATTAAATTAAAAACATACGTTACTATATATATGTTAAAACAAAGCGGATATGTCTCACCTTTTGTTATGAAGAAAACAACTTTTTTTCAAGATTTCTTCATACTCTTGCGTATAGATATTTAGAGCTGAAATCTTTACACGCTCACATATGAGCCTGAAAGTTTATTATAAAAATTCCATACTGAAATCCGCTGAACTATTTATAAAGTTAGCATGCAAACTGAATACACAAATGAAGGGTACCGGGGGAAAACGGCATTAGTCCATAATTTGGCTAAATTGAGCTTTCAGTTTATTTTGGTGGCATTTTTCTGATGCTATCTTGTAATCAGCTTCTTAAATTGTAAAAAGGGCTTAGGTTCACAAAACAACAGCTATAAGATTCCCTGTGCCGAGGAAGAATGGCATGCGTCCCTGCGCGTGTATGGAAAGACGGCATCAGTCCATATGGAAAGGCGGCGTTGCGTCGCCCGTACCGTTTGGGCGCTTCGTTATTCCATCAGCCATTAGTTTACTATTAGAGTGTGTTGTATACGCTGATATTTTGAATATTGACTATATTCGCTAATTTAGCTTATAATACGGGTTTTGTGTATAATGGATAATGACTATTCAGTTTCAAGTGAAAATGAACCAGGCCCATCAAACAGAGAAACGAAAGAACGCAAAAAACAGGAAGACAAAGAGACGTAATGAAAACGTTGCGCGCCACTGCCCACGAACTTGGATCTGAATGTTTTTATTTTGAACCTGAACGCTGTAGACTTCTTCGTGAATTTAATGAACTAGGGAACACTAATGCACAAAACGCTTAACTGAGTTTTGAAACTCCGGCAAGACTGGATAGTCTTCAGATCCTGGCCTAAGCTATTGTAATATAAAATTGCAGAACCGCAGGACGGAGGTTCGAATGCACGAAGCTCCTCTATCGTATAAAAAATGTTATAATGCCAAATTTTGGTTTTTCCCAAATACCTCAGTTTAGCCATGAAATGTTTGCAAGTGTCTCAACGCCATGTAATTACGCCCTAAAAGACGCAGCTTTTTCCTGATTTATCCTTATCTGCGCATCTCCCACAGGTATTGAGATCCCCGTTCATAGGATTCTTATCATATAAGACACATTGTGAAAATCTATTAAAACCTATTTCAAAAGCATTATATTTTCCCTTTTATTTGTAGGAACACTGGAAACAGCTCGCCCAAACTGCTAAGAATTGCAATCCAGACATTGTCGTTAATGGAATATATACTCGTACTTTTAGCAGAGATTGATGTGTGTTAGTAATCTATGTTACCATGTTATCATCTCAACAGATGAAATGTTTTGATTTATATTGTTGCTTTATCGATGTATTTTAAATGGTATGTTAGCCCTGCTTGATCTCTTACTGATATCATAATTGTTAAGTGATTTACACAAGAAGAAACTAGTTTCATCATGACTAGTGCCTAGAGAGCTCACCTTAGAAAACTATATACGCTTTAGTTATAATTTATCTAGCTCATTCAAGTTATTTATCAACAACTAAAAGCTAATTGCTTGATTTTCACATTTTTGCATGTATGTAAACCACAATCCATTTGATGTGATCTTGTATTGGTTTGAAAGATTTCGATGAACCATGCATCCACCAACAGGAGATTGAAATAGTCAGTAACAACATTTTTTCAATTGACAAAGTAAAAAACATTATAAAAGAATTGTACAAGTGAGTAACTTCATGTCTGGATACAAAATTAAATATGAGACGCACTATATCTCAATTAAAAATGTTTACAATTCATACTTGAAAGCGCGTCTCTTGACTTTTACGGGAAACAATGTATAATGTTTTAGAAGGAATCATATATGAACAAGTCCTTGAATATATTGGAGAAAATAAGATATTGACAAAATTTCAAGCAGGATTCAAAAAAAAGTATTCTACTGAAACAGCAATTCAATTGGTAGTAGAAGAATCGAGGCGAAATATGGATGAAAAAAGTTTACAGTAACATTGATCTTAGATTTGAAGAGAGCATTTGAGACTATTGACACGAAATTGGTTCAGTATTCAACTTATTTAATTAATTTTTTTATTATTTAATCAATAGAAGTCAAAGAACTAAAATTGGCAACACATTATCAAACATTAAAAATATTTCGGTAGGTGTGCCACAGGGTAGCAAATTAGGTACATTACTATTAATATATATATTAACGATATTCCTGATATTTTACAACACTGCAAAATTCAACTAGTTATAGTAGTATATATCAAATAAAGACATTGAAATTGCAATAGAGCTGTTAAATAATGATCTGAAAAACGTAATAAATTGGTTAAATGTAAATAAACTTAAACAAAACAAAATATATGCTAATAGGAAAATTAGCTTAATAATTTGTCAAATGAAAGCATATCACATCAGTTATCCGTAAATCCAACCAAGTCAAATGTTTTATTGTTCGGGAAACAGAAAAAGAGCGTTGCAGATTCATTCCATATTTCAATTAATAATAATGCTATTCCTCATACATTCGCTACTAGGAATTTAGGCTTGATCATGGATAGTGACCTGAGGTTTTCAAAGCATGTTGATAAGTGCATTGGCCGTCCTTATGGTCGGCTTAAAATGTTATTTCCACATCGTCATATCTTTTCAACCGAACTTAAGGCTTTGCTTTGTGACACGCTTGTTCTGTCATTATTCAATTATTGCGACTCAGTTTATGGGCCTTGTATAACAAGGAATGATGTTGATCGTATACAGTGTGTCCAAAACTCTTGTCTTAGGTTTATTTTTGGAGTGAAAAAATTTGAACATATTTCTTATAAGTTACCTGTAATAGGATGGCTAAATGTAGACGCTAGGAGAAATCTGCACTCTGCAGGTTTGTTTCATAAAATTATTCTATATAAAACTCCGCCTTATTTATATAATAAGATTACATCTCGAAATGATGTTCACAATATCAGTGTTCGGTATCAGAAACTAATTTCCTAACCACGTCATCGTACATCCATGTTTAACAGATGTTTTTCTCATTTTATCTACCACTTGTATAATCACGTCTATGTCTGTGTCAGCTTTTAAAAGAAGTTACAGAAAATTTCTATTAGATGAATTATAGTGTTTACTTTATATTGTTCCGTTCCTTTTTATATTTTAAATGTTTTTTTTGCCTAAAATAATGACATTTTTCGTTAAATTATATTTTTTTATATAATTTCTTTATATACATATAGTTTTTTGACGATTGTAATTATTATTTATCAATTATTAATATTAACTTATATAACTTGGTTAAGAACTCCTCTGTTGTAATTTTGTTTGTTGGGCTAGTACTTTGATCAGCTCGTCTGTTTACTATTCCCTGTTGCAGGGAATTCATGTTGTTTCTTCATTTTTAATTTTTTTTCTCTTTGTATTTTTTTTGCTCTGCAAATAAACGCTATTAATCTTTATATCAAAATACGATAAATCTTACAATTAATCATGAAAAAATTGTTTCAATCAAATCATTTAAATATTAGCTACCAAAACACCTCCAATATTTATAGAATAGGATAAAATTTATAGACGATGTCCACGATTTAAATATTTGCAGTAAGTTTCCTATCTTTCCCCCTCCACATCGAACTTGTATATATTTGAGAGATTATTTGCATTTAGTATTTATAGCACGTGTATCAGGTTTTATGTATGTTGGCCCTTTCTCCAATTATATTTATTCTTTAAATGAGTTACTGTAATTTTGAATAAATTTGTTTATTACTATCGTATGGATTTTTTCATTTAATATTTGTAGCTTTACCAATATTTACTTATGTTTTAATCTAACCCCAGTGACTCTGATGACGTCATTTTTGGTCACTTTCGAACAGAAACATCATTGACTAAAAAATGACGTCTTTATTAACATTTCATTTTGTCATTGCCTAAACATATACAGGAGTGTATTCAGCTGCTGGTCACTCAACACATTAATTTTTTTCCTTAGTAGTTGTCAATAAAATTTCGTGAGAATTTTATCGCTTCGTTCTTGATGTAAGACTACCTCATTGCCAAAAAATCCCACTTCTAATGTCGCTTAGTATATTTTGAACAATAGGGGCCCTAGATTTGAGCCCTGAGGCATCTTATTATTCATTCTACTCAAATGTCTCTTTTTAAAACATTTTTAATTTGGCACCCAATGAGGGATCTAACATCAGGGCCCCCAAATCCAGGAAACCTGGACACTGGAAATTCTAGTGTACTCATAGATAGATACTTTGGTATATTTGATATGGCTGTTACAGATTAAATTTTGCAGGATGAAGTAAACAATGATAATAAATATAACAAATTGTATATTTAAATCTAAAACAGCTTGGTTTCAGTCTTTCTTGTAAATATATAAAACATCAGCCTTGGAGAATAAGATCTAAAACATCTTGAGGTGTAGGATTCTTTGTCACTCCAAAAATATTCAATTTTTCATCTAGCATAGCATTTTCTGTCACTGGACCGATTGCAATCAGCTACAAAAACACATTTTCGAGGCAAAAATGAAGATTTTCAATATCATATCACCAACCTTTGCATTGGAAAAATCTTTGATATCCTTCAGGAATTTTAAGGAGCTATAAACTCCCGAAGGGCTGAAAAACACAATATATTCCTGTATGTTGCTAAAATCATTAGTCGCTCTTTTAATCTCTGCCTCAATTCCTGGATTCGGTATAGTCTCGTAAACCAAAACTCCTTCTATATCTACTCCTTCTTTGCCCAGTTCATTTTTCAATGTATCGGTTTTCAAATTGCCATGAGGAAACAGCAATGGTTTTTCCAACTGATCTTTACCTATAATGCAGAAAATAGTCCATTCAATGATAACTATACAGAGCAAGTTTTGATGTTCAAACTAACTTGGCATTTTAAGTTTTCCTGATAGATCAAAGGCTACACTTACATTGCAAAATAATTTTTGCCAAATTTGCTGCATTTCCAGCTTCTTTTCCCTTACATCGTAGCCCAGTTTTCTCTAGGGCTTCACTATATGTTGCTTCGCCTACCACATAATTATACTTTGCTTGCCAGTTGTCCATGACCTCTCTGTTGTCCTCGATTGCCAGACATACGGCTTGCACACATCGAGGGCTGGAAAATACTATCCCGGCATATTTTTCACTATTCAACAACTTGTCTTTTAACCAATCAATATTTTTGAAATCAAAAATCAAAGTTTTCACTTGACATACTTTGAATCCATTCGATTTTAGCAAGTCTTCGTACTTATCGTTGGCACCCTCGTCTTTTTGTGATTTTAATAGAAGGACCGATTTTTTCAACATTATGTTTTCAAATTTCGAAAACAAGTATTTGACATTCGACCATAACCTGTCTACAGTGTTGCCGAACCGAAAAAGATTTTTACAGCTAACTTTGTCATTCTTGTTCACCTTGATTGCGGTGCTGCAAGCTTATCGGCATCATGTAAAAAACCGATGAAATCTAAAAAAAAACCTATAAGATGTCAACATGCAGACTAGGTAGTTTTTAGGACGCAAACAGTCATTCCAAGTTCGCTCATTAGGATCGTTGTGAACGTCCATGAATGGAGGAATCACTCAACTAAACTACACGCATTATTGGTTGCATAGCTTTAAGAGGCTGAGTGGTCCGTGTCGGTAGTTTCTATCTCCGAGAAGAAAGTTGTTTGAATAGCAAGACCGCATCTGGATGATTATGTGTATTGGTCTGCATGTGTATAAAACCAGTGATATTTGCTGTGTGAGAAAATCCTTACTGAATATTTCGAATATGACGGATTATGCTTTCTGAAGAGTGATTATGTTCAAAGTTATAAATTACGAAAAACTGAGGAGAATTACGGGAAAACATCACCGCGCCCGCGTTGTGTGTAATTACTGTTAGCATGTATATGGCTTGTAATTGGACAGTGTACAGTGAATAAAATTATAATTATTTCTTATTTCTCTCATTTTTTAAATTCAGCAAATTTGTATATGTAATTTCCAGAATGGATAAGAAAAAGCGGATACCCAACTAATTTCTAGCTTTGAATCTCAATTAAGTGTATTTTAGACAAGAACCCAATGTAATTATCATCAACACATACAGCTTAGACCTCCAGTAATGCCATCTCAGAAGTAGATTTTACATCACATCAGAGCCAAAGATTGATAACAAGCCTCATGACGTTTAGGCACAACGAACAACTAAGTGCTAAGTTAACATATTGTAAAAAAACCTACATAATGTAAAAAAAGGCATAATGTCATTTTTCAAGATACGTGATACCCGTGCGGATGTTGTGCTACTTTAGCGATTTAGCTAAAACCTCATAAACATGAGATTCAGGGCGTAATGGTGTTTTACAAATAAATATTCACTTTGAACGTGCGGGTACAATCGAAACAAGGCTGGAGGTGTTTTTTGCAAGTCTGTATTAGTTCGTATTTTATTACAAGCATTTTGTATGAGCTTTTAACGAAATCGCATTTTCTTATCCATTTTCGGAATAGAGAGATGTGCGTATACGTGGGTTGCCTATACAGGCAACCCAAATCTAAGTCCCGCACGGGTATCACGTATCTTGAAAAGTGACATTTTACCGATTTTGAGCACTTAGTTGTACGTGTTGTCTAAACGTCATGAGGCTTGTTATCAATGTTTGGCTCTGACGTGATGCAACATCTGCTTCCGAGATGCCATTACTGGAGGTCTAAGCTGTAAGTTGTATGTGTTGATAATAAATACATTGGGTTCTTGTCACAAATACAGTTAATTGAGATTCAAAGCTAGAAATTAGTTGCGGATCCACTTTTTCTTATCCATTCTGGAGATTATACAGGGTGTTCCATAATTATTGCGACAAAATGATAGGGGTTGTAGGGGGCATCAAAATGAACAATTTTGCCTTATAAACCCCTGTTCGGAAATATGCCGTTTGGGATGCAGCAAAAAAAAAAGATCAGTTTCTTGAAACAGCTTACCTACAGTAATTGCTCAAAGTGTCCTCCACCTTGCTCAATACATAGCTGTGCACGATTGTTCAATGATCGGCGAACTCTGTGGCATACCCCCGGTTTGTCCTGAACATGTGCGGACGCGGCCATCACTCTTCCCAGTAGCTCTTGTTGGTTGGGAACAGTAGTTTCGTACACTAAACCTTTCAGATGGCCCCAGAGAAAATAATCCAGTGGGGTCAGGTCGGGTGACCGCGCAGGCCAAGGCACAGGGCCACCTCGGCCGATCCACCTATTTGTCGTCCAAATACTGCCGCACTTGTAAAGAAAAGTGGGCTGGAGCGCCATCGTGTTGAAACCACGTGTTGGCTCTTATGTTCAGAGGCACATTTTCTAATAGTTCCGGTAGCACATGCTGTAAGAATCGACCATAAGCATGCCCATCCAAACGTGGTGGAAGCAAATATGGCCCGATGATATGCTCGTCCACAATGCCGCACCAGATGTTTTGAAAACTATGTTGGTCTCTATGGATGGCTATGGCTTGAGGGTTTTCTTCATCCCAAATGTGACTGTTACGGCAATTAAAATAACCTTCCTTTGTGAAACAGGACTCGTCAGTGAACAAAACGTAGCGACCAAAGTTTGGTTGCCTCAACTCCTGCTGCAGCCACCAACGACAAAAACGTCGACGCGGCAGATAGTTTTCTGGACCCATGGCTTGGACTTTTAAAAGGTGGTATGGGTGTAGTTGATGGTCATGGAGAACCCGCCAAGCAGTAGTTTGAGACGCTCCCATTTCATGTGCAATAGCACGCACGCTTGTACGCGGATTGGCCTCTAGTTTGACGCACCACTCAGATAAATTAAATGAATCGGTGTGGAGAATTTACGATAACAAAAATGTAAACACAGCAGGCTTTTTTTTACAAATCGGCGAGACCATGAAATGTGCTATACGAACATTTTGCAGCTGTTGAATTTTTTGTTTCTCTTAAGGTAAAATTAGCGGTAGTGCTCAAACGGCATATTTACGAACAGGGGTTTATAAGGCAAAATTGCATATTTTTATGCCCTCTACAACCCCTATCATTTTGTCGCAATAATTATGGAACACCCTGTATATACAAATTTGCTGAATTTATAAAATGAGAGCGATGAGAAATAATTATATTCACTGAACACTGTCGAATTACAAGCCATATAAATGATTTCCCGTAACTCTCCTCAGTTTTTCGTAATTTATAACTTTGAACATAACCTCTATTCAGAAAGCACAACATAAAAATAAGCCGTCGGGCACAGCCAATAGATATACTTCATTGGCAGCATATTTAGTAATGATTTTCTCACACAGAAAACATCACTGATTTTATACACATGCAGACCAATACACATCCAGATGCGATCTTGCTATTCAACCAACTTTCTTCTCAGAGATAGAAACTACCGACAAGGACCATTTGGCCTCACAAAACATATGCAACCAATAATGCGTGTAGTTTAGTTGGGTGATTCCTCCTTAGATGGACGTTCACAACGATCCTATTAAGCAAACGTGGAATGACTGTTTGCGCCCTAAAAACCACCTTGTTTGCAAGATGACATCATATAGGTTTTTTTTGACGTGTTATAGGTTTTTTACATAATACCCATGCCGACTGCAAAGTTTACGCTTATGTAGGTATATGATTGGTATAGGGCATAAAACTATATAGACGCTGACACAGTATTGATTTTTTCGGCTTTATTTTTGGTTCTAGCTATTTTTCAGTAAAAAATTCTGTAAAGATCTTAAGTATTCAAAAAAATCGTGGTAAATGACGTTTTCGGTATTTCGGGTCTTATTTCGGTAGAAATCCGAAAAATCGGTAGATCCGGCAACCCTGGTTTTAAAATCAAATGAATTTTGATAAGCTGGTTTGATTGGAAGGGGAACAAGTTTAATCGAGCGAGTGTTGTTTTGTTTTGTGGACAACCAGAAAAATTTAAATCCAGTGGAATGTGAATGCGCTGTCAGTGCGCTTCGGCTTCACAGTTAATTACAGTTATTCGCCGCCGAAGTGGCTGTTTTATAGGTTAGTGTGAACGTCAGAGCTCACAACAGATCATCTAACCGATTATCAGCGCTAAAAAGGGGAGCATGGCAGCGGCCTCAGTGCGAGGTGTCCCCAGCAAGTTGGGCAACGTCTTCCAGTCCCTGAAAGCAGTCTCATCGGCCCCGAGGAGCTACTTCACGTACACCCCCGAGCCAGCGCAGCCCATCAAAGGAAAGGAGCCCAAATGGGTCGCTTCAGCAGAGGAGGCCTTCCAGGACCTCAAATCAGGTGCGAGAGCTCTCATTAATTTACCGTCAATTGACTAACACATTTATCAACGGCTGATACACGCGCTGACGGCCTTGACTATGAATTTGTTTTTTGAACTTTGGACTGGCTACAGAATGCATAGGTCATCTACGTATATCTATGTATAAGGATTGTAACAGTGTATGCATTCTGAAGAATGCATATTTTATTATACAAAGCTGAACATACAGTAATGGACAAAAGTATATAGACAAATTAATATTGTGCCGTATTTCTTATTTAACTTGTTTTATTAATACACCAACCTGTAGACATAATTCGTTATAGCATAATACTGACTTATAATGGGTGAATCATTTATACAGGGTTTGTCCGGAAAGTAATAGGACTCATTTTCTTCCGCCATGACTGTACTTCCTAGCTAACGAATGAGCGGCTGGTCAGTTGTCTCCGAGCAGTTGGAGAGTCAGGACAGGCATAAATTCTGTGTGAAACTAGGTAAATCTGCGACAGAGACGTTTGATATGATCAAGCAGGCTTACCCAGGTGTTGCTTTAGCAAGAAGTGGTGTGTTTCGGTGGCATCAGGCCTTTTTGGAGGGTCGGGAAGAGGTCGCTGATGAAGACCGTGCTGGAAGACCTTCGACTTCGACAAACACCGATAATGTGACTCATGTGCGCAAAGTTTTGAACTCAGACCATCGACTAAGTATTCGTTTAATTGCCCAGATGTTAAATTTACCAAAATCTGTGGTTCATGACATTGTGACACAGCATTTGAACATGCGCAAGGTGTGCGCGAAGATGGTCCCAAAAGTGCTCACTGACGACCAGAAATTGCGGCGAGTGGAAGTGTGCCAAGAAAATTTGAACATGTGCGAAAGTGACCCCCAATTTTTGAATAACGTAATCACAGGTGACGAGTCGTGGATCTTTGAGTATGATCCCGAGACAAATAGGAAATCTTCCAAGTGGCACACGACGGCGTCTCCTCGCCCAAAAAAGGGAAGGATGAGCAAATCCAAAGTGAAAACGATGCTCATTGTCTTTTTTGACATCAAAGGCATCGTCCACCATGAATTTGTTCCTCCTGGACAAACTGTCAACGCTAAGTTTTACGTGGAAGTGCTCAGGAGACTCAAACGAAGGGTCAATCGGGTCCGACAAGACATCGCAGCCGACTGGAAGTTGCATCACGACAACGCCCCGGCCCACACCGCCTTTCTTGTGAACAGCTACCTGACCAAGGCCAGCATCCCAACGCTTCCGCAGCCGCCTTACAGCCCAGATGTGTCCCCCCCGAACTTTTTTTTGTTTCCTCGCCTGAAAAGGCCGATGAAAGGCAAGCATTTTGAGACGATAGAGGGGATCCAAGCAGCATGCACCGCGGCTCTCAAGGCTATTCCGGAGAATGCCTTTCGTGACGCCTTCAATGCTTGGAAATCGCGCTGGCAGTGCTGCATCGACGCAGAAGGAGCCTATTTCAAAAGTTTTTAAACAATTGTAACGATTGGCTCAATAATTTTTTTTAAATCGACAAACCCTGTAGGTACTTTTTTCAGCAACAAAATAAAATAACAAAATTCTTTTCCCCATATCCCTTGTGTGCTCAAGGGATATGCAATTAAGTGGACATTTTTTTTTTCGAAAATTAAGCAAGGTACAATAAAAATTCAAGAGAAAAACAGTTGTATTTCTATTCAGCAAGAGATTACCCATTATTAGCGGATAGATGTACCATTAAAAGATAAAATGTCTCTTATCAGTTATGGATACCTCCTTAAATAAATAAAGATAAACTGATGATACTTATGCACTGTGTATTACCCTTTGTTATAATCACTATGGACTCTCTGAAACTGTAAACACTCATTGCTTTGAATGAACATAGTCCAATAACAATCTTATCAGAAAAACAAAAAAAAAATTAATAAATCTTTTACTTTTATTTTGAAGTAACACTGCTAATTACTGTTTCATGATTACCCGGTATCATAAGAGTAGGCGCTAATGCATATTTAAAAAATCACTTGACAGTGTTTGTTTTCTGTGATTTGCACATTTTCAATCATGGATTGTTTGTGGCAAAGCTTGAAAACATAAATTTATTTTTCATACCAGGTTTGTTCCATTTACTACCATTCTATTTATAGAATAATCTGAATAACAAGGAAATTATCTAATTACTTGTTAAAACTAGCGCTTTCTGTACATGACTATGTTATGTGAAGGTTTAGCACAAAGAAATAGAATATTGTATACAGGGCGTTTCAAATTATACCCTCATCAATGGGATCCGGGGAACGGCAAGAAATATGCGTATTTGGGTAACAAAAAAAAGCCTCGTAGGTAGTTTCGAAGTTCAAAGTACTTCCGAAGAAATGAAAAAAAAAAGAATTTTCCCAAAATCGTTTCAATTTTTTCCTGAATTTATTTGTAGTGGGATTTCAAAATAAATCGCACATTAACATTGCCACTTTTTCTTTACAAGATACCATAATCAGAATTTCAATGTGTCCGATTTTTTGACAAAAAATGATATTTAACCATCAACCACTCCCCATATTCTCCTGATATGGCACCGTATGACTATTTTCTGTTCGGTAAGCTACATTTGACCATCATCATTCGAAAGTCTGTTGGTCAAACAAAAAATGTTTGCTTATTTTTTTCTTTGTCTGCGACAGACCTTGTAGCGCTGTTCTAGCGGGCTTTGCTCCTCAGAGCTCTCCTCCATGATGCCGACACGCGATGTGCCTGCCAGACAGACCCGCCTGACTTAGTCCTCCCAACCTAACTGGGTCGAACTTTGTACATCCAGAACTGGTCGATACGACCGCTCCTGCGGAACAATCTACCAGAGGAGGCTTTTCTCAGTTCTATTAACCTTTCGGATCACCAAAGTTTCTTTGGGATCCTCATAGCAGCTGCGCTGTCCGGGCATTTAGGCTTCTGCCTGCGTGCTTAAAAAAATGAGCAAAAGTTTTAGAGAGCTAAAACGTTTGCTTGAAACAAATACGATATGTTTACCTAATAATAGCAGTTGTGATTTGTTTCCTGTAGACGTTTGATCTCAAAATAGAAAAATCGTTTGCGAATATAGGCGCCGCATTTTCACCTTCCACGTTCAATTACGTCACCAGAGATTTCAATGCATAAATCTAGTTAAATTTAAACCTCTAACGCTTCCAATATCTGTAAAAGTTTTATAAATACCTCACGAATTCGTAGCAACGTTCAGATTCGAAATTTGGTTATCGAGAAATGCATTGAAATAATTGAGAAATTTAAAAATGTTATTTTTCTTTGCACTTTTATTATTTACAAACAATGTCTTATTTCCTATATATTCTTATCTGACAGAGTACATAGACAGACTAACTAGCTAATGGCAAAGGTCCCACAAACCGTACTGACAAGACTAAATTTAAAACAATCTGATAGCGTGTGTCGTTCTCTTGCCTGGCTAGAATATCTAAATAAAAAATCATGCGGCAATTTTTCCCACTCATTTACTTACTTGCATGCGGCCGTGTTTTATTGAAAACTTGAAACGATATTCTTCCATCGATTGTACTATAAACCGATCGCAATCCGGTATTTTTCTTTGTAAAGAAAGGTTTCCCATATCTTGTAACACTCTTGGGGCTCTGTTTTTCTATGGAAATGTTATTTTTCTCTTGATCGTTGTACTTTGACCGGGATATATTTATTAATTAAAATATTTGCTCATAGCAAAACGCGAATACCGGGTGCCTTAACATTTTAATTACGAAATACAATAACAAGAGATATATCGGTCAAAAGCATGAATAGAAATAACCTGATAATATTTGTGTTTGTTATTATTTTTTACTAAGATATATTCGTTTCAATGTTTTGGCTGATAAACTTATTTTTCCCAGTTTACATCATAATCTATATTCAGCTAAAAATATTTACTTTTTTTTCTGAAATAAACTGATCAAGCTCAATGTTTTGGCTGATTGATATGTATGTGTAAAAATTGTTCATTCTCAAAATATCCGTATTTATGTCTTCAGCATGCAGTTAATTTAATCATAGCCTTATCAAACAAATGATAAGTACAGTTTATTCAAATGGCATCTGAACAATAATGAATGTGGAATATTCTAATAAATCTTTTGACACGTTGAATTATGAAACAATGGGAATTTTTGTTAAAACAGCTCACACGAAGGCTGGTTAACTAAGTTTAATTTTGTATTTATGTTACAGAATAGGTTTTGTATTCAGATATCAAAGACAATCGAAAAAATTTAACAAGTGTATGATAATAAAAAAAAACGAATTATAATGTTGATAACGTACATGCTTACACAAATATCTTATATATAGAATTGTTGCAAGAGTATATATAATTTTAATAGCATCGTGACTTATATTTACTATTGTTACTAGAGTAATGTGTATTTTTCAAATGAATGCAGCATTATAATAAAAGCAAATGCTCAACAAGTTTTGATTATAAACTGGTGGACAGTTCCTTTGTAACATGGAACATTTTACCCAAATTAAAATCTCGATATTTTCGAAATGGAAAGGGATATCGAGTTGCAGTATTCATGAGGTTCTTGACCAATTATGTTGTCCATATAAACTGCAGCATTGACTGTCCTGTTTGAAATAAATAGTTCGGTTTTACCATTGTGCATAACCCCAGCCCAAACAAGGAATCTACCATCAGAGTGGTGCAGGTATCTGGCGACACTATGATTGTTTGAGAGTCGGGTACACTTGGCTCTGGAAGAAATGCTACGTAGCAAATTTTGTATAACATTTGCATACCTTAACAAATTAGAAAATTTTGTTGTTGCTTTTATTTTGAACCTGAGCGTATTTTTGCACGTTTTATTTGTTTGCAACAGGGGACACAGTATTCGCACAAGGGGCGGCCGCCACCCCGATAGAAATGCTGAAAGGCATGACGGAAGTCGGGAAGAAGAAGAAACTGAAAGATGTCAGAGTTTGTCACATGCACACGGAGGGACCCGCACCTTACTGCGCACCGGAATGCGATGGGATATTTAGGTGTGTTACCAACACATATTATGTATATGCTCTTCAAATAATATTAGTGTTAGTTTCACATCGCATACAGTTCATAAGCTACGGTTCAACAGAATACCGTATAACTAAAATCATCTCTTCAACTGATAAAATATTAGGGTACTGTGTCAGAAACTGGTCGGGTCTTATTGATGTGAACAGCTCTAAAACATTTTATATTTGATTTATCTTACTAATGACCAATGAAAATCCCTTGTAAGTTTACAACATATACTAAGTGACATATAAATCCGAACACCCAGTTTAAATGGTTTTATTTTAATAAAAGTTGGTGAATGTATTTATCTTACTGTAAATAACAAGTGAAAAAATTTTCAGTCTTATCAGTTGGACATTCCGGTTTTTATACTGCTTTTTTTTTAATTCACTAACGCTCTAAAAATGAGTATTTCAGCCACAGTAAAGAATCAACTTTGGCGGATTTTGGTTCTTGACATCCTTTATGATCGGTTACGATGCCTAGAGTACGGAGACCTGTACGATTTCGTCAACTTAGTGAGTTTGATAGGGGCCGTACAGTGGGACTTCGGGAAGCTGGACTTTCTTTTCGGGCAATTGCAGTTAGAGTGCAAAGAAGTGTAGACACTGTGGTTAGGTGTTGACAGGCATGGCTTCGAGAAGGCCGTACGCAAAGAGCAAGGGTCACTGGACGCCGCCGTAGAACAACAGACCGTGAAGATCGCCGCCTAAGATTATTGGCCTTAAGGGACCGTTTCTCCACTACCAGGTCCATTGCAAATGAATGGTTTGCAGAACACGGAAGACCTATTGGCATGCGAAGTGTTTACCGACGAATGAGAAGTTTTGGCTTGTTTTCATACCGGCCACACTGGGTCCTCCCTTTAACTCGAGAACACCGACGTAATCGCCTTGAGTGGTGCAGACAATGGTCACTCTGGGATCAGGAATGGAACAGTATTGTCTTTAGTGACGAGTCTCGATTTTGTTTAGGCATGCACGATGGTCGTGCCAGGGTTAGAAGGCGACGTGGTGAAAGAAGGAATCCACAGTTTTTTGTTGAAAGACATGTTCATCACACTGTTGGAGTTATGGTTTGGGGTGGTATAGCTTATGGTTCCAGGTCACCTTTAATCTTCATCAGAGGTAACATGAACGTGCAGCGTTATATCCACGAAGTTCTAGAACCCCATCTTTTACCCTATCTTGACACCCTGGCAGATCCAACTTTCCAACAAGATAATGCCCGACCACATGTTGCAAGAGTCACAATAGACTTCTTTCAACATAATGATGTCACATTGTTACCATGGCCACCAAGATCTCCCGACTTATCCCCAATTGAGCACGTGTGGGATATGATGGGTAGGAGATTGCTCAATTTGCAACGTCCTAGTCAGACTCTAGAAGCACTTCGAGAGGAGTTGGTGGTTGCCTGGAATGAGATACCACAGGAGGACATTGACCACCTGATCAGAAGCATGCCTAGGCGCGTTGGAGAATGCGTAGCACATCAGGGTGTATCTACACCTTATTAAAGGTCAAAGGGCTTTAAAGCAATCATTTTGAAATTTTTATCATTTACTTATTATGCTTCATTAAGTACTTATACAAAATTTTATTAAAATAAAACCATTTAAACTGGGTGTTCGGATTTATATGTCACTTAGTATAGATAGGTAAAAAGCAAATCAATATGTTCACTTAATAACCCTAATTTATACCTTGACGTTACAAGGATTCTTTCAGTAAATGTTCGACATTGACACTAACTTTGAAGGGAACGTTTATATTTTTACGAACTTGTAGATTAGTAGTGTTTTAACTGGAGTTGAAATTACTTGTAAATATGACTTCATAGTTATACAATTTGGTTGTTTCCTTTGGTACCTGTCAAACAGTCAAATTAATGAGTAAAATATATTTTGCAGGTCGTTTTCTTTCTTCATGGGAGGTAATGTAAGGAAAGCAGTAGCAGAGGGAAGGGGTGACGCCTTGCCAATCTTCTTATCAGAAATTCCAATTTTGTTTTATAAGAAGATTATTGAACCCACCTATGCAGTTATCCAGGTAAAGATTTGATGCCACTGAATGTTGTCGAACTTTTGTTAGCTATAGAGTGAAAAAAAATTTCAATTGGTTAAAGCGGGATGGTACGAATACTATTTACTGTTTTCATCTGATTGAGATTTCTTTACCGGATTGTAATATTTTTGATACGTGTTTCAGGTATCTCCCCCAGACCAGCATGGATACTGCAGTCTTGGCACTAGCGTGGATTGTGTCAGGGCTGGAATGTCGCATTCGAAGATTATTGTAGGTATGTAATGCTGGTATCAGTACCTTAGACTAACTCAAGGTTAGAGTGCATATTCTGTCTCATGGAGGCTCTGTGAAACCAAATTCAGATAACCTGGGATACAATACACCAAGAAGACATCAATCACCTGATCCAATCAATACCGCGACGACTTAACGAATGTGTAGCTAGCGGAATAGCTTCAATACATTATTAACATTAAGGTGGGATATCTCGGCTATTTCGCGAACTTTCGAGTTAAAACTTCAATCACTTCCTATTTATCAATAGACCTAAAACTTAACAGTATGCTCAAAATTACAGCACTCTAGTAGGTGTTTCATTTAGTATATATCACACTGAATTTTTAGACAATTCCATACGTTTCGTGTCATTTGTATTCGATTTTTATGTAATCAGATGTTCGTTATTGTAGCTCAGGTGAATCCAAACATGCCTCGTACATTCGGCGACGGCATCATCCACATCAGTCACATCGACTACGCTTGCAAAGTGGACCAGCCTTTGCCGACGCACGGTGGTCAACCGCCGACCGAGGTCGAGAAGCAGATCGGAAAGAACATCGCTGAGAATCTCGTCGAAGATGGAGCCACATTGCAAATGGGTACGTGCACCTGTCGGGGTCTCACTGTTTTCATAGTTCAATCTCAGTAGTTAAATAGACAAATAGATACATACAACGTTTTGCAATACAGTCCCTAAACCAGCTCTGCCATGTTTCACCCGGGAGTGCGGAACACTCGTTGTCCCAAGGACTCATCGCTAGAAAACCGTTTTCCTTTTAGCTTCATTTTCACATGCGGAAGCAGTGCAAAGTCGCCGATAGCAAGATCTGGACTGTAAGGAGGGTGCTCAGTAAGTTTCAGTGCAGTAGTGATCAAATACTCGGTGCAGGCTTTGGCGCGGTGACCTGGAGCGTTGCCATGGTGGAGGTACCAAGTGTCCATTCTTGCCTTTGGCCACATGTTTTTCATAGACTCAATGAGTTTAGGCAGGCACTGTTCGGTGTACCACTTAGCTGTGACTGTCTTCCGTGTGTCCAAACGACACGTTCCACAATCCTGCTCGATTTAAAAATACAGCTCTTAACAGATCCAAACTTTGTTTTGAGCCTTGGTCGGCACATCGTGATAATAGAGCCAAATCTCGTCACTTGTCACGATGCAGAATCGAATGAATTGCTGGTGCATGAAGGTGTAAGGTCTCCTCTATCTGTTGGTATGTCACTCTTCGGTCTTCGTCAAGCATTTTCCACGCAGTAGTAATGTTTTCCTCTGTTATCTACGTTCGCAGCATTCCTTCCCTCTCAGCGTCCTCCAGAGTGAAATTACCCCTTTGGAATTCTCTGTACCACCTGAATATAGTCGTATGATAAGGACAATCATTCATTAATGCAAGCGTCATTTCTTCTAATCGCTGGTCTATGCTTAAACCACGCGTAAAGTTATACCGTAAAACTGTACTTATCTAAAGATAGGGAGTCGCGGCGGAGGCGTGGGCATTTACGTGAGAAATGGTTTGCTCTGTGAAGAATAATTACAGATTGAGAACCATATTGGCTACTTTAATAGTGTTGAAAATACCTACATTTTTAAACTTTTCACTTATCAAATGTATTTATTTATTTTACTGTTTTTTCGTTTTTTCTTTTTTTTGGGGGGGGTTCAAGTGGCAGAGTAGCATTATATGCTAAACTTCGCCCCTAAATAAAGACGATTTATTATTATTATTATTATCTCACTACGTGACCACGATGCCATAGTCCGCACTTCACACTGTCAATACTATGCACTCATGGACATGTGTCAACATACAGTCACATGCAACCTCCTGCGTCTGTTTGTTAAGTCATATTTTTGTATATTTATAAATATGTTGATGTATGTTATAAAAGAAAAAAAATGATAACATCCTGATATATCATAGGTATCGGCAGCATCCCGGACGCCGTGTTGGCCTGCCTGCACGATCACAAAGATCTCGGCATCCATTCGGAGATGTTCGCCGGCGGCGTGATCGACCTGGTGAACCGCGGCTGCGTCACCAACAACAAAAAGAAGATCCACAAGGGTCGCATCGTCGGCTCTTTCCTCATCGGCACACAGGCGCTTTACGATTTCGTTGACAACAATCCGTTCGTTGAGATGCTGGTCGTCGACTACGTTAACAGTACAAGTAAGTGCGTTGTAACAATCTAACCATTTTTTTGTTTTTTTTTTTTACTTCGCGCGTCAACTGGCGATGATGTATTGTAATCGAGAATATTGAGATATTGTTTTTTTTTTTTGGATGTTACGAGGTCTGTAAATTATGTAATAAGACTGATTTTATTCAAAAATAATCACATTGTCACCCTTAAATTGACTTTCTTCTGAAGATGGTTCTTCCGCTTCTCATAGAATTCAGCTAGTCGGTTACAGCCATTTGAATGTAGTTTCGTAAAAAAACTCCAGCGTGTTTAAACTTGTACTGTACTCAAAGGCCTCTCGGACGCTACGTTGCCAGTCTCATCACTTGATGTACAGACCTCGTATCACGTGTCGTTGTTTTTTTTTTCAGAAATAGTATCTCAGATGCCTAAGATGACTGCTATCAATTCGTGCATCGAGGTGGACCTGACCGGGCAGGTGAATTCCGACTCGATCGGCACTCGCATGTATTCGGGCTTCGGCGGTCAGGTGGATTTCATTCGAGGGGCCGCCGAGGGATTTGACGGAAAAGGGAAGCCGATCATCGCAATGCCATCCACCACGAACAAGGGCGAGAGCAAAATCGCACCGATCTGCAAGCCAGGTGCGCGCGCTTATTTTTTTGTTATACGGGCTTATGGGTAATTCGCTGTATTCCTTCCAAGGCGCGATGGAGGCATTAAAATTCAGTTTTAGAGGATTTTTAAGTTTTTCTGATTTTCCGAAATTGATTATTTCAGTCTAAATAAGAAAAAAAGCATGTCATAAATTCACTCTTGTGAATCCATCCAATTTTATAGTTCAAAATTTTGGTAAAAAATCAAGCTGCATTTAGAGAAAAATGTTCCACATAAACGGCAATCCGAATGGTGGTGGAAGACTGGAGAAGAAGTATAGATGAGAAAGAATATATTATAACAATATTTTTAGACTTCAAAATTGCGTTTGAGACTATAGATAGGGAAAAATTGTTAATTAAATTGCGTCACTATGGCTTTAAAGGATCAGTATTACACATTTTACAAAATTGTTTAGTAAATAGAAGTGAAAAAACTAAAGCTGGAAATATTATGTCAAGTGTTCAAAATATATCAGTAGGGGTGCCACAAGGGAGTAAATTGGGGCCGTTACTATTTATTATTTATATAAATGATATCTCTGACATTTTAGAACACTGCAAAATTCAAATATTTGCGGACGATACACACATATATATATACGACATGAGCATTTGGACACTGATTTAGAACTGTTAAATAGTGATATTTAAACAATTATGAATTGGTTAAATGTCAATAAACTTAAATTAAACACTAATAAAACAAAATGTATGTCAATAGTTGAAGTAGTCGAATCATTTAAATATCTTGGTATATATGTGGATAGTAAGCTACTGTTTCACAAACATTATGAATACATTATTTCAAAAATATCGAAAAAGATAAATTACTTCTACCAAAAAAATTGTGTATAATACTATAATTCTTTCCCATTTTTTATATTGTTCAACCATCTTGTTTACAGCAAATGAAAACATATTTTCAAAATTACAAATTCTACCAAATAAATCTATGAGAATCATTTTAAATAAAAACAAATATGCTAGGATTAAGTTTATGTTAGAACTGCAGTGGTTGGATGTGAAAAATTTCATATATTATTTAGTTCTCGTTTTCATATTCAAATTAAAGAATCATGTATTACCACCACATTTAGAGAACTGCACAAAATTAAATAGTCATTATCATAACTACGAAACTAGAGGCAGTATAGATTTTCATCTGCAAAATTGTAATAGTAGCATAACTAGTAAATCTATATTTCAAGAAGGGGATAATAAATTTAATAACGATATTAAACAGAGTTCGAATTTAAAAATGTTTAAGGTGAAATTAAAAAATCACTTTATGAATAATCAAAATACATAGTGACGTAATTTTAAAAGACAAGAATGTAAAATTACAGAAAATGGATTGCAGAAAAACATGTAACCGAATCATTATACAAAATTGACATTGTAGCATTAATGCTAAATAAATCTTCAACAACAAAAAAATACTTGTAAAGGACTGATACCATCGTGAAGGCTGCAAAAATGTTACATACAATATCTATTCTGAAAAATAAGAAAGATTATTTCGGTTTTATTTAGAATAAAAACATCTACAGGGTGTCCCGGAGGTCGATGTCAAACCAGAAGGCCAAGTCATGATATAAAATTATTTTTTCTGGGTGTAACATTTCTAATGTCACTGAAAAAGTGCATTTTAAAACCTTTGACGTCCTGTAACGGACAAACTAAGCACTTTTGCATAGAGGTAAATCATTTACAATCGTCTCATTCCGAGTCTAAAAATGCATCAATGTCCATCGGCACGGATATCACGTGTCTTGAAAAGTGACATTATGCCGATTTTTCTTTGACATTCTGCTGGTTTTTCTACCAGATGTTAACTTAGCACTTAGTTGTATGTGTTGCCTAAACGTCATGAGGCTTGTTATCAATCTTTGGCTCTGATGTGATGTAAAATCTGCTTTTGAGATGGCATTACTGGAGGTCTAAGCTGTAAGTTGTATGTGTTGATCATTACATTGGGTTCTTGTCTCAAATACACTTAATTGAGATTCAAAGCTACAAATTAGTTGCGCATCCTCATTCTGCAAATTACATATACAAAATTTGCTGAATTTAAAAAATGAGAGAGATAAGAAATAATTATATTCACTGTACACTGTCGAATTACAAGCGATGTACATACTAACAGTAATTACACACAATGCGGGCGCGATGATGATTTACCGTAATTCTCCTCAGTTTTCCATAATTTATAACTTTGTTACATAACCGTTCTTCAGAAAGCACAACATACATGGGCACAGCCAATAGATATACTTCATTGGCAGCATATTCAGTAATGATTTTCTCACTGATTTTATACACATGCAGACCAATACACATCCAGATGCGATCTTGCTATTCAACCAACTTTCTTCTCAGAGATAGAAACTACAGACAAGGACCATTTGGCCTCACAAAACATATGCAACCAATAATGCGTGTAGTTTAGTTGAGTGATTCCTCATTAGATGGACGTTCACAACGATCCTAGTGAGCAAACGTGGAATGACTGTTTGCGCTCTAAAAACTACCTAGTTTGCTAAATGACACACACGTTTTCTGGTTTTTGTAACACGCATTTATTTTTGTTAGGTGCTGGCATAGTGACGTCACGTGCTCACGTTCACTACGTGGTGACCGAATACGGTGTTGCCGATCTGTTCGGCAAATCGCTGAGGCAACGCGCGCACGCGCTCATCAACATCGCGCATCCCGACCACAGGGAGAGCCTCGAAAAGGCTGCCTTCGAGAGGCTGAAGGTGATGCCTTCGCCGTGAAGACGCACACACGCACATCGTTTGTTGTTTTGGTGACGAGATCCACAAGGTGCTACTATATCCGGTGGTACCACAACCACGGCCGTTATTGCCTTGTTCTGCTACTGTTGCTGCTTAGATCTTAAGAGTAATCATATGCCGTACGGCGATCATAGTCGCTGTTGTCTATTTGTACGTTTTGCACTTTTAGGATAATAAATACAAAGTGCGTCGTTCTACTGTGTCGTGTTTTATTCCCACTTTTACCCCTGCTACTTCAAAGGTTTTATACGGACTAGTGAAACACTACATTTCGCATTCAACGATATTCAGACGCAATCGGAAGCTTAAAGAATTCTAAAAGTAAAGATCCTTATTGATCGATGTACCGACGTTAAAGTTATGAACACCTTAACTTGATAGTACAGTGAAATCTACTTTAGACGGGACCGATTGACAGTACCCAAATACAACAAAAATCGTATTTTTAATGAAAACTGAATATACAGGGTGTTCCTTAATGATATGAAAATATTTAGGGGTGTGAATCTACATAAAAAATTAATTTTAGTTTGCTTTATAAAGTATGGTCCAAAAATGTTTCCTTACAAAAACTCGGGGTGTTGAAGTTTTAGGAAAAAAATAGAAATTAATATTTTCAGAACCGTTTTAGATATTTCACTAATATTTAGTACATAGTGAAAGTTAGTTAGTATTTTTAAATTCCCCGTTCAATTTAAAACAAATGATCTCTCTTGAGTCGCTTTCCTTCGATGCGCCATTTTTGAGTAAAAAAATAAAAACCGTTCTATTGTCCGAGAAAATTAATGTAATAATTGAAGAATGCAATTTAGCAATAAATATCTAGTTGCTCTGGAATATGTCACTGGCTTTTGACATCTGACAAGTCTCTGTTCGCTGTGACATCTTTTTCATTATGTAGTTTTTACAATCTTGTTAATAATGGTGAATTATTCAAATGCATTACGTATGTCATATGGCCTTGCCAACGGTAATGGTGTGCAAGCCAGACGAATTTATCACCAGAATATCCCGATCGTGCTTTGCCAGATAGTCGAACCTTTTCTAATATTCATCGTCGTCTCGTTGAAACTGGTTCTGTCCGAAAAGGAACATCTGAAGGTAGACCTCTAAGTGTGAGAACACCTGAAATTGAAAGTCGAAGAACATCCTGAAACGAGTACGAGGAAGATCGCTAGACACTTAAATTATTTGCCATCAAATTGTTTGGAGAATTTTAGTGGATTTTTTGTTATATCCTTACCATATTTTAAGAGTACATGCGTTACTTCCCATTGATTATCCAAGGCGTGTGACCTTTCGTCAGTGGTATCTTCAAAAAATTAGACAAAATCCGCAATTTGAATACGGACGAAGATAATTTTTCTCGAAATGTCATTCAGAATTTCCACAATAATCCTTTGTGGGCAAAAGAAAAACGGATGCTTTTTCGTTCAAAGTTATATCTCCACGACAAGCGCTCGCATCGAGATTTTAAAAACAAGATATTGAAGCTGAATAAACGTGATATCGGATCTATAAAAGAAAAAAATGTTCAAGCCCGTGGACAAATAAGAAGGCAAAAGTTTTTCAATTGCGTCATCTGTTAGAATTGCTCCTAAAATGTTTCGGCTAAAAAACCTGAAAATTAGAATCTTGAAGCTTCAAAATGCTTTTTGAGAGTTTAGATACGACCATTTTTCACCAAAATACAGCCTGTCAAAAAACACTGAAAAATTTGGATTTTTTCTGGTACTCACCCGTAGACTAGGTTTTCCTGTTGTACATGCGCTTATCGGGTTCTGCTCATTCCTATTTTGTAATAATCATATTCTATCTACATTTTAAAACAAATTTCGTCTATTTATGAGACCAAACTCGATACTAAACGAAACAAACATGGTAAGAGGGAACAGAGGAAAGACGACTCGTCAATTTCTATGAAACATCACAATTTATTTACCAAATGTAACCTTAATACTAACAAAATTTGTACACGTGCTTACAGTTACGCTAGTTTAAGAAATGAAAAAGTAATATACACAAAGTATTAACACTAGTGGCGATATTTCCCGAAACATCCAGATCGTTCGTTTTGAGAAATATCGCTCAAATCAGTCGTTTGATTTGGAAGGCAAATTGCTGTAGACTACCTCAAAATATTGTGACGATAAATCCTGAAATATTCCAGTTTCAATGCATTGGATGATATTGATAATTTTTAGGAATCATAACGTTTTGATTTTCATCCTTCCCAGTAAAAGCAGTCGTAACGGAAAATGAGTATGTATTTATAATTAAAGTCGCTAATATGTCGCAATAAATATGCAGGGAAGAACAATTCGACAGATTCGAGTTGATTCCAGGATAGCCAAGAATATCGATGAGTTAGTCCAGAGATATTTCCGACCAATGTTTTGCTATATAAACACATCATATAACCTTCGATGGCCCGTTCTTACGATGGCCTTACAAGTAAAAAAATACCTTTGGGCAGTTTCTGGGCCTCGCACAACAGGCCAACGAAACATTTTCCTTATTATCACATTTCAGGGTTCGGTATCGCTTACACGGTCAGTATCGTTAGAAGGAAACTAAACTTTTTCACAAACGTTCAAAGTTTGATATCTTTTCGCATAGAACTACTTTCCTTTTTGGTTGGGACACCGTGTATTAGTGATGACCGCATAAGCGGCACCTTAAAAGCGATGACAGACGCGACTTGTGTTCATCTAATGGTCCCTATACCAGGATTCGACCGCGAAATGCTGTTTTTTTTTTAGAACTTTTGTGGACGTAAAGGCACAAAGATTCTTTACTGCTTTACATTCGTTCGAAAAAAGCTCGCATATTCCCGAGAAAATATCATAAATCAATATAACATAAGTAGATACAGTAGGTACCAAAATAATTGTATGACTGAAATCAATTCGTGATAGTTTCCTAGATGCGAGCTTTGTCCAAACTATCCAAAAGTTAAGCAAGTTATAGCCAAATCTAATTCTACGAATACTGAACTTTGCAAGTAAGATTGTTAGTATTACAGAACGACGAATAATACAAAATGAACAAAAATCCTATCTTTCTATTTTATCAGACAATAGCAAAAACTCGTTTATCAAATCCGTTCCGAAAACTTTCTTACATGGAGAACATCAAACACACTATCGAAACCTGACACTCAATTTCCCATTAAAAAAGTATCTTGTTCACTTTGTATAATAACACAAACGACGAAATACCAAACTTCAGGAAATCACAATACATCCTATCAATTTACATTTAAATAGCGAGAAATGTTGCGCGAGACACAAACATCGAACAGTTGGTTTAAAAGCTAAATATATTCTCCAAACATCAATGATTACGAAAAAACTGGATCGTCGCAAAACATAACTCGAAGAAAACTAGTCGATAGAGATGTATGTGAATATTTCACGTAAAAAAACTATCTGTCTACTTTGGCAGTCTTCACGTTTTTGTTTTACATTATTATAAAACCGCTTACGAGCTACGAATCTATCATCGAGAAACATCTGCGGCAGGATTAGGAGTGAATTATTACAAATATTTACAAATTATCACCGATCAGACACAGCTTTGCTTTTCCTTCTTTTCTTTGTAGAAAGTGCTGCAGATAGAAAAGTTTCGTTGAATAAACGAAAGATCGCTTTCCATCGACAACACTTTCAATTCGTCTAGTAACAGTTTCCTATAAAATTAACCGCGCTTCATGACTGAAAATACACGTTTTTGCCATGATTCGTTTCAACTTTTCGTTCATTCAATGCACCAAGAATACGCTTATAAAAATGCGGAGAAAATCGTTCCGATTATCTTTCAAATAGGCCCTTTTTTTAATCATTTTATATTTTCGGCAACGAATCCGCCGTTTTTGAAAATATAAAATTGTGTACGAGCACAACATTGAAAGGATTGATCGCGCATGATTATAGAGGATATTACAAATTCCTATTAAATTAAAAAAAGTTCTGAAAATCATTTTGAGGTAATTCAAGTTTAATCAGCTTGAAAAGCTCGATGTATTAACAAAGCGAAGAGATTTTCATAAAAAAGTCAAAATTTTTAATATTCAGCTGGTAAGGGCGTACCCAGCTCAAAATGAAAGAGAGGGGAGGGGGTGGCACCTTCAGAAAAAAAATTTGTTCCACAAATCATGTCAATTATTCCACTTTTACACGTATAACAAACGTTTGCCGTACTGCAAATTTTATATATCCGATCTGCAATTGCGAAAAAAAATTAAAATGGAAGAATAATTTCCAGATATAACATAGTAGTTACATTTTTTTGTGGCGTTCGTTACGTAATATTTGGTCCTCTATTACAATCAAAAAAATATAGTTTTTTTAATCGGTCATGTTGCGATAGAGCAATCGTCAAAAAACTATTAATCATTGGTCCTTCTGTCACTTGGAAAATATCAATGGATTTTGAAGTGCTTGTCTAATGATACCAAAAAATCTGTAAATCCCTCACTCTTTTTTTTCTGGTTTCTGATCATTCTGAACCCAATCAAAAATTTCCTTAGATGAGACTGAATCCAAAAAGTAGTCAAACCTTGATATATTTCAAGACGCAGGCAAGAGTTTATTTGAGGGATTCAAAGATTGTGAAAAGTCGTTTTTCAAATTTTAATCATCCAGTCGATTTTGTACAATTCGGAAACATGTGGAGTGAAATCTGAGCTGAAAAATCGGGAAACTGCAAATGTAAACCCTGTTGTAAAATAAACTGTACAAAAGGATTTATATATTATTTAGAGTGAATGCAAAAGTCCCTCATTTCGAAATAACAAAATCTATAAATCCATTGAAGAATTGGGAAAGGGTTGAAAACACTTTCACATTCAGTTCGATGCAACAATCAATTGGTTATTGCAAAAAATCGTTCATTTCTGTCAAAAAGTGCATAAGAGAAAATATTAAATAGCACCGAAAAGTTAAAGCCGCTAAGAATACAAGGAAACTGGAACAAATTTTCCCAAAATCGTGTCTACTTTTTCTGAACTTCCCCCCTTCTGGGTACGCCCTTTACTGTTGGCAAACCAAACACTCGATATTGTCAGCATCGATCTTAGGCCCGTATCGTCAGTCGTCCCTACAATTGTAGGGCGCGTTTATGGCCTCCTTGATTGTCATAGTTTTCTACTTCTCCGTGTCAGCGCTCTATTTTGAGGTTATGTCACAAACATCTATTTGCATCAAATTGTGCTTGCTTCTGAGTTATATCACGTTTTATCAGCGTGAAATTTCCTACAATTTAAAAAGAAAACATATCTTTACAATAGGAGAGCGCTGACGCTGACACGGGACCAGTGTAATCTAGAAATTTTTGAAGGAGAGAAAGGAGTATGACAATCAAGGTCATAAACGCGCCTTACAATTGTAGGGACGACTGACGATACGGGCCTTAGTAATCCTGTTCGGAAACAAAGTAAACTGTATAAAGAACACATAATTGAAAATCACATTGAATTCCTGATAAGCAAAAAAAAAAAAAGAAATAAAAAGGATCTAAACCATTCGCTACTGACACATAAAGAAAGGAGACCTGAACTTCTCTGTCTGCTGCATAAGGAAATAGAGACCCCCGAGAAATGTAACAGGACGAGACTTTCCAAAATTGAACTACAACGATCTGATACTGAAAAATTTACAAAAGAAGCTGGAAAAAACCATTATACTGTCAATTTTGGAAAGAAAGTCCCGCACGCGGCTTACAATCTAAACTAGATGTCGTTTTTACTTTACTGCTGTATTAAATACGTTCGCCGCCTTTTGTTATTCACCGTCCTTTCGTACTCTAATAGCTCCTTCTGAGCTAGTGCCATTTCTACTCTGAGCAGCTCTTTGTCGTCTTCTATATCGTCCGACGTGTACATTACATCGGATACCTGCAACAAATAGTTATTTAACTGCCTAAATAAATGTTCAATGTTCCACGATAAGAATGCGAAAAGCGTGCAAGCGCAAAAAAATACGGCAATATCAATCTCGAAGAAAAACCGTAAGGACCGGTTACAATTTGCACGGTTGCATCTTGATTGGAGCATCTGTGACTGGAAGAGGGTATGTTTCAGTGACGAATCCAAAGCTCAATATGTTTGGATTGGATGGAGTTCAGTTAGACGTCCTAGTGGACAAAGATTCAACCCCAAGTACACTTTGCCCACTGTCAAACATGGAAGCGGGTCTGTTATGGTTTGGGGGTGCTTTTCGGGGTTTGGGTAGGGACCTTTACATAGAATAGATGGCGTTATGGATAAGTTTGTATACACAGACATACTAAAGCATGTCATGTTACCCTTTAAGATCAATCTTCCAGCAAGATAATGACCCGAAGCATACTTCAAATCTCGCAAGGAAATTCTTTCTGGATGAAAAAATACCAGTTCTCAAATGGCCTTCACAGTCTCCCGATATAAACCCCATTGAAAATATATGGGAATACTTAGACGAGCAAATACGAGATAAAAATTATTCAAACAAGGATGAACTTTTTGCCGCTTTAGAGCAAAAGTGGAGACAGATTGATGAATCTTATATCAAGAAACTTCTACAATCTATGCCGAGACGATGCCAGGCGGTGATTGATAATAATGGTTATGCTACAAAATATTAACACAAACGTGGTTGGTTTTCTATAATTCAATGAACTTTGCTTCTTTATTCATAATTGTTTTGCTTTGTTTATATATTTTTGTCCTTCATAGTTCCAGTTTTTTCAATTAATTTTTTATTGAAGGGAGTCTAATGAATTTATTTATGTATAAGTGAGTATTATGCTATAACGAATTATGTATACAGGTTGGTATATTAATAAAACAAGTTAAAAAAGAAATACACCAACAATTACTTTTGTTCATTGCTGTACATATCAGATGAAAATATAGACACTGCATTGAAGACGCTAAATTCTGAAGTGGCAAAAATCATAAATTGGTTAAATGTAAATAAACTAAAATATAATGCTTCTATAACAAAATGTATGCTAATAGGGAAATACTTAATGAAGATACTACCACAGTTACGATAAATGGTGAAATAATTGAAAAAGTTGAATATATTAAATCATAAATTACTTTTATGGTGCATCATCGTCATAGTCTTGGCAAAAATTCAATAGCAATATAACGAGCAAATCAATATTTCAGAAAGTATTACTTGTAACTGAAAGATGTTTAAGACGGTATCAAACGAACATTTCATGGACCGTGAAAATTCTTAAAGATGCATATCTTGTTTTTCTGAATATTTGTATATTAAGGCTATTGTTGTAGTTTTTTAAAAACAATGTAATTATATCAATCTTAAAGAAATATTTCGGATAGGTATCACTATTCATACCTCAATATCAACGTCTGATCCTTCCTCTTTAACCTGCACATACTCGTACTGTTCCTCGTGATCGACTTCGATCTCCTCCTCTTCGACCTCCCTCTCTGAATCCGATCCCTCTTCTGAGCTCCTCTCCTCGGCGCTTCCGCACGAATCTCCACCAAACGTGTCGTTCTCGTCCATCGAACACGAGAATTTCATCTCTCCACGTTCTAACGCTTCCAAGTGTTCTAAGCAATTGTAAATCATCAGCACCATTCAACAAGTAGTAGTATATTTAGTCATATTTCAAGAATATCTTTATTCTAACATTGAAACGCGATAACGACTACAGAAAATTTTCAGCAACCCAAAGTAATAATGATTGGAAACAATATACAAAATCAAGGAATGAGTGTGTAGCAGTTCTCATGAGGGAAAAGAAAAAATACTATAAGATCGAAAGCAATAAAAGTAATTCTAAAATGATGTGGGAAACATTAAAGAATATTGTTTCTTCTAATAGAAAGACGGAGTTATCTAAAATGCGTTTCGAAGATGGGGTAGTGCCAGAGAAATTAATTATAGCAGAAATAATGAATACTTATTTTATAGAAAGTGTAAATCAAATAGTGAAGACGATTGATGACAAGTATGTCAGAATTCATCAATGAAGCAATTTAGGACGATTAACATCAACAGTCAAAGAAAAGCTATCTCAAAATTTAAATCTAATAAAAATCCAAGTGAGAATCTCTCAAAAAATATTTCAAATGATTGTTTCAATATAACTGGAGAGAAATTATTATTATTGGTGAATGATTGTTTAGCACATGGTGAATCCCCATCAAAATCAAAGTATTCCACCATTACTACTGTGCCAAAAGTTCAAAATTCTCAGCTGTATACAAATATGCGACCGATTAATGTCTTGCCCGATGTATTACACATTTTACAAAATTATTTAGTAAATAGAAGTAAAAAAAGTTGGAAATATGTCAAGTGTTCAAAATATATCAGTAGGGGTGCCACAGGGGAGTAAATTAGGGCCGTTACTATTTATTATTTATATAAATGATATCTCTGGCATTTTAGAACACTGCAAAATTCAAATATTTGCGAACGATACACTTAAATATATATATATATATATATATAGCACATAAGCATTTGGACACTGCTTTAGAACTGTTAAATAGTGATATTGAAAAAATTATGAATTGGTTAAATGTCAATAAACTTAAACACTAATAAAACAAAATGTATATCAATAGGGAAACATTTAGGTGGCAATACAATTAGGCTCATGATTAATGATGAAAAAATTGAAGTAGTCGAGTCATTCAAATATCTTGGTATATATGTGGATAGTAAGATACTGTTTCACGAACATTATGAATACATTATTTCAAAAATATCGAAAAAGATAAATTACTTGTATAGAGTTTCCCATAATCTTAGTATGTATTCCAAAAAAATTGTGTATAACACTATAATTCTTCCTCATTTTGTATATTGTTCAACCACGTTGTTTATAGCAAATGAAAACATATTTTCAAAATTACAAATTCTACAAAACAAAGCTATGAGAATCATTTTAAATAAAAACAAATATACTAGGATTAAGTCTATGTTAGAAGAACTGCAGTGGTTGGATGTGAAAAATTTCATATATCATTTATAATTTTCATATTCAAATTAAAAAATAATTTATTTCCACCACATTTAGAGAACTTCAAAAAATTAAATAGTCAATATCATAACTACGAAACTAGAGGCAGTATAGATCTGCAAAATTGTAATAGTAGCATAACTAGTAAATCTATATTTCAAAAGGGAGGATTTGAATTTAATAGAATTGAATAATGATATTAAACAAAGTTTAAATTTAAAAATGTTTAAGGTGAAATTAAAAAATCACTTTATGAATAATCAAAATACATAGTGGCGTAATTTTAATAGACAATATAAAATTACAGAAAATGGATTGAAAAAATATGTAACCGAATCATTATACAAAATTGACATTGTAGCATTAATGCTAAGTAAATCGTGAACAACAACACCCCATCTCAGGAACATCCAATAATATACATCAAGTTCTATGTTCTTATTACAGGAAATAAAAACATGAATATGAATGACAGTAAAATCGATACAAAGAAATATACAGGGTTGCCAAAATGTAACTGAATGGTATCGTTATTGATATCACATCCTTGACAATAAGTGTCATTTCGGATATGTTGGTTCTAAAATGATTCAAAGCGCACTTACCGGGATTGACCATGGCCCTTCTGATGGCGAGCGGGTCCTTCCTGGACCATTTCTGCACCTCATCGTCCATTTTGCTGATCTTTGCGGGATTCATGGCCCACAAGCATCCTTTTCGCTGAGCGCCGTTCAACGCCGGCTTTTCGATCTTCTCGAAGCATTTGTTCAGGCTCAGGTTGTGGCGCACAGAGTTTTTCCAGCCGTTCGGAGCGGTTTTGAAATACGGGAAATGCCTGGAAACAATGCGGTCATCTACAATTCTACATAAAACAGTGCGGCAGATAGAAAATGAAATGAATACTTCATTGGAAGCATATCCAGTTATAATTTTCTCTCATAGCAAACATCACTGCAGACCAATACACATAATCATCCAGATGCGATCTTGCTATTCAACCAACTTTCTTCTCGGAGATGAAAAGTAGATAATACTCGGCTTCACAAAACGTATGCAACCAACAATGTGTGTAGTTAAGCCATTCCTCCATTAGATGGACGTTAACAACGACCCTAGTTTTATAGGTATTTTACTTACTACCCGTGCGAAGCTTGATTTGCATCTCACATCGGACAAATTAAACAAATTCATGGTAGAATGAATTGATAACAGACTGTGAGACTCTTCGGTCTCCTGATCAGTCGCCGTGCGCTGTGCGGGTTCGAGTCCCGTCCCATGAGAAAATTTTCTCTTGGCTATGGATGTTGTGATTGTCCGTAGGTGGTAGACGGTCTCTGACTGTCGAACGTGGAGGTACCACCCGGCGGATCTCGTAGGCGGAGCCAGAATGTGTGCATGTTGCATGCACACGTGTTCCCTCGCCAGAGTCCGTGTGGCGTTCCCCCTTTCCCCTGTATCCCCCTATAGCCCCGCGGTACCCAATGGGTGTTTAGGCCTTAAGCCTTCGTGGTAGTTGGAGTATAAAAAAAAAACTCTTAAGCGAATTTTATTTTCAATGTGTCAGGCATGTAACCCAAGATGAAATAATTGTAATTGTTGATTGTTTGAAAAATAACAAAAGATCAATTAAAAATAGGACTTCATCTTTTGATAATTTCAGTCATAAACATATCAGTTTTTTCAAAAATATTTGAGATGGTAATGAATATCATAATATTGAATTTTTTGTTTGTTTAAGATTTATTTAGCATGATTGCTACAATTACATTCTTCTAAACAACTAAACAATTACATAACAGACATTCAGAAAAAAAAACAAAATTTGCATCTCAAAGAATTTTCATTGTCCATGAAATATTCCTTCAATTTGTTTTAAATATCTTTAAATTACAAGTAGACTTTATATCATTATTTAGTTTATTAAATTCAAGTAATCCTTTCTGAAATATTGATTTGCTAGCTATATTACTATTGCAATTTTGTAAATGAAAATCTATATTTCCTCTTGTATAATAACTGTGGTAACGATTATTCAATTCTATGTAGTGTTCTAAATGTTCTGGCAAAAGATGATTTTTTATTTTAAATATAAAAATAAGAACCAAATATATGAAATTTTTTATATTCAACCACTGCAATTATTGTACCATAGATTTTATTTTGGTGTACTTATTTTTATTCAATATTATTCTCATAGCTTTAGTTTGCAAGACTTGTAATTTTGAGAATACAGCTTCATTGGCAGTGAACAGGGTAGTTGAACAATATAGTAAATGCGTTGAGTTCAAATAAGTAGTTTTGAGAGAATTGCATTTAAAATATTTTTCTTGTATTGTATTGTATGCGACTTGATATGAGTTAAAAAGTCATAACTCCCTTAATATTACAAATGGAAATTCACAAAATTATCATACGCTCAACATATCAAACTCATTTTTGACAAAAACGGAAAACGGAAAAAACCAAGCAACTCATCACCTGCACATAAAGTTGTATATTTCCGAGACCGGCAGACTGCCGGAACGGCTGTTCTTGAGCGCCATAGCGATGAGGCAACTGTAACTATACGCGGGCTTCGGGAACGTCCTCATCTGCAACCTCAAATCATCTCCGGTACCGCTGTCGAAAACGCTGCCGGTTCTCGAGGTCAGCGTGGGTACTGCCGGCGCATGCACTAATTTGCGCACCGGCGTCACGGTGCGGATCAACGAGGCCGCTTGAGCGTGCGCCCTCGCCATCGTCATCGTAGATGAGGTTAAGGGCCTAGGGAAACATAAAAAAAAAACACTCGCGTTAGAATAATCGTTCGATTCGAAGTGGAATGCGAAAGGGTTTAGCGGCCATCATCCAGTGGTTGGCATCGTGTAAAAATGTTTTACGACGACACAAAAACCAACCAAATAATATTAGATTCGAAGTATTCGCATATCTGATTCTTCAGAAGTATTTCAAAAATGTTTGGTGTACTTGTTGGTATTGTGGAAATGGGAAATCATGGATTTAAGTGAGAAAATTGAGATTTTCAAGAAAAGCAGCGAGAAAATAAATGTATACATAAAAAAGTGAATCCATTTTCCGAGAAATTAAATATCATTTTGACAAATTTAAACGGATAATATACAGTAATGGACCAAAGTATATAGACAAATATGAATATTTACCTAAATACCTTTAGAAAACGAATTCATACTTCATTGCTCCATAAATAAATGCGTTATTAGTAGAAAAACTAAATTCCTTGTTTTTACATTATCTGCAATGAACACAATACAAGTCTGAATATAAGTACTTTTTTATGAGGGACAAAAATATGTAAACAAATTCTGGTCAACATTAGTTTAGTACTAGTGGACAAAGATTGAACCCCAAGAACACTTTGCCCATTGTCAAACATGGAGGCGGGTCTGTTATGGTTTGGGGGTGCTTTTCGGGGTTTGGAAAGGGACCTTTACATAAGATAGATGGCATTATGGATAAGTGTGTATACACAGACATACTAAAGGATGTCATGTTACTCTATATGGAAGACAATATGCCCTTAAGATCAATCTTCCAGCAAGATAATGACCCGAAGCACACCTCAAATCTCGCAAAGAAATTCTTTCTGGATGAAAAACTACCAGTTCTCAAATGGCCTTCACAGTCTCCCGATATAAACCCCATTGAAAATCTATGGGAATAATTAGATAAGCAAATACGAGATAAAAATTATTCAAACAAGGATGAACTTTTTGCCGCTTTAGAGCAAAAGTGGAGACAGATTGATGAATCTTATATCAAGAAACTTCTACAATCTATGAAGAGACGATGCCAGGCAATGTATGCATATTTTAAGATCAAATCAATATGATGCACAAAAGAAACTTAAAAAATATAACAAACCTTGTAAATGCGGGAGACGTACTTATATCTACAAAGGGCGCTTATTAGCCGTAAATGGAATTATAAAAAATCTGTTTGGACAATAAATGCTACTATCCAAATTTTACATAACTGGTCTATTATAATCTTACCGGGACACTGTATTCCTGAAGGTGAGAATGGTAGGATGTTGGGTGCCTTTAGCTGTCTGTATAGTTTTGATTGTCTTCAGTTCGGTGGTCAGCGATGTCGACACAGGCCTGGCTAGAATCGGGGTGACTTTGGCTAGTTTCACTTGCGTCTGTAACTGCACAGTCTTATTCTTGTTGCGATCCGCGGCGATCGTGCCGACGTCTTGCAGATTGCGCACCAAATCCTTTTTCACTGCCTGTTTAAACAATGATTTGTATGAAATACAAGGAAAATCAGGTTTACCGGTTACAGGATAGTAAGTTGTCAAACATACCGGGAAAACTTACCTGTTGTGCAGTAGCTTCGACAACCGCCTTGGCGCCTGGAATTTTGATGGTGGCTGGCGAAAATGTGAGATGAGACTCTCGAAAAGATGGAGACGGGGAACGGGCGTTGTTAGCCAAAGAAACGACGGGCATCACGGCGTTCGGGTTCACCATCGTAGGACCATCGCCGTCCCCGCCGCTGAAGTCCAACGTCGAATGGTTAGAGCTCGAATTGAACCTTCATAAAAAAAAACGGCGTCAAATATCACACATTTTGTAGTCCCAAAAATTTGATAAACTGCGGAAAGGTGATCCGAAAAACAATATATTTTTCCTCTGTTTCCGTCTTATAAAACCATGTCAACTTACCATCGGATATCGTGTACATCCTCGAACTCTAGCGACGGCATCTCGGTGAAGTTGAAGCCCGAGAAATCATTGTGGCCGCCGACCAGCGTGTCTATCTCGGACTTGATGTCGATGTCCAGGATGTCGGGGTATGACAGGGAATCGCTGGCGGTCAGGAACATGTCCATGGCAGCCGACATGGCTTCCACTTTCTGCAAATCAACACGCACTCTGAATACGAAACCGATTTAGTGCCAAATATGTTGTTTAAAATATTCACCTTGAAGAGCAACGGCAACGACATTAACAACTTTGTCATGAAAAATGAACATGATTATAATATAATAAGAGTGATGTCTTTTAAGTTTTGCATATGGAAATAAAACAACACGGTAGATAGTTTTAAATGACTATTGTTTTTCGATGTATTCTCCACGAAGATTAGTACACATGTGCAGGCGCCGTCTGGTTTTAATTTTCGGGAAAGTGAAGAAATCGTTAGGACTTAGATCGGGACTATATGGAGGAGGGTCCAATAATTCCACGTTTTCGTCCGTTAAATACTACCTTGTTTTTTGGATGTGGATGTTGATACCGTAAAAAATGGTTTTTGTTGAATATATTTTTTACATAATTTTTAATTTTGCTGATTATTTTATTATATACATATAATTTCAAATTTAAATCCATTATTGCATATTTTGTGAATGTATCATTCCCATAACACATTTTTTTTCATATTCATTCTGTTTTGCAACTTGCCATATAAACCATTCTTTTATTACTACAATTGCGCAATTAAATTGCTTTCTAGTTTTTTCTAGCTTATTTCATATTTAAAAACTACTGCAGTATCAATATTCTGCAATAATGAGTGAGCACTGAAGAGAGTTCGTTCATATTACAAAAAAGTAAAACTTCTTGACGGCTGTCTATTAAAACATAACAAGCCTAGTCATTTCTCGGGCTACCTCAAAAGAAAGCAGCATTGAGTGCATCTCACAATGCGATGCGACACATGACTAACCAGTTTTGTAATAATAGGTACCAAATAGTTCTGCTATCTTTTCATACGTACCTGTACCTATTTTTATACCCTAACAATGATTCTTCACTTTCTTTGGTGAGTAGATTCAATGTGGCAAGGTATATATCGTTGACTATTTCCCTCGTCTTAATTTCTACCAATCGCAAACGCGCAATTTTGAATTACAAATGGCTTCTAGATGGAAAAATTGTATGACAGCACCTGTCAGCAGATTTTTCGAGTTTGCCCGCGGCAAAACTTGACAGCTGTTGTCACCAAAAATTACAATACCTTTGATAACAAGTAATTATGGTCTCCTAGGACACCAGAAATAATCTGTTACTCATGAAATAGTCTTGTCAAATACCATTAAACCATCAAAAAGATGAAGCCAAATTGTAAATTGTCAGAGAAAGCAAACTAGTAAAATACAGCTATCCAATATTACGATATCTCATCTCACAAGTATGTCTGAATTCATCAATGAAGCAATTTAGGACAATTAACATCAACAATCTAAGAAAAGCTATCTCAAAATTGAAATCTAATAAAAATCCAAGTGAGAATCTATTCTAAATGATTGTTTCAATATAACTGGAGAGAAACTATGATTATTGGTGAATCAGTATTTAGTACATAGTGAATTCAAATCAAAATTAAAGTATTCCACCATTACTCCCGTGCCAAAAGTTCAAAATTCTCAGCTGTATACAAATATGCGGACGATTGTCTTGCCCGATGTCGAGAAGCTGTTCGAAGGGATAATATACGAACAAATTCATAGAATTCATTGAAAAAACCAAAATTTTTATAAAGAATCAAGCTGGATTTAGAAAAAAATGTTCCACATAAACGGCAATCCGAATGATGGTGGAAGACTGGAGAAGAAGTATAGATATATTGTAACAATATTTTTAGACTTCAAAAGGGCATTTGAGACTATAGATAGGGAAACATTGTTAATGAAATTGCGTCACTATGGCTTTAAAGGAACAGTATTACACATTTTACAAAATTATTTAGTAAATAGAAGTCAAAAAACTAAAGTGGGAAATATTATGTCAAGTGTTCAAAATATATCAGTAGGGGTGCCACAGGGGAGTAAATTAGGGCCGTTACTATTTATTATTTATATAAATGATATCTCTGACATTTTAGGACACTGCAAAAGTCAAATATTTGCGGACAATACACTTATATATATATATATAGCACATAAGCATTTGGGCACTGCTTTAGAACTGTTAAATAGTGATATTGAAAAAGTTATGAATTGGTTAAATGCCAATAAACTTAAATTAACACTAATAAAACAAAACGTATGTCAATAGGGAAACATTTAGGTGACAATAGAATTAGGCTCATGATTAATGATGAAAAAATTTAAGCAGTTGACTCATTTAAATATCTTGGTATATATGTGGATGGTAAGCTACTGTTTCACGAACATTATAAATAGATTATTTCAAAAATATCAAAAAAGATAAATTACTTCTATAGAGTTTCCCATAATCTTAGTATGTATTCCAAAAGAATTGTTTATAACACTATAATTCTTCCCCATTTTTTGTATTGTTCAACCATCTTGTTTACAGTTATGATTAAGTCTATGTTAGAAGAACTGTAGTGGTTGGATGTGAAAAATTTCATATATTATTGAGTTCTCGTTTTCATATTCAAATTAAAAAATCATTTATTACCACCACATTTAGAGAACTTCACAAAATGAAATAGCCATTATCACAACTAGGAAACTAGAGGCAGTATAGATTTTCATCTGCAAAATTGTAATAGTAGCATAACTAGTAAATGTATATTTCAAAAGGGAGTATTTGGATTTAATAAATTGAATAATGATATTAAACAGAGTTCGAATCATTATACAAAATTGACATTGTAGCATTAATGCTAAATAAATCTTCAACAACAACAAACAAACACATTATCGAATTACTTACAGTAAGAAGACTTTTTATACACCAAAACTTCTTTAAATTGACCTTATGCTGCTATGGTATATGATACTTCCACTACCACTATTACCTTTGAAACAAACATATATTAATAAGAGAAGATTCTACCTGTTCTGCAGTTGCTTTATACCATGGAAGAGGAGCATCCTAATCCATAATAAATTGTTTTCTGATGGCAAAAATTTTACCTGAATCCAAAATGTTCCAGCAAATCTTGGATACTTAGCCCAAATGTTTGTTCCATCTGTTTTGAATCACTTACCCTTCTTAGAAAGCAATAAAACTTATATACTCTCACCCAAATTTAACCAGAGGGATTAGGAAAATTACTGTGGCCTCTGTACCTGCATCCCTCAGGGGAACTAAATTGATGTCTTTGCAAACATTATGCATAAATGACTGGAAAATTTCAAGACCTAAGTGAATCTGCTGTTTTAAAACAGTATACATTTCAAAATTCCAATGAAAAAATAAATGCAATGTTGGCCAGATAGCTTCACAACGATTGAAGATAGGTATAAACTTAATTATACAAAAGTTACATACATACAGGTCAAGCTAATAAACGCCTAGTTAAATCGAAACTGCCGTCTCCTTATATCCCTTTTGTTTTACCTGGTTATTTAGTGTATACCTTTAATTAAAAACCAATTTGCATATATTCGAATCCACCCACGCCCAACCTCCAACAGAATATCTAATTGTAAATTGTAAGTACAATAAAGTTCCTGGCGGTTTTATGATCGTTTCAACCTTCACCTTGACGAAACATCGAACATTCAAAAGTCCAGCATTTGCAAAGTGTTCGGGTCAAAAAACTGACAATGCTCGAAAAAATTCCGAGTTCGAATGTGAATCAGATGAATAACTTTTCCTGTCTGGTTTTATAGTTATTGTCGAAGAACGGAGATCGTTATGTTTTGAATTTAAATTATTATTGTTACATAACGAAGAAATACATGCTGTATTCGAGAATTTTCTGTGAAAGTTCAATCGATCGATTTCATGGTGGATGCTCATTTCTTTAATAGTCCTCCTACTGTTGCGACCCTACGAAACTGCTAGAAAATAATCAAAATTTTATGAGCATTTAATTTACGCATCCGATTTCTCCGTAAAATGTTTTTTTTTTCAGGTTACACTGTTACAGACAGGCACCCCAGTGAACATGATGACGCCAAAATGACGTCATTATTCGGTCACTTTGGGTCGGAAACATCATTGACTAAAAAATGGCGTGTGTTTTTATGCCTTGAAAAGGCTGTCATTTTGACGTTTTTGGGACAGTCAGCACTGAAAAATCAACACTTACCTACAAAGAAAATATAGACATTTCATGACCAATAAGGTAAACTGTATATCCAAATACTAGTAACTACTTTATTGTTATTAATAAAAAATCTTGTTAATATGACTTTTCAAATAATATTTCATGTTCAGATATTTCAAATTGCCATTTTACATGATGTTTTATTCCTTTAAGTAACAAGTGAGATCAAACGGTGCTTTTTAGTTCTTTATTAAAGATTTCGATACAGTTTGTACAAATGCTCCTAAAAAATTCCCGAGGTGATAACGTCATCTCGGAACGAGAGGGTCCAAGAGTGGTAGATAAGTAGAATATGGGTTTCGGCGCCTTTTTACCACTCCTGAACTCACTTCTTGTGGGGCGTCGTTGTCACATCCTCAATTTTTCAAGAGCATCTGTATAGATCGCGCGATTATTTTTGCGAGCGACTGTACGTCATATCCACGATGTCATACCGACTTTGTATTTGGTCTTTTATACGACACTATAACGTCATATAATGACGTCATTTGGGTGTGACATTAGACCGTTATAATGACGTCATTTTTGTTGGAGGGCGTACGTCAGAAGTGGCCTAAAAATGCTGAGATTATGACTTCAGTATGTTCACTGGATTTTTGAAAACATTCTCATAAGAACAAATAAAAACGCGTAAAATAGAACTGTTTAGGTCAAAATCATACCATATCTCCGTTTTTTAATGCTTTTATTGAGTTTCTTAAATTGTGAATGGATTTTGTTGGACAGCATTTTTCAATTTTGCATCGTTCCGAGGATCCGAGTGCCAGCCGATTAAGTCAATCGACTCGTTTTTACTTCGATTGCAACAGTAATGTGCTCCGGTCCTCCCGAGCATAGCAAGTATTTCAAAAAAATTAATTGGTACCTCTAGAAAAGATTATCCGCCAAGCCACTGTTCGGGTCTTACCAGCGCCCATTGCACATTTTCATGGTAGTGCTGTACCTACCTGGTTTGCCGCTGCGCTAGCAGATGGCCGCGGCCGCTTTCGCATTATTTTAAATTCTCTGTTCGAGGGGAACGAAAACAACGAAGGGTGAACCCGATCTATTCTCACCACCTTCTTACTATTTTTACGTTACAATAGCGGTATCTGATAATGACCAAAATCCCAACCTGTTTTTATTGTAGGAAACTCCAAAAATGCATTGTATGTATTCATACAATTCCGAGTCTTTTGATGCATATAGAGTCCACCTGTTCTCAGGCGGACGTAAACATGCGGCAGGTTATATTTACGGATTAAAAGATGTATTGAAGAAAATCTGTTAACATGCGCTTTTCTCGATTTTCCGCATCGTAACCTGTAACCCCAGACAAGAAACTAGCAGAGGGCAATGATTCCTAGGACCAGACAAATCCTATTCATATCAAAACTATTTTCCGCTTGACCTTGATGTCTATATGTTCTTCCCGCGTAGACTCCAGGAAAATAAACAAATACTGGCTAATTTTCACCGGCTTTACGGCACATGCAAACATCAAAATACAGAAAAATACCAATATAAATGCATCTAATAACACGGCGTTTGATAAGTTTCCTATAATTACCGTGGAAATGCCTCAAAGGTGGGTGTACCCTGTCAAATGACTAGTTACCATCAAAAAATACAATGAAATTCATTTCATACAATAATATTGTTGGAATGTACAAATAGCTTGTTGTGACATTATTATCAGCGATAATACGACTGGTATCTATTTGATGAGATAACATGCGCCTGGTAAAAAGAGCGGGATCGGCACATTAGGCAGGGTCCATTATGAAACCGAATGATCACAAATGTACTTTTGCCGATAACTGGAGTTTTTTAACTGAAATCTCCCTGAAAAAAATTGTAAAAAAATCCGTCGTACTTACCGTATTATTTTCCGATGGATTTTCGCCGTGTCCGATTGTATTTTCATCAAAATCAGGCATAAATGGGTTTTTAACACTGACAGCACTGTACACCCAACGTATGTATACAAAACTTGTAGTTAACCACAAAGAACGAAGAGGGAATTCAAATCGCGCGCTGTCGATTGGTCAGCGCAAGTCACGAGCCTTTCCCGCGCGCCTCCTATTGGCTGTCGGAAATGCCGACGAAAACGATGTTCGCCATCGAACCACGATGCACATGGCAATGGTGCCTGACATTTAATTTAACCTAAATATACGGAAAAACTACGGCGAATCGGATATTGCCGATTGTTGGAAAATTTTCTCTAAAAAATGAGGAAAAATACGGTACCCGTTTTATGAGGTATTATAACGTAATTGTTATGTATTAAAAGGGAACATGCGGGCATAATCTGCCGTTTTGCCGGAATGTGTTTTCTAACAACCATCATGGCAGCCTCGCAATTTTAAAGTTGGTCGTCCCTTTAAAATCTCAAGGTTGCGTTATCGGACATGCACTTTCACGTGCAACTTTTCAAAATACTAGCAAAAATGACCTAAAATACGTTTTTTTCCAACGAAAATAAATTAATTGCATATAAAATCGATCGATATTATGAAAGTGGAATAGTCCATTCTATTAGATTCCCAGGGGAGTACGGTAGATTTTTTTTCGGGGGAAGAACAGTAATTTATGACTTACGACCATTATGGCTGGATAGGTGTTTTGATTAACTTCTTTTAATAACACATATTAGACGAAAATACCCCTGATTTGCGAAATAATTGTAAACTCTCGTTTTATTGCTTCACGCTGTTCAAGGGGGTATTCAAACATGGATGCATAAAATTGGTACACCCATTTTTGTGGGAAAACTTTTATTCGACAACAAAAAACGTGACTAATAGCAAAAAAGTTATGGCCGAAAACCAAGGCAAACTGCATGTTTTGGCACTTGTTGGTAATCCGACGATGATTTCTCGCAGATATTTGAAATTCTTCAAATTCGTACTTCTAAATAACCACAACAAAATTGGAGTAGATTGGTCCAGTAGTTTTTGAGAATTTCTAATTATTTATCCCAAAACACCTGTTTTCCGGCCGTCACTACTAGTTTAATGAGCGACATACGGGGTTAGTTCAAAGGGCATTTTATGCAAAATTCACTAGTTTACCGTGCCGATATGAATTGCAAACCATTCCGGAAGATAAATGTCAATTTTATGCAAGTATTTCAGTTTTCACTTGAAGGCCACTGGACGAAAGATGACCAACTTTTATTATTCGCAATTTTGAAAATGAACATCAAAATACTATTAGTTTCACTGAAAGTCAGAGAACAGTTGGGTATTTTGAATAAGTGATGCAGAGCATAGATTGTGGCACAGTTCAAAAATATACCAAAACCTAATGGTGTTTTTTTTTCGAGCGAAATCTGGTCGTAGCTTCAGAGCCGTTGCAACGATCGACTCATTATTTAACAATACGGACGCGTTGTGGGATCGTGTAGCGCTTTTATGATGAAATGGACTCGTGCATTAAACAGCTACTACAGGGCCACCTACTGCAACGCGTGTATCAAAAATTCTTCGAAAAATCATTGATTTTCATGAAAAAATTGCTGCAAAATGAGGTCTCAAGAAAATCAAAAAAAAAATTGAAAAGGGGAAGTGATAAGAATAGTAATCACTCAATTCTGCTGCAAAATTCGAATTTCGACGTACAATTTCATATTTGTTAACAAGATACGATTGAAAAAAAAATGCACAAAAAGGGCGATTTTTGACAAAAATATGGATATGATTATATTGTTTTAATTGATCATCTCTACAGGGTGTCATACTAGTTAAAGTCCAGGTCACATGTTAAAGTCGGTGATCGTGATGACGAGCAGCATTTCGGCATCTCTCACGATAAAGCCTAGCTGCAGAACTAGCATACTACGTAGACTAACTCCGTCCGTCACTACGTCTAAGAAAATAATGAATTTTGTAGTAATGGGGGAAGTACTAGATCAACACGGTATTATTTTTCTGATAACTATTATGACTTTAAATTGCTGTCTTGATTCGGGTCTAAAGGCCGTCGTCGGTTGGTCCGCTTCGGTTGACTTCGGGATGTCGATCGGGTTGAGTCTGAGGGTCTCTTCCTTCCTGATGAAGTTATCTGGATGTTTGTGATTCTCGATAGCTTCCCTGACCAGTCTACTGTGATAGCCGTTGAGTGATGACAGCAACCTGCAAATCTTTCGAGCTCGTTCTGTCACGGTTTTGATGACTCCGTACTTCTGACTTGGGTGATGATTGGGCAAAGCGTGCAGGTATCTGTCTGTGTGCGTTGGTTTCCTGTACACTGTGTGACCCAGCTTGTTACCTCGCTTCCTGACTGGTACGTCCAAGAAGGCCATTTGTTGGTCACTCTCTATTTCCATGGTAAATTGTATGCTTGGATGCCGATCGTTGAGGTACTGCAGAAACTCGTTTAGCCTGTCCGTGCCATGTTTCCAAATCACGAAGGTGTCGTCCACGTACCGGAACAAAATTGCTGGTTTGTTCTCCGATGTCTCAACCGCCTTCTTCTAAAGTGTTCCATAAAAAGGTTGGCTGTGACTGGGCTAAGTGGACTTCCCATTGCCACTCCGTCTGTCTTTAACAGGAAGGAAGAGACCCTCAGACTCAACCCGATCCTCAGAAACGCCCGAGCAGTGCCGATCGACACCCCGAAGTCAACCGAAGCGGAACAAGCCACGTCACCTACTCTCCGGTACAAATACAACCTGCGCAAGAGAAATCGTTAGTCTACATCCAGCATCGGAAATGTAAGGACCTCTGAAGAAGCTTGCCACTTGTGCTAGCGAAACGTTAGGAAGAAATTCCACCCGACGACGGCCTTTAGACCCGATCAAGACATCAGTTTATCAACTGGCCGCGAAAGCCTGAACCAATTTATTATGACTTTGCCTATCCTCCGTTTCCGGCTTGATGACGACTTCTGGGACATCCTTTCTGAAAATTGCATGTCTTATGTGATGGGAAAACTAAAAAAGTCAAAGGAAATAACAAAGAACTATAAAAATGTTATGTCTTACAAAATGTCGTTTCAGTCCCCATTCAACATTGCACCTCCTGGACTCCACAAGGCGTTAAAACTTTGTTCAAGCGATTTTACTCGCATTTCGTCGAATTTATACGAGGGTGGCTCAATAAGTACCCGCGTTAGAAATGAAGACACCATTTAAAAAAAATACTTTTAAACATACTCTTTCACGTTAGGGAACAAGAAAAAGTCGCAGGGGGGCAGATCGGGTGATGGCGACAATTCCGGATGAATGTGCTGGAGCTTATCGTCGTGAAACAGTACCTTTTCCTCCTAATGTGGCATTCAATTTTTTGTCGAAGCGGCCAATAATTCACTGTAGTCTTGTCCAATCTTCCTTTTTCTTAGGAATCCATGGAGGACTCCAAATGAACCAGTCTGAAATCTGTTATGCCGTCGTTTGATAGACGGCAACGCACGATGACAACACCAACTTCCCTCAGGAACGCCCTCTGCCGCCAAAAACGGGTACTTATTGGACAAGCCTCGTACACTCAACAACACAATGAACTGGTGATCATGAAATAATACCCGATACTCTCTTGGATAAACTTGAAACATACGTTCGACTCTTATAAGGTATACTAAACCACAAACAACACCCCGCGGTCGCTCATTTCTTCTGAATAAACTGAATAAAAATAAAACACTTCTGCAAACAAGCGAACATCATTTCTAAAATTAAGCAATGATTATTAGAACAGCATAGTGTCAGAAGTTCCAGATCAGAAATGTTCAGCAAATTTAATTTTAACAAAAACAACAACAACAACAAAGTGTTGTTTGATGTTACGTTATTTTTAGGAAACTATTTGACACTACCCATGTATCAGATACACTACATAAAATATTTTTACATAGAACAAGACACCGAAAAAATAGGTTCCACTGAAAAATTACTCAGATTGATCAGTAATTTTATTTTAAACTATACATATATACGATATTTTCGGTGAAACAAGCAAAATTTTTGGTATTATAAATAGACATATAATTTGAAAAAAAACAAAGACTAATAGCAATTTTAAACTTGGTTGCTTATTAAGTATCACTTAAACACAAGTTAGGAACATCGGAAGGATTATATCCATTTTCAAAATAAACATTTAGCATATAGCAACATAATTTTGAATTAATACTGGATAGATCCGTATTTACATCAACAACAGAATTAATTAAGAAATGTCGAACATAAGACAGATGAGGATGAACATAGCAACATAAAATTTGTCGTGTAATAAGAGACTTTTCCTTGGTGACAAGAGCGCAAAAGCTTTGTTTCTGGGACCCAAGAGATATATCACATTTTTTGTCTTTTCTTATTTTCAATATAATTTTTTGGAATTACCCTGTACACTGGGTTACGCCTTTTCAAAAAGTAGTAGATTTTAACGGAAATGAGTAACATCTAATAATCGTGAAAAACAGGCGTGCCAATTATTTACAATTAAGTGCTCTGTGGAGTGACGCTGTTGAAAGGAGAATTTCGAGGTCCGCAACTCATAGAGAGGCCCACAAACTGGGATTTAGCACTTGCAAGGTAAGTTTTCTTATAAAAAAAAGTGAAGTAAAAACCCTAAAGTTGCACAACTTGTTTGTAAGCCAAAGAAATGCCACTATTAACTCCACTGCAAAAGAAAAATCAGCTTAAATGGACTAAAGAACATAGACAATGGACACCTCAACAATGGTGTGCAATACAATGGAGTGATGAGGCCCGATTCGAAGTTTGTGTTGTGACAGTCGCAGTAGAGTTATTCGCAAAAAAATGAAGCATTCCATGTTGACTGTCTGAAGAGAAAAGTGAAATTTCTAACATCCATTATGGTCTGGGGCAGTATGTCATCAAAAGGAGTAGGAAAACTTCATTTTATTGATGGAAATGTGGATACAAACAAATATTTGGCAATTTTAGAAGAATCGCTTTTACCAGTGCTGGGAGAATGTTTGACATCCGGCCAAGATTTTGTGTTCCAGCAAGATGGTACAGCGTGCCATACCTCAAAACAGGCTATAAAATGGATGGAAGAAAATAATGTACCACTTTTGCTATGGGCTTCTAGCAGTCTAGATCTGTCACCTATTGAAACTTTGTGGCATGAGATGAAAAAGGTTCTACGACAACATCCTGCTCGTACAATCACCGAACTGAGACAAAAGCTTCAAGAAATATGGGATTGTTTTACAGCAAACTTTTGCCAAAACTTGGTTAACACTATGCCTCAAAGAATTTCAGCCGTAATAAAAAATAAAGGTGATGTTACCCAATGGTAATCTTTCAACTGTTGCTTTGTTAACTTCGAGCATTTATTCGCAGATTGTTTATTTGTTCAGATGTTCTATCAGTTATAGGTCTAAGTGATTTCCAATATGTATTTTTTACGACTAGAGTGTATCTAAAATGTTTTTGAGAAAATAAATTGTTTTAGAAGTAAATAGTTTCGTCATGTTTAGTTTATAAAGGCATATTTTGGTACAAATCTTGAAGTGGGCCAACTGAAGTGGGAAGGGGCTCGTATATCAACAAAGTTTGACGTCTATTTGAATTTTGTCTCCTTTAAGGAAAATTTTGCTTGCGTTTCAGCGTTTTATCTTGTGTAGTTTTTGAGATTATTCTGATTGTTTATAACAGACTTGATGTGCAGCCAACGTTAGCTTGACATTTGTCCGTGTCAAGCATAGTGGTATAAAGATCCAGTAAATCAAGAGGCGTAGTGGGATGGAGTAACGGTTACAGATCCGCAAGACACAGGTTCGAATCCACGAAGCACCCTTTTTTCTAATTTTATTTAAATTTGATAAAATGAGTATTTTTTCACATTATATGCTCAAACGCCATAGAGAATGCAAACTTGCTTGAAAAATATCAAGCACAGTTATGTAGATATGATTTGTGGAACTTCCACAAAAAAATGTTTTTTGAGCTGGATACGCCCTTGTCCCTTGATAACCACATTTAGTAAGCGTTTTTATATGATCGTAAGTTAAACAGCCAAACAAGCAAAATATCTTATTTGGGCGAAACCTTTTCCTAATAAGGAGCGATAGGATATAATAAAAATAAATAAATGCTTAGACCACTTAGAGTCTTTGTTTCCTGCGGTTTCAGTATACACACCGTAGTATCCTCAAAATACTGTTGATATTCATAATTCAGTCGATTTATATACGAGATTGATAATTCTTAAAAAAATAACCGACAGCTGTCAATTTTTAGACACAAAATGTTTCTGAACTGAATTATGTTGAACGATGAAAGTAATAAGCCTTGCATATTGAGGAAAATTAAAAATTGCGACTATAAAGAGAAACTATGACTGCGGAATTTTAAAATACACACGGGTAATTTTTGTATGGTATGAGGAATAATTAAAGGAAAAAAACATTTACACAGAATATTATAGGTCATTCGTGGATCGCATGTGACAAAATACATTACGAAAAACTTTCTCTTAAAAGCTAAAAAATTGATATTCACCACGCTCACTCTTCCAAATACTATAAAAATTCGAAGAGTAATATTTTAAAGTCTTATATTGAATCAGTATGGACCTGCTTTACAACTTTCTTAAAGATTATATGAGGTTGTTCGGGAAGTTTTTGCGGTTTTAACCTTCGAATTCAAAGGAGCATATCTCAGCTTTAACAAGGCTTTATTAATCAAAATAAAAACCGTTAGAATAGGTACACTTTTGCCAACGAGAAACACGTTTATTTATGCCGCTAACGTAGAAATCTGGAGGCGATGAAGTCATTGAAGGCATTTTTCGCATCGTCACGGTTATTGAAGCATTTCTCGCGAAGGACGTTGTCGAGGTGTTTGAATGTGTATCGTGAATATGGTGAATGGGGCGGAGTTCATAGCCCAATTCGTTCATTGGCCCCTTCATATAGACATCCTATATTTGAAGTCTTAAAAAAACAAATTATCTCAAAACCAAACGAATATAACGACTAGACAGAGACGAACACTTATACATTTGATAATAACGAACGAACAAAATTTTATTGCAAAAGTTATGCATACTCCTTCAACTATTTTGTTCACTGCCAAAGAAGCTGTATTCTGAAAATTACAAATCTTGCAAAATAAAGCTATGAGAATAATATTGAATAAAAATAAGTACACCTAAATAAAATCTATGTTAAAAGAATTGCAGTGGTTGAATAAATAAAAAATAAAAAATCATCTTTTGCCAGAACATTCAGAACACTACATGGAATTGAATAATCATTACCACAATTATTATACAAGAAGAAATATATATTTTCATTTACAAATAATATAACTAGCAAATCAATGTTTCAGAAAGGATTACTTGAATTTAATAAAGTAATTAATGATATAAAGTCTACTTGTAATTTAAAGATATTTAAAAGAAAATTAAAGGAATTATGTAATTGTTTGGTTTTTTAGAAGAATGTAATTGTGGCAATCATGCTAAATAAATCTTAAAAAAACGAACAAAAAAAAAACGCGCTTTAAAATGATATATAAAGTCAAAGTATTATAAATAAATTTTAGTGTAAAATTCATCATCAATAACAAAAACCGCAAGAACCTTCAGAACAAGCTAATAGTTAATAAATCGCTTACAAAAGCATTTATGTCAGTGTCAGCAAGATCCGTTGAATATAGAAAGCAGGCCCTCGAATAATGATAATAATAAATGCACCATAATCGTATTAATCCACAGACAGTATCACATATGTTCCACGAAAGTACAAACCGCTCCTCATGAGGACGTCGATGCCGATTCCCTTTTGCAATTTTGGAAAGCGGCGGCGGCGGCGACGGCGATTGCCTCGAGATGGTCGATTTTTTCCAACCTCGGCCGTTTGGTCGGGGCCGGCGGCGAAACGCCGACCGCGACCGGAAGTCCGTCTCAGCCTGACCGTTCCTCGACTTCGGCGACTTGCTGCAAGATGTCGCAATAGTAACGGATGCCGCGCACGAAAGTGCATCGGTTCAGGAACTCGTCGTTGTCGTGCAGCAAAATCGGCGTGTTGTTGATCGGCGAGAAACCCAACGCGGGGATGCCGACGGCGCGCAAGTAGCGTGAATCGGTGCCGCCGGGAAACACTTGCGGCTTCAGCTTCAGACCACTGCAAACGATTAAAAGAAAAAACATAAGTAGCTGTTTCAACATCAAAATCAAATGGAAATTCTAGCGAACATCTTTTGTAAATGGTTCTAAGCCCGATAGCACGAAATATTCATTAAATGTCTATTTAATATTCAATAATATTTGTTTTCTTAGATAAATATTTAATAAATATTTGTGATATTTAGAAAATATTAATTAAATATTCGGCTACGGTGCATGTGCGCGTGACCTCGAGCGACCAACGGGATAATAGCAAGCCGGCCTGAGGCGACCCGTTTGCCGGCATCCATTTTACCTACCACTTCTAATGTCACTGAGTCTATATTCTCGTGAGATAGACATAATGAAATGAATTCATTTTAAAAAACACCCCATACCGAAACACGTTAAATGTTTTTCTAACAACTGATACGACTGTGGTGCAATTTTCAGTTTATCTTGAGTACCGTTATAAAATGATGTAACTCACAGCCTGTCGGTGACCTCTTTGAACGCCATCCAGAACGGATTCGTAGCGTCCAGCTTTGTGGCCGGGATGTGCATCTGCTTTTTGTCGACCTTGAAATGAACCCCCTGACCCGCCTCTTGACACCACCTGTTCAGCATTTCCTCGTACTTCTGCAGATCCACTGACAAGGCGATTCGACTGTCCATCACAAAAGTGAACTCTGGAGGGATCACGTTGTTTTGGACGCCGCCCTACAAATAAAACAGATAGAAATAGGTATCAGATGGTGTCCTTCTGGGCATAAAAGTACCACGTACAGTAATGGACAAAAGTATATAGACAAATATGAATATTTACCTACGTACCTTCAGAAAACGAATTCATACTTCATTGCTCCATAAACAAATGCGTTATTAATAGAAAAACTAAATTCCTTGTTTTTACTTTATCTGCAATGAACACAATACAAGTCTGAATATAATTACTTTACAAATTCTTTTCAACATTAGTTTAGTACAGTTTCGTGTTAGAAAAGGATTAGTTTGTGTTCATCAAGTATTGTGGAATAAGGTGAGTGATTTTAAGACCATGCCACGAGGTCCAGAAATTTCTTTCGATGTGAAAACTAAGATCATTGAGTTATACAAAGATGGTCAACGTCAAGTGGACATTGCCAAAAATTTGAAGCTGAACAGTTTGGGCAATATTGAACAAATATAAACAAAAAGGTATCTTGGAAGCCTTTAAGAGAAGTGGTCGGCCTAGAAAATTAAATGCTAGATCAGTTAGATTAATAAAAGTAATTTCGTCCAAAGATCTGTTTAAAACCCCAAGACAAATAAAAGCCGAAATAGAGACAAAAGGAATTGTCAGTGATTCTACGAAAACTATAAGTAGAAAATTAAATGATTTCAAGTTATTTGCACGTCGCCCGAGTAAGAAGCCGCTAATCTCGAGGAAAAACCGTAAGGACCGATTACAATTTGCACGGTTGCATCTTGATTGGAACATCTGTGACTGGAAGAGGATATGTTTCAGTGACGAATCCAAGCTCAATATGATTGGATCGGATGGAGTTCAGTTAGACGTCCTAGTGAACAAAGATTAAACCCCAAGTACACTTTGCCCACTGTCAAACATGGAGGCGGGTCTGTTATGGTTTGGGGGTGCTTTTCGGGGTTTGGGATGGGACCTTTTCATATAATAGATGGCATTATGGATAAGTTTGTATACACAGACATACTAAAGCATGTCATGATACCCTTATGGAAGACAATATGCCCTTAAGATCAATCTTCCAGCAACGTACTGACCCGAAGCACACTTCAAATCTCGCAAAGAAATTCTTTCTGGATGAAAAAATACCAGTTCTCAAATGTCCTTCACAGTCCCCCTTAGATAAGCAAATACGAGATAAAAATTATTCAAACAAGGATGAACTTTTTGCCGCTTTAGAGCAAAAGTGGAGACAGATTGATGAATCTTATATCAAGAAACTTCTACAATCTATGAAAAGACGATGCCAGGCGGTGATTGATAATAATGTTTATGCTACAAAATATTACTGGTTGGTTTTCCATAATTCAATAAAGTTTGCTTCTTTTTGCTATAATTGTTTTGCTTTGTCTATATATTTTTGTCCCTCATAGTTCCAGTTTTTTCAATTAATTTTTTATTGAAGGGAATCTAACGAATTTATTTATGTATAAGTGAGTATTATGCTATAACGAATTATATATACAGGTTGGTATAATAATAAAACAAGTTAAAAAAGAAATACAGCACAATATTAATTTGTCTATATACTTTTGTCCATTACTGTATTTTTAGACTCAAAGTAAAAATGACATAATTTGGATCATGTCTCATGTCAAAGAAAAACAGAAGTATATCAGTTTAAGAGGAAATACCTACAGGGTGGCCCAAGGAAAAGCTGGCACCCCTATTTGTGACTCTCCTGGTACATTTTGGGAAAACTCGGACAAGTCAATTGATCGATTCCTAGAGGGATATCTTTTAATCTATAGCCGTACACTACAGGATGATCCAAAAATAAGCTATTGCGTTACACTTTAGATTTTTAAATGGATACCGTCATTGTTTTAAATTTTAGATTCTCCATCAAGTTTATAGTAAACTTTGTATAACAAAGTGTATACCCATCTTTAATCGTTGTAAAGCTATTTGTGTTTACAATAAAATTCTAGAAATTGTGATAATAAGGGATTGTATCGTAAAAATAATAATCAATATACACACATTTATTTTTTCAGGATATTGCGAGTGTACCTCTCGAAATAAATGTGGATTCGAGTCATTCCAATATCGACAATTATGTCTATTTACAGCGCCATGTAAATAGAACGTATACTCATCCGAGAAACTAAATAACAGATTTGCTTCGTTGATTAAACGTTGGAACATTAATTCGCAAAGCACCACCCTTCTATCGATATCGTCTTCTTTGAGCATTTGAGCTCATCGACAAGTTTTATCTTGTACGGGTGAAATTTATTGTCTTTCAAATTTCTTTGCTCTGTGGAGCTTGTATCGGAAATATTACATTTCTTATTTTAAAATGAAAGATTAGGATGTAACCACCAAAAATACAACTTTGTAGTTCTATAAAATACAAAGAAGAGGGTTCCGTAAAGAAAAAATGATATTTTCGGGCAAGTTATATCCTAATCTTTCGCTTTAAAGTAAGAAATGATATATTTGCGATATGCGCTAAAGTATAGTCTTACCTTTCTGCGGCTTCATTTCTAACTGGCCGATTTCCTAGATGGCGTTAAATAACCGGGCAAAAGCTATTGCAATGCTCCTATTTTGGTAATACAGTTTTGTTATTTCTACCATGAATTGAATAAGTCATTGTTCAATATTTATCACAACTAGATAGGTAACTTAACATACAATTTTTTTTTATGACATACGATGACACTGACTGATGGCTAAATATTCTTGCTGGTATCCATGATTATTATTTTTGTCGGGCATACCATTATTATCAGTATTAAATTAGTCGAACTTTCATTATAAATAGCTTCACGACGATTGAAGATAGGTATAAACCTTATTCTACAAAAGTTACTAAAAACTTGACGAAAAATCTAAAAATTATAGGTGTGTGACCTTTTCGATGGGCCACCCTGTAGATTTTTTGTCCTAGTACACGGATTAATTTTGAGTTGATTTAAAAAATAATTTTAATTCAGGTTTTGCTAACGTGTAATTTTGGGTTTCCTAAAAGTTCGCGCTAATTTTTTATCACAATGCAAGATGTGGCCTTGAATGTTTACGCAAAACAGAGGGTTGCTTGCACTTCCACTTACATTCAACTTTGTAACGTTGACTGTGGTGACGTCTCCGAGCGTCATATCAGGATTGTCCGTCAATTTATCCTGTTGGGTTTTCCTAAATTCGTATATTTTCTTTAACAGATATGCAACCTTTTCTCCGGGAGTGTTTTCCAGAAGCAAAGAGCCGTGCCCAGTGTGTCCGGGACAGTAGAACATCACTTCTGCAAAAATCAAAAAACAACGAATTATACTAAGTGACATATAATCCGAACACAGAGTTTAAATGGTTTTACTTTAATAAAAGCTGGTGAATGTATTTATCTTACTGTAAATAACAAGTGAAAAAATGTTCAGCCTTATCAGTTGGACATTCCGGTTTTTATAATGCTTTTTTTTAATTCACTAACGCTCTAAAAATGAATATTTCAGCCGCAGTAAAGAATCAACGTTGGCGGATTTTGGTTCTTGACATCCTTTACGATCGGTTACGATGCCTAGAGTACGGAGACCTGTACAAGTTCGTCAACTTGGTGAGTTTGATAGGGGCCGTATAGTGGGACTTCGGGAAGCTGGACTTTCTTTTCGGGCAATTGCAGTTAGAGTGCAAAGAAATGTAGACACTGTGGTTAGGTGTTGTCAGGCATGGCTTCGAGAAGGCCGTACGCAAAGAGCAAGGGGCACTGGACGCCGCCGTAGAACAACAGACCGTGAAGATCGCCGCCTAAGATTATTGGCCTTAAGGGACCGTTTCTCCACTACTAGGTCCATTGCAAATGAATGGTTTGCAGAACACGGAAGACCTATTGGCATGCGAAGTGTTTACCGACGAATGAGAAGTTTTGGCTCGTTCTCATACCGGCCACACTGGGTCCTCCATTTAACTCGAAAACACCGACGTAATCGCCTTGAGTGGTGCAGACAACGGTCACTCTGGGATCAGGAATGGAACAGTATTGTCTTTAGTGACGAATCTCGATTTTGTTTAGGCATGCACGATGGTCGTGCCAGGGTTAGAAGGCGACGTGGTGAAAGGAGGAATCCACAGTTTTTTGTTGAAAGACATGTTCATCACACTGTTGGAGTTATGGTTTGGGGTGCTATAGCTTATGGTTCCAAGTCACCTTTAATCTTCATCAGAGGTAACATGAACGCGCAGCGTTATATCCACGCAGTTCTAGAACCCCATCTTTTAGCCTATCTTGACACCCTGGCAGATCCAACTTTCCAACAAGATAATGCCCGACCACATGTTGCAAGAGTCACAATAAACTTCTTTCAACATAATGATGTCACATTGTTACCGTGGCCACCAAGATCTCCCGACTTATCCCCAATTGAGCACGTGTGGGATATGATGGGTAGGAGATTGCTCAATTTGCAACGTCCTCCTCAGACTCTAGAAGCACTTCGAGAGGAGTTGGTGGTTGCTTGGAATGAGATACCACAGGAGGACGTTGACCACCTGATCAGAAGCATGCCTAGGCGCGTTGGAGAATGCGTAACACATCAGGGTGCATCCACACATTATTAAAGGTCAAAGGACTTTAAAGCAGTGCAATCATTTTGAAATTTTTATCATTTACTTATTATGCTTCATTAAGTACTTATACAAAATTTTATTAAAATAAAACCATTTAAACTGGGTGTTCGGATTTATATGTCACTTAGTATATTTCACTACACGATGATCTATGTGCGGGGTCTGCCAATCGAGTGATTGGCATCGTAGCGTTCGATCTGGCATCACTGGAGGCGGCGGGAACTTGTAATCCGCATTCGGTACCAGTTTGAAAACGCTCGAGTCATTTGGTTGTCCGTTGCGATTATTTTTTTTTTTGTAAAACTACTGTCAGGTTTTGCTTCAAGAGTCCAGGTTTTTCGGTGGTTTAAGGCATTTTCAGAAGGGAAAGAGTCGATCGAAAGTGAACCACGAAGCGAAAGGCCTTCATCTTCAAGAACCGATGAAAATATAGACGGAATCCGGGATCTTGTTCAGGTCGTCGGTTGACACTCGGAATGAATGATATCAAAAGACGAGTATTTGGCCAGTATAAACATGCCTCAGCCTCCTTATTCGCCCGACTTGAGTCCTGTGCTTATAACTTTTTTCTCTTTTTTGTTGTTGTTGAAGATTTATTTAGCATTAATGCTACAATGTCAATTTTGTATAATGATTCGGTTACCAGAATAGTTTAAAGTGTCTTTACAAATATATATTTACTTATAATCAGCAGATATGATAAAATATTAGAATAAACATAAGATAGAGACGAAACAGAAATATTACTTTATAAAAGCAGTCAATGAGTGAATCGGATCAAAATGTTCATGTCAATGCCTTATTCAAAATATACTTGGTGGCATTAGAAGTGTTACATCCAGAAAAAAATAATGTCACCGAGTGTATTAACGGATTTCTTATTCTGATCCGATTCATCTACCCTACAACAGTTCTGAAAAGAGTGTGATCAAATATTTTAAATAAAAACCTAATTTTCTTTTTCCAGACTCCAAAAGATGGTATTGAACTATAGTTATTGAGAGTGAAAATAAATCAGCATCGTGTAGAAACATGTTACTAGTAGTAGACTTACGCCAAATAGATCGTTCACCGTAATACAATGCAAATACATCAGTTTCTGAAGCCATGCCTTCATCTAGGGCAAAACACACGTTCAGGTTTTTAAATAGATTTGTTTTAACAAACACAGCCATTCCATCTTTCCCACCTATTTCCTCATCTGAAAGAAAAATACGAATTGGAATTATGAACGAAAAATACACATTGACGTCAACTTTCAAATTTCAATGTTTCAGTTTTTCATACAAAAATAAGGGAATATATACTGAGTGACATATAAAATGCGAAATTTCGAGTAAAAATTTTAATCACTTTCTATTTATAGTTAGATCTAAAACTTGTAAAAGTATGCCCAAAATTACAGCATTCCTAGTCGGGGGTGCATTTTTTAGGTCGTTTAGTATACTTGAAAACTTATCTAACCTTAAAATGATCTTGTAGGTCGCGATTTGCATTTCGGTAATCAAGAAAGGATGTTTTCCGTTAAAAATTCATTAAATCTTCATATGACTTTGTTGGTCATGGATAGATAGAATCTTTGTTAGTTGGATAGGTATAGTACATGACAGAAAATAGAAAAGTACAATGAAAGTTGTGAAACATTCGGTTGCACAGAGTAAAATAATATCAAATCGAAAACACATCCAACAAAGTAAAAACAAAATGACGGAATATGTAATCATAAAAACGTAAAATTGCTAAAAGGGTAGTACCTGGAACAAACGTCACATGCAAAGTTCTTCTTAAAGTAACACCTTTTGACATCAACCACCGAATTGCTTCCAAATATTGTATTCCTACAGATTTCATATCTTGTGCTCCTCTAGCATAAATATTACCCTGTTCGTCCATATGTGCACTAAATGGTTTGTAGGTCCATTTATCCTATAAGAAAATACATAGTGCTACAAAAAAATATGAAGAAAATATATGCTCTCAAATATCTGCTTCATGTTGAATATTTTTATATCTAACAAGAAAAAAAGAACACGGTATCGTTGGGGTGAATCGATATTTTGATTAAATGGCAAAGCTTCCAGTTGAAGATACAAAAAAAAAATATTTATAAACTTCAACACCCCGTATCTTTTTAATGAAGCCCTCGGGGAAAAAACCTTACATAGAAGACCCCACCTTAAAGTGCGGTCCTGTGTACGGTGTTTTATGTTTGGTCACTACTTGAGAATCACCCTGTATAGTGCTTATGTTTGCAATATCAAAAGGTCCAGTGTATAGAACAATTGAATATATGAGATAAAACCTCACAACTGTCAATCAAAATCCACGTTGACAGAAATCTAATACCATCCACGAAATCAGGAAAAGATTCTCTATTACCTCCTGCATTCAAGTATAACCATAAGTCTGACGTCATAAATTGCATGAGTTTAATGCTGTTTTAATATTGAAGGTAACTTAATGGATGTTTTCTAGGTTGATTTATTTGTAATAACAGGACCAAATTGGTTTAATATCGCGACTCCTACAAGCATGACTCACTGTCTATTTATGCACACTATTTATTGATTTCTTGATTATAATTCCTTAGAATGAGGATCTATATGATATGAACTATACAAAATAGTCAGATTTTGAAAGTTACTTAAATACTGTTATCACTTGAAGTAATGTTGGCAATTGGTGTAGCTTTTGAAAGTAGAAAACATTTTTTTTATTTTTATGTTGAACTTTAAAGTTTAGATATCATTCTTAAATCTAAATGTGTATTTAAGGGCAAATTATTGAAAATAGATCCACATAGATAGTCATGGCTATTACAGTATGTGCTGAGGTTATTATTCCTTAGATTGTATCTCTAGGACTCTTTAAGGTAAATGAATATGGAAGGATACGATTTCACATGAAAGCATGCATCTAGAGTGATTAATGACAATACCGTTAGTATTTTTTAATCTCTAAATGTTTTTCGACAATACGCTAGAGGATGCAATAAAGATTTGTTGGGCATTAATAGACGATCCCTAATATAGCACTAAATATTTGCGGTGGGAATATAATAGTATTATGGTCCTGAGAGCAAAAAATGCGTTTTTGTGTTTGACATTAATCACAGAATCCATTGATCTACGCGATTTTTAAAACCATGGTCTTGATAAATCAAAAAGCATTTCTAAGGCTATCTTTCGGCACTTACTTCAAATACAGGAACAACATCCATATGACTGTTCAGCATGATCGAAGGTAAGCTGGGTTCCCTTCCCACCCAGCTGATGATCACGACTGGTTTTCCTTTGACGATTTCATGCACCTGGATGGGCAGCCCAAGACTCTTGGCCTGTTTCTCCAGAAACTTGACACAGCCATCTGCAATGGAATTTACACTGCAATCTAGTGCCACTGCTTATTCGACAAGCAAATATAATACCTTAGAGAATACTACATACTACACAGATAAGTAAATACTTTTAATATACAAAATAATCAATTATTTAGCTAAAATACACACACACGGTTCAAATGGCAAGGCACGAAAAAGAATGAAGATGAAAAAATGTGTTATCTGAAGATACAATCATAAAATATGCAAAAATAAAATTAAAAATTATGTAAAGAATAAAATTCAAAAAGATCCATTTTTCACGGTATCAACATCCACAATTCAAAAATTTGGTAACAGAATAAAAACATTTATGAGTTAGATAACTAACTGCAATCCAAGAGATTAAAGCTGTTGTAGTAACTGAAGGAATAATTTTTTTAGTGTGAAAGTTGATTGCAGTTGTTTCATTTTTATTGAATACCTTATTCCTCTCACATCAAATGTCCATCTCTTCAAAAACTATCAAAATGTTCTTAAAAGTACTTCCACAGAACTGCTAGAAATCATTATCGTAGTATCATTAACAAACATTGTGACTTTGACCTTTAAAATGAAATTTGGCAGGTCATTTATGAAAAGTATAAATAACAATGCCCCCAACACTGACCCTTGCTGTCAACCTTTGTAAAATGGGTATCTGTCAGATATTAATTTATCAAAAGTTCCTCTAAATACCATTCATTGTGTTTGTGAGCTGAGGCCTAGTCTTTATATTGTTTGATGGGGTCATGTGACAATATTTTTAATACATTTTGTCAATGTTGGATTCAGAATAAATTTCCAACCAATCTTTGTTTGAAAAATGTTGCATTGTCAAATTTTTGTTCAGTGTGTCAATAGTTTGAGTTCATTTTTCAGAGTAAGGATTAAACTTAAACTCAATATTCTCTATGTAGATTTTTTTTCTGGTACATTTATTCCCAAAATTGATCCATTTTTCTCCTCAAATTCCTTAGTGCTTATTGCTATATTGTAAAATAAACTTGCAAAAAATTCATTTTGTGTAGTTTTATTAAAGAGGAATGTGTGTTTGTATATATGAGAAAATAGGTGGTAAAAATTAAACATTTAAAGGAAATGTTGATACTACAAATTGCCCAGGACCTTAAATTATGAAGATCCATATGATCAAGATAACTTGAATACACACAAACATTTGAATATCAGCCTCGCTAAGCCAGCACACAAAAGGCGTTCTAGTAATTCACTTTTTTATTATTATTCATATTTATTATCTGCAGTAAAGGAAAACTATGTACTATGTGACTTATAATTACGTATCACTATGACTGATCGAAAAAAGAAAAAACTATGCATGATGTATAAACAATTGCCTAAAAAGATCTTTCAGAATGATAAAACAAAATTCACCTTTATCTTGGAATAAGCCTGCTCAGCAATTAGAGCCCAATTGTATCGAACAAACATGACGAACCACACACCCAAAAAGCGAAGCCAAGCCAAGAGAAATTGAACAAACGTCAAGACGACACACGACGCTTCAACGTGACATCAAACCCCATTTATTTATCAATACAAAAACTCAATAGCATCTAAAGGTTATACCTACCTACCTACTATATAAACGAGATGAAAAATAAACAATAATCACTTACCGTAATTAACGTTAGGGTGCACGGAAGGAATTTGCAGATATTCGCGGAGGTTATTGACAGCTTGCGTTTCCAACGCCGCCTGCTTTTGATCAGCTGATAGTGAAGACATCTTACGAGATCCTACGGAAAAAATCGCAGGCTGTAAAACTCGGACGTAAAACAGGGAGTAACTGCAACACCGCAACAGACGCAGCTGATCCAAGCGCCTACAGTTCTACGTTTGGTTTTCAAATTTGTATATTGCTGATTTTTATCTATCTGTTAGATTATCATAGTTTTTCGCCTCTTTCGTGACCCCTTTATTCTATAATTTGTAGTATAATTATTGTTTCTCCCACTACCTTCCTAGGTCTGTAATCAAATAAATTATTTTTAACAAGAAACTGTTTTTTTTTTCTACTATCGTTCACCACTAGGTAGGTATATATTTCAATTTTCATGGGTAGATAACTGGGTATTAGTTTTATTGTGAAAACCTTAGTTCGTTTTTCTATTTGCGACTCGAGAAGTTTAAAATTTCGTATTTATAATCTCTTATAACAATAATAATGATACAACTGATGTAGGCAACACAAAAATCTCGGTGGTATTTTGAATTTTCCGCTGAAATTCGAATAGACAAATGATTTTCGGCAATGTGACGACGTTGCCAGATAACCATAATGAATTTTGGAGCATGCTTTTAATTGGGATGGCAACACTTGTCAAGATTTTATATCAACATAAATAATATACCTTGTAAATATAGGTAAATTGCTTAGGAATACAGATTCATTAGAAACATTATTTGAACAATAAGGTATTTAGAGCCAAACTATACGGACGATTTTCCGCGGCGTATTTTACGCGACGGTCCTAATCGAAAGCGTGCCGTCAAACGAGCGAAAATGGGTGGAAAATACGTCGCGTTGTCTTTATTTCCGTCTGCGGTGGGCGTATTGCACGCTTTCGAATGCGTTGATATCGTCGCCGTCACAACGTAACACATTAAGAATTTTTTCGCGAGTCCACGGTGAGGTGAGGTACTAGCGTGTGACAGGTCTTATGTCAATGACATTTAAAAAACAGGCATCTCAATTGAAAATTTGTCTTCGCAGTGCTTAAATCATTAAATCATAAATGGAAAATCCGCCCGTATAGTTTGGCTCATACAGGTTATATAAATCTGCAAAGACGACATTAGCCGGAAAACTGAAAATAAGTGTCCATTGGAATAAGAATGCCTTTGAAAAAATTGTCAATTGAATATTTGTTCCATGTGCTATAACATAATACCTCTATATTTTTTAATTCTTATTTTCATATTTCACATGTTTTGTTATGATAAAGGAATTGAAAAATATGAGTGCACATTGTTTCTGCTTACCAAGTTTTTTACTGCGGTGCAATCGTAGATTATAGAAGACAAATGGGTTAAACAATTGCACTCCACACGGGTTTATATACCTGCAAGGCTTATTATCCAATAAACACCCTAGCGCTTATCAGTATTATTTACATTATTTACTGTGATAGCTGTGGTGATTCTGATATTTGTACCACAAAGCTTAACAAACAAATAGATGGGTACCTACATGATAAAAGAATATCGCTTATTAACCAGTGGTTTCATATGTAGAATAAGTACTAGAAACAAATCGAGTCGAGTAGACTGACTCAGATACGAAAATCACATTAGAAACTAAGATGATGATGTCAAGTGCAGATCGTAGACATAACATAAATTTGTCGCTAAACACCGTCTGTTTCGTAGTGCTAGCTTTTTAGTTGAAATATTCAGTAGGTAAATCACATATTTGCTTTATTACTATAAGAATAGCTAAGTATGTATAAGAATGTTTGCCAATCGATAAAAGAAGGTGATATCTCAAAACTGTATGTGAGTAAGGGCCGTCACAATATTGTATGATGCCTTCATGACCTCCTTCATTTTCATAGGTTTTTATCTCCTTCAGAAAAGCTGGGGCATTTCTAGATTTCACCTGTTCAGTATCAGCGTCAGCGCTCTCCTATTTTGTGAGGTTGTTTTCCTTTTGAATCGTGGGGAATTTCAGGCTGATAAAAGAGATGATATAAATCAAAAGCATGAACAATTTGATGCAAATAGATTTTGTAACATAACCTCAAAATAGAGGGCTGACACGGAACAGTAGAACACTATGAAAATCAAAGAGGCCTTTATGGCCTGCTTGATTTTGATAGCCTTCAGAAAGGCTAGATTTCTAGTGGTCCATGTAAGCGTCAGCGCTTTCTTATTCTGAGGCTAGGTGTTCTCTTTGAATTAGAAAATTTCAGTCCGATATAACAGATTATATAAATCAAAAGCATGAACAATTTAAGGCAAATAGATATTTGTAACATAACCTCAAGATAGGGCGCTGACGCGAAACAGTAGAAAACTATGAAAATCAAGAAGGCCATTAAGGGTGATCTCTAATGTACTGTGTTTTAATCTTCAATATACTGTTCCAGAAACGAATTAATACTTGCAATCAGATCTAAATACATAACATAGGCCTACTAAATGAATAATATACATTCTGCTTTCCCGTTTCAAGATTTGGCAACGTCGCATATCCCGAGACAGGTTAGGATCTACAGAATCTAAAATGGATTTTAAAAATGCTCCCATTTCGAAATTCGAAAGATTCTATTCAAAAGAACGATACCGATCGACTGTGACTGCCTACCTGTTAACGACGGTTTGAAAAAGAGCCCATATAACCAACCGGGCTGTTCTATAGACGCTGACGAAATGCTGACCCAATTCGTCCAAGATTCGGCACTGTACTGAAGAATCGAAACCCTGACAGGCAGCGCAAAGCAACGGGCGCCTTGGTATCGATTTTTAAATTTTCACAGTTCACAGTTTGCCTTAGGAATTTTGCCGTAACGCGACGATAATGTTGTCCAACCAGTTGATTTCGATTTTTTCTTTGTTTTTCTCCGTGGCGAACGCGGAGATTTTCATGTGGAGCAGTAGAGAGCTGAGGGTGTCACCGTTACAGAAATTCACCGAGAAAGAATTCCAGGATGTAGTGCGGAAAATGGGAAGCCCACAAGTTTTCCTCTTTAGAAGTCCTTCCAGGATAAATGCTAGCATTAAAGAAATCACCGATGGATATCATTCTGCGTACAATCCAAACGCCGAGTTGTTTCCGGAAAATTATACAGGTAAATACATATTACATTATCTTTCATCGGGTCAGTTTATTTTTCTACATTTAAATCATAATAGGCAATCCGGAAATATTTGCCTAACATGAATAACTATTCTAATTTTTCTTTTTACTTATATTAGCTATTATTTTCAATTTTTGTCAGAATCTGTCAGTTGCAGAATAAGTATAAAGTCACTATACAGGGTGTCCCAGAAGACGACGTCAAACCGTCAAAACTTTATAGCCTAATTGCTCGATAATTGTGTTTTTCTGGGTTGGTTCCTTTCAGCAAAATGCCGTCCATATTTCTTTCATTTATCCATTTATACAGGGTGAGCAAAGGAAGTCAGGGTTTTTTTCAGCAAAGTTTGGAGTTATGTCAGATTCTCAATTTTTGATATTGGAAATTTGTCTATGCATAAATTTGATCTTTGTAGTATCCTAAAGACAGTAAATTCTCAAATATTTCGAAAGATGGCTATAACTCAAATTGTCGAATTTTATATTTATCCCTAAAAACTTTTTTGAGTTTCTTTTGAGAATGGAGTTTTTGACTCACACTATCGCATAAAGCGGAATTTCTTGCGCCCGAGAAAAGATTGAAGCACTCGTTCAACGTTATTGCCCCCCCTGGCGTGCAATACAGATTTGTTACTTTGGCATTATGTAATTTAAACCGAATTTATGAATTTTACTGTGCAATTAAACAGCTTAATGAACAAATCCAAGTTACTACTCTTAATATAGGAGTGTATTCGACCAAAATCATTTTGTGGTTTGGTAAAAAGTGCTAATAACTTGAAAATTTTTATTTTTCAAAATGCTATGATGCTGGCCAACTCTGCTATTCATTTTCTGGAATATTTGATCTTTCTCAATAGACTCTAATACACTACATCAAAGAATTTATTGATTAACATTAACAATATACATTTTGGAAAACAAAGATTTGAAGACCAGCTGAATGCCTAAATTATTTATGTATGATAAAAACGAACGTGACGTCGACTTCTGGGACCCCCTCTGTATAATAATAATAAGCATGTAGAAGAACAATTTTGATTTGGTTTTGAAATTGAAATTAGGTTTTAAATTTCAGATCTACTGGGCAATTCGGATTTGGACATTCAGAAAATCAGGCAAGTCCTTAACAGCAGTAAATCTGAGAATGTTTTATCAGCCATCATAACCCCGACTGTTAGACGGCCGAAAAGGCAGTCTGAAGAGTCAGCAATCAACGAATCATCCAAGTCAATCATATATCGAGCTCAAAACAGCAACAACAAACTCTTCGCGCTGTTATACTCGTCGAAACCGCTGCTTCTGAAGAGAAATGACTCGGATGAGTTCCCGGAACTCCATCTAGGCAGGACCAATGACGATATGGTCATATATGACACTAGACTGAACGTCATGGTCATACCGATGGAAACCACTGGAAAAGTCACGTTGAGATTCACCTTTTCAAAGGTGAACGGGTATTGGTACATGTCCTCGGTGAAAGTCACAGACACAAATACCAACAAGGAGTACAATCTGACAACTGATGAGGATATAATGGCTCCCGAGTACTTTTCGTACCACTGTAATGGATACAGCGTGTTTTCCGACGGTAAGTAGAATTTCCTTGCTGTCCTGCCGTCAGCGTCAAGCCGGCAATACCGCTGCCTGCCATAGACCCCGCAAAACCTAACCTAAAACAATTATTTATATTGTCGTGTTCCATGTGTATAAACCAAACCAACATTGTTGTACAGAAGTGACCAGTCGATGGTACTTCAGGCGAAAATTTATTTGTCTGCCTCTAACATAATTTTTTTAAATATTTCCCTATGACTTTTGTTTTCAATACGAACTCAATATTTATGGAAATATTGATCGGAGTTGGAACGGTTTTTGCTATTTTCTCTGTCTTTGGTACACAAACCGAGTTTACATTGAAACAGTCCAGGGCCGTACTATTTTTTTTTCATTTGTTTACACTACCTCGACACACTGCAAATATTATTTTTACATGTTTGAACGTAATTCAAATTAATATACAAAAAGTAAGGTTTAGAATCAATTTCTGGTATGTAAATAATTATTTAAATCGGTCTGACCTATTAAATTTATAAGTTTGTGTTTGGCAAAAAATTAATTTTCATTTATGGTAAGGCATTGAACGTTGATCAAGGAATCTTTATTGTTTCAATTGTTTCCAAGGGGATATCTGATATCCAGTGTTTCCAAGGAAGCCTCAGGCCTCGAGGAAGATCTATAAAATCTAGCTAATCTATTGTAGTCGGGGTGTGGGCACTGCATTTTAATAATGTCGGGAATAAAAACACTTTACTAAACGATTAAACACAATAAACTTTATTAACCACCACAAGCGAATTAACTTGACCGGAACGGAACTTACACCCTGTTACACGAATATCCATTACGCTTTGACGTCTACTGGGGTGAACAGCTGATCAGCAAGTGACATTTTTGTGTTAGTCTGCAACGTTGGTAATAATGAATCTAGTAAAACCTGTTTGTGAAAATGAATAAAATGAATCTGGAGCGTACAAAAAACCAAAACAAAATTCGGCTCTGTCTTCCTGGCGTTCACCGATCCGTTAGGATTGTGTTCTGTGCCGATATGAGGAATTTTGAAATATTACTCTACTGTCATTCTTCTAACCTGACGACTGTCATCCGGCAAACATAAGCGCGCGAATATCAAATTTGAAATTTTTATTACTACACTATTATCTGATTCTAGGCAACGGTACGGAGTTGTTCATTTACGACATTCAGGTGCAGATCGACTCGAAAGACGGCAAATTCGGCGACGTGAACGACTGCGTTACTTTCACGACTGCGCCTATCTGGTCAGGATTGTTTGTGACGACCATTCTGGGCATCGGCCTGATTGTAGCTTTGAGCGCGATCATGGACATCAAGACCATGGACAAATTCGACAACCATAAGACGAAGAATCTAGCCATCACCATTTCAGAGTAAAGACGATATCACACTATGCGCTCTTGATGTCTCGCTTCAGTCTTATTTGGACGTGTTGCTATATCAGAATCATATCTACCTTTTATAAGAGACGGTGTCGGATGCATGCGACCACAAATACATATGCAGGGTCTCCCAACGAACATGGAAAGTAGTTTTGTGGAAAATTGGAAAAGTTAAAAATCTGTTTTCGTGGCAACACAACAAAAATAATCTCAGTCTAAGAAAATCAATTGTTAATAATTTAAAAAAAAATACTAATGAATTGCTGTCTTGGATTAGGATGAGTCTTGCTGATCTGGAAGAAGTGCTGAAATTTCATTCTATTCTTATAGGGTGTCTCAAAACGCAAAATGCACCTTTTCTCAGTAATTTCAAAAGGAACACCCTATATATTTCTACATCTCTATAGGTCGGTCTCGATAGTTTTTTGTGGTCACAGGATGTACTGGTTTTTGTTTTTGTGTGTTCAATAGTAGGAAAATGAAGGATATTGGTAGCATGTGTGTTAGGTCAATTTACAGATATCAAGTGAAATCAACTTATTTTGAGTCTAAAAAGACGTGTATACTTTTCAATTCCATTTAAATATTGCTATATTTTTAGCTGTTGTACATACCTATGCATATACACATGTTTCGCACAAATATATCGGTATTACAGCAAAGGTTGAAAGGATCTCAGCAATAATAATAAATTAGTTTACATGGATTTCGGCATAAGGGATATATCAATTTTGGTATTTAATATCCTAGTTTTGCAAAAATAATTGTACCTATAATCTTTGGCATCTGCGATCTGACACTGTCTCAGGATTTTACCAAATTGTATATTTAAGACATTCCCTGTGATGTGTATATTATTTCATGTAAAATATAACTATAAACAATAAATATTTCCTGTTATATACCGGGTGTTTCAAATTCGACCCTCGCCATTGCGATATCGGAAACGGTAAGAGATACGACGTCGCTGAAATGGCAGCAAAGTTGCGTATTTAGGTAACCAACCAAAATGAAAGTTTCGAAATTCAAGGTACTTCCGAATTTTTAAGAAATCGTTTTTATTTTTTCCCGACGTTATTTGTAGTTGTATTTCAAAGTAAATTGCACATTAACATTAGCACTTTTTTCTTCTACAAAATGGCATAGTTAGAATAGCATCTCTTCTCGACCAGCATCAATTTTATTTTTTCTAATTTATCCCATTTAGGCTTTTTGCGTAGATGAATAAAGTTTTCAATTCTTATTCCAAGAATATATGATATGTCATACATGGACATTGTTAAACCTTATTTATTAAAAAAAAAAAACAGAATTTTCTAGATAGGCCTTGGAATTATCAGAAAGTCATTTGTTTCGCATTCCAGATTTATTCAAAAATCACTTTTATTTTTCCCTGACTTCATTTGAAATGGGATAAATAAATTGCATGTTGCGAATATTATTCTCCTCTACAAGATGGCGTAGTCAAATTTTCAGTTCGACATTTCTTCTTTCGACTTCCATGACCAACTTTGTTTATTCATATTGATGCTAAATAAATCTGAAACAAACAAACAAATATTAGTTTCTACCAACAAACGTACAAACTTTTCCTCTTTACATTAGTGTAGATTTTTACTTTTTTAAATGTTGTTAGCTACGGGCAGGTACGACCCTGTCCATAATGAGCTTAGGCAACACTACATACACAGGCGCATAAGCAGTGGCCCGTTTGAAACAACATGAAAAACGATAAAAACTGTAAAAATACAATTCTTTATTGCCGACTTTCATCTATAATTATAATACAGTAACTATCATTCAATACTTGTTATGTTGAGCATATTTTAAGTAGTTATTCATAAAAACTTGATCCTGACCTACCCCACAAAAATCTCAGATTATGTACGTCAGATGGCGCGAGTACCGTTAAAAATTGAATCAATACCGCGAAATTTTTTAGTTTGCTAGGACGTAACTATGTAGCTGAATTTGTTCTTTTAAACCGATCCAAAACAGCGGAGCAAATTTGCCGGTAATCGCGAGACAGCAAACTAGTGCATTTAACCGTAATTTCGCGAGATGATGTGCGGCGAGCGCGGATCTGCACCTTATTCCTACTGCGACATTACGATATAACCTCTGTTTCTGTTTGATTTTTTGTGGAGCGCCCCCGCTCGAGCTCAAAATGCCAGAGCAGTCGAACGATTACCGAGTGGTGGTTTTCGGGGCCGGCGGCGTCGGCAAAAGTTCGCTGGTGCTCCGCTTCGTCAAAGGCACATTTCGCGAAAGCTACATCCCCACCATTGAAGACACCTATAGACAAGTAAGGGATCCGGTATCTTTTTGCTGCCGATCGCCAATGGGGCTCCGCATGATTACTTTCCCTCCTGCTTATTGCATCGTGTTGCATAATAAATGAGCTTTATTTGTTGTTTTTTTTTATTTTGACACCTGCTACTGCATCCTCCCACTTCCGATCCTTGTAAAACCAGAGGTAGATGCATCGTAGTCCTCGAACGGGGGTTAATGACTTTCCCGTTGACCCTTCATTCATGGCTTCTCGTTTCAGTTATTGACCCCATTTTACCTGCACAATATTGACACGTTTCGTGATATTTAAATGAGATCCTACACACAATTGCTACCCACCCTTTTTATATATAATCGCATTATCTCCTTGAGTAATGCTCATCAGTATATGATAGAACTGCATTTTGTTTGATATTGTAGGTAGAAGCATCCCTTTTATTGGCTTGCTCTATCTACAGGGTAGCTATGATGAGGTCACTAGGTCAACTACCTCTATTTCAACACCTCAGCTGTCTACCTGTATAGGTATTTTGATGAATCTCTCTGATAATAATAAATAATTTAATCCTACTATATTTTATTATGAATATATTCAATGTGTCCTCCGAGGGTAGCAAACCTTCTTATGACAATTTTGATCCTAAAAATACGGCAAATGTGTCGTCACTCCATTTAGTCCATGAGCAGCCACTACAGTCACGTTTGCCGTTATACAGGGTGGCGCATCGAAAACGAACCAGACGCATTTACTGGCAGCTCAGTTTTTTTTTGGAAAAACGCGCAGACCCGTCGATTTTGTTTTCGAGGTGGACACAGGTTTGGCAAAAAATCACGTTACCACGTGCAGCCCCCTGGGCGTGGGTGACACCACCCCCAAAATCTTAAATGGAAAGGGGGGTCGAATGATACCTTGTTTTAAAGGTCTTTCAATTCCCTTTATAACAATGTAAAATACATGAGCTTTAGTTCAGTAGTTTTGAAGATTTATTGTTTTAAAGCTTAAAGTAGACTTTAATAGGTACATCAGATTAGTTTGTACTACTTTCAGAAGAAATTTGACTAAAAGAATTTACTTAATAAGTAAATGCTTTTCTTCACTACGTCCATGGTTAGTTTATCATTTTGTTGTTGAAAATAGCTATTGGAGCGTTTTTTTGTGGCAAAAAGTTATTTCTTGAAGAAAGATAAGGAAATATCTCGTACTTATTTTAAATAGGAATTTAGTACATAGTTTGCGATTGGTTTGACGAAACTTTGTTGCTAAACTAACTTGTAACGCATTAACCATGGTATATTCCGCAGCAGAAATATTTTTCGGAAATAATCAGTGCGCTAATACAACAGCAGAAATATTTAATGAGCGACATGAGAACAGTAACGTGCATCGACAATATGTTCTAGAACTTGTAGCTAAATTTCGGGAAACTGGGTCAGTCGCCAATAAAAAACGCAACATTGAAAATCCCATAAGGAACAAAGCAATAGGAGTGGGAGTTTTAAGGCAAGTTTATGTAGATCCTACGTTAAGTACCCGCAAATTGGAGACTGTGTGTGGTGTTAGTCGCCGTACTGTCCAACGGATTCTAAAGGCCCATAGTTTTCATCCGTATAAAATTCACCTGGTACAAGAACTTAATGAAGACGATTTTGATCGGCGATTACAAGTTTGTGAAGATATGAGTGAACGAATTATAAACGATGAACATTGTCTATTCAACACTTGCTTTTCCGACGAATGTTCCTTTTTCTTAAATGGCGTAGTAAATCGTCATAACTGCCGATATTGGTCCGATTCTAATCCCAGAATTTGTCATGATCATTTTCCTTTTCGTTTTTTCTTATTTGGAATTACTGGACGACGCCATAGATTCTGCATTAACAGCCATAATTGAAAATCAGAATGATCGGCGATACATTGCGAATAGGTTGATGTTCCAACAGGATGGTGTCCCACCACATTACGCATTACGTGTTCGACAATATTTAGATCAGACGTTTCCAAATCGATGGATTGGTAGAATAGGTGCCGTTGAATGGCCCCCAAAGATCGCCAGATTTATGACCTTTGGATTTCTTTATGTGTGGTCATTTAAAAAGCAAAACCTATGCCTTCAAATTACTCTTCAAATATTGCAAAATGTGCGGCAATGTTTTGAGCAAAATTTTTATTATTGCATGGAGATGCCCATTTTCAACATTTACTTGCCTAACGGTTCAGTTCATTCATTTTTAAATTACTTTGCTGCGAAATGTATCTCCACTAATGATGATGTATTAGTTTTATTTAAGCTTTAAATCAATAAATCTTCAAAACTACTGAACTGAAGTAGTAAGTAATTTTATATCATTATAAAGAGAATTGAAAGACCTTTAAAATAAGGTATCATTCGACCCACTTTACAGTTAGGATTTTGGGGGTGGTGTCACCCCCGCTTAGGGGGCTGCACGTGCTAACGTGATTTTTTGCCAAACTTGTGTCCCCTGCTAGAAAACCATGCTCGAAAATTATGTAGAATGTTCACCTCCAGCGATCGGTCAAGTTTTAATAAAATGATTACTTAATTAAACAGGTGATCAGCTGTAACAAGAACATCTGCACTTTGCAAATCACCGACACGACTGGCTCCCACCAGTTCCCCGCGATGCAGCGTCTGTCCATCAGCAAAGGGCATGCGTTCATTCTGGTGTACTCAGTGTGCAGCCGGCAGAGTCTCGAGGAGCTGCGCCCCATTTTCGAGGTGATCAAAGAGATCAAGGGACCGGACATTAGTCAGATTCCGATTATGCTTACAGGGAACAAGTGCGACGAAAGCGCCGAGCTTAGAGAGGTAAGAATGGTAGGCGAGCAAGTGTTATACATTAATTGACGGCATAAGTGGATGAAGATGTTATGTACCCTTACTTAAAAAGGTGATAGACGAGGACCAGTTGACCGAGGCGGTACCACCGGCTAGCTTTTTTCATAATGACCTATAATGTCCGCATGTTTCCACACCCAAGCGATGGTAAAATTTGTTTCACGAACATCTGCGGGATTAACAGCAACAGTGATGCTGTTCATCGCTACCTGCAATCTAATCGTCCTGTGTTTTTCTTGGCAAAGACAAAAATCTCAGATTCCGCACCGATTAATCATCTTATTTTCCCAAATTACGAGGTGCGCTCCAATCTGAGAAAGAACAGGGGAGTTGTGGCTTCTGTCCGCAGTAGTCTTCCCTGCTCCAGAGATGTTTCTTTGGAATCACACCGGAATGACATTCTGTGGCTTCGCCTCAATTCCAAAACGTGCCTCAAATTTATTTGCTGCCTTCATCGCTGTCAAGATCGACCGCTCCTTTAAGGATTTTTTCGCGAGTCCACGGTGTAACACAGTGCAGTGTGCACTACCGGGAACCGACGCTCAAATTTTCGCGAAGAACGGCACGGGTATCATGTAAAAAACCTATAAAACGTCAAAATAACCTATAATATGTCAACTTGCAGACTAGGTAGTTTTTAGGGCGCAAACAGTCATTCCACCTTTGCTCACTAGGATCGTTGTGAACGTCCATCTATGGAGGAATCACTCAACTAAACTACGCATTATTGGTTGCATAGTTTTGTGAGGCTGAGTGATCCGGGTCTGTAATTTTTATCTCTGAGAAGAAAGTTGGTTGAAAAGCAAGATCGCATCTGGATGATTATGTGTATTGGTCTGCATGTATATAAAATCAGTGATATTTGCCGTGTGAGAAAATCATTACTGAATATGCCGAATATGACGTGTTATTTATATGTTGTGCTTTCTGAAGAGAGGTTATGTTCAAAGTTATAAATTACGAAAAACTGAGGAGAATTACGGGAAATCATCACCGCGCCCGAGTTGTGTGTAACTACTGTTAGCATGTATATGGCTTGTAATTCGACAGTGTACAGTGAATATAATTATTTCTTATCTCTCTCATTTTTGAAATTCAGAAAATTTTTATATGTAATTTCCAGAATGGATAAGAAAAAGTGGGTGCGCAACTAATTTCTACCTTTGAATCTCAATTAAGTGTATTTGAAGAACCCAATGTAATTATCATCAACACATACAACTTACAGCTTAGACCTCCAGTAATGCCATCTCAGAAGCAGATTTTACATCACATCAGAGCCAAAGATTGATAACAAGCCTCATGACGTTTAGGCAACACGTACAACTAAGTGCTAAGTTAACATCTTGTAAAATAACCTACGTAATGTCCTAAAAAAATCTACATTATGTCACTTTTCAAGATACCTGATACCCGTGCGGGAATAGGGGCAGACGGATGTGACGTGGTCCGAATGTCAAAAAATCACGTGGTACGGGTATCCTGGTAACGTCTGTGAGGTACTAGCGGGTGACAGGTCTGTAAATGTCATTTAAAAAACAGGCATCTCGATTGAAAATTTGTCTTCGCAGTGCTGAAAATTGAGTTACATCATTAAATCATAAATGGAGGAACACGTCCACCTGATTTCAAATGACGAGGGAGAAGGTCATCGAAGATATATGAACCGCACTTGTCATATCAAATGATTGATTTTATCGATATATGTATATGTACATTGCACAAAAATCGATCGGTCTTTTTATTTCAGATTCAAACAAGGCAGCTAAGTTTATCAAGGAGCGTTAAATCAAACATTTTGCGCAACATGCGCCATCTAGCCACTCCCGGTATAACTTGAAACTGTCAAAATTTCGAGAGGAAGGGGAAATTCTATCTGTTCCCGCTCCGGTTCACTACGGGATCTCGCGAAAAAATATCTTTTTTGTCGCTAGAGTGACGAGATTGTGAAACAATCTACAAAAGGAGGCTTTTGCTAGTTCTACTAACCTTAGACAGGTCAAAAAAAAAAACGGATTAACAAAGTTTCTTTGGGATCCTCATAGCAGCCGCAGTGCCCTGGCATTTAGGCTTCTACCTGCGTGACTGCTTTGGTGTAAAAAATGTCACATAAAAACAGTGGTTGAATATCGGTTTATAGTAGTGTAGTAGATAATAAAAGTTTCAAATTTGAAATTCGCGTGGTTATGTTTGCCGGATGACATGGTCACTGACGTTTGATCGTTGGCAGTTGACAGAGAAGGGGATGAAACTAAAATCAAATCCAAGCGAATAACCAAAATTTCTGTGTTATGTGCCGCGGTTATAATATGGTTCAAGATGACACACGGGTTGATGACGTCACTTACACGAATCGCTTGAACGCGTTGGTTTTGTTGCAAGTTGTTTATTTTAGAAAAGCGCGTATACAGGGTTACAGGAAAAGTCGTGCTAGATCCGTTAAGGGCGTGTAGTACCCATCATTTCTGACTTATTTCATTATGAAACACCCTACCATAAACTTAACCCTTTTCGAGATATTCAACTTTTAATGTTTTTATTGAAAATTGCCGATTTTTAGGCTACTAAATGTATTTATTTTTATTTTGTGTGTGTTATTATTACGTACTATTATTGCATTTTAACATGTGTAATAAGATGCTTTAGGACGTCAATCATTAAAATAGTCCATAAGTTAATTGAATAGGCTGTAGTAGATAAGTGAATGTTAAGAAATTGAAAAAAATATCAGAAAGTTTATTTTTCTCTAAGGGATATCTAAAAAAAATATTATGGCAATTGTTCGGCAGATGTGTTTTAAAATATCTATGTTTTATCAGCTATCTAACGAGGTATAACAATCTAGGATTTTATTTAAATGCATTGAAAAAACTTAGTTTCATAGGCGACAGTGGAGAAGAAAATTGATACTTAGCCCTAAAAAGTAAAATAAAACAATAGGTAAGCATGAAATATCATTTATTAAATCAGGTTTTCACACAACTTTTTCTTACTCTACAGTTCATGTTCAACATGGCTGCTTCTGTTTCTAATACATTGTCGCATCCTTCTACGGAGACCAGTCTTTACAACTGCAGTGGTCAACGTTGTCCTTAGTTGATTTGCTGCATCGACAATCCTTTCTCTTAATTCTTCCACAGACGAAACTGGATTTGGCTCGCTGTAGACAAGACTTTTCATGCACCCCCACACATGAAAATCCATGGGGGTTAGGTCCGGACTTCTTGCTGGCCATGGCAACGGCCCACCTCGTCCTATCCATTTGTTTGGATAATTTGTGTCCAGCCAGTCTCTGACACTTCTCCTGAAATGGGCAGGGCAGTCATCATGTTGGAACCACATGTCCCTTCTCAAGTTGAGTGGCAGATCATCCAGCAAATCTCTGAAGTCTCCTCTCAAGAAGTTTTCGTAATTTTCCCCATTTAGATTGTCCGGGAGAAAGTAAGGTCCAATCAAATGGTTGGAGATAATGCCCATCCACACATTCACGCTGAATCTTCGTTGGGACCTCGCCACTCTTTTCTTATTGGGATTCCTTAGTACTTTTGGGGCCCAGTAATGGGCGTTGTGATAGTTAGTTATGCCATCGTTATCAAATTTGGATTCATCTGTCCATAAGATATTTCTTAGAAAATCTGGGTCTTCTACGTCAGCATTTAGCATAAATCTGCTGAAGTCCAACCTTCTCGCGGGGTCTCCTTCTTCAATAGTGTGTACCGGCGTGTAATGGTACGGGTATAGGCCAGCAGTATGCACTGTAAACCACACTCTCCATTGCGAAAGTCCCAGATCACGGGCAACACGATTAGTGGAAATGGTCGGATCCGCTCGAAAGCGTTGCACTATCTCATTGTCCTGCAGTTCTTCGTTGTCATAAATTCGTGGTCTTCCCAGGTCTGTATTTCGTCTCAAAACAGAGCCAGTTTCTCGAAGTCTTAGATAAACTCTGTTAAAAACGGCCACATCCGGCACTCGACGACCGGGGAAGCGAGTTCTGTATTCGTTGCGAGCTTGCGCAGATACACAATCGCAGTATCCGTAACAAATAAGCATATCAGCATATTCCTCAGGTGTGTAGGACGTCATCTTCAACACTTCCGTATCACAAGTACAAATCAGAGTCCAGTGAACAAGCACAGTATTCACAAATCAGAAGAAATAGTCCAGAATCGTAGCCAAGTCGAGGAAAAGAGCAAAACGATATCACATCTACTATGTACGAAGCACAAAAGCAGACTGACAACCAAAACAACATCCCATGTTGGATTTCCAGCCCTAACCGGTTATTATAATATGTTTTCTTTCATTCGCACCCACATTAAATCGTCATGTCTCGCTCGCACGGTGCGTCTAAACTTGAAGGAGAATAGGCGTGGGAACTGCTACTGGAGCGTCCCAACTACTTTTTTTCTACGAAATGTAATACAAATCCTAGATTGTTATACCTCGTTAGATAGCTGATAAAACATAGATATTTTAAAACACATCTGCCGAACAATTGACATAATATTTTTTTTAGATATCCCTTCGAGAAAAATAAACTTTCTGATATTTTTTTCAATTTCTTAACATTCACTTATCTACTACGGCCTATTCAATTAACTTATGGACTATTTTAATGATTGACGTCCTAAAGCATCTTATTACACATGTTAAAATGCAATAATAGTAATAATAACACACACAAAATAAAAATAAATACATTTAGTAGCCTAAAAATCGGCAATTTTCAATAAAAACATTAAAAGTTGAATATCTCGAAAAGGGTTAAGTTTAGGGTAGGGTGTTTCATAATGAAATAAGTCAGAAATGATGGGTACTACACGCCCTTAACGGATCTAGCACGACTTTTCCTGTAACCCTGTATAATCTCTGATTATTTTTATTATCACTTAATAATCGGTGCTTTTTCGTCTACAACTGTATATGGAAAGTTTAAATAAGAAACCTTTCATAATATTAATATAACTTTCAATTCTCTAAATTTTTCCGCATGTTAAAGAAAACATTTATTGATTCAGCAGAATTGATGAAAAAAGAAATTAGCAAAACCGTATACAGGTGGATATCATCTAGTGAGTTTATATGGTCATATTTTAATATTCTTGTGGTATATGGCTACACAGGATACTTTGTTAAGCATAGGAACTACATTTAAAGTGTCCCCAACAACCGTACTGAGTATAACTAATAAGGTGCTCCACTTTATGGTAAAACTGAAGTCAGCCTATATCATTTTTCTCAAAAATGAAGCTGAAGTACAATAACAATATACAATACCCGGCAAAATTCTAACTTGTCACATTTCAAATAATAACCAGAAATATAAAACTACTCCCGAGTTGGGTAAATACCACAATTTTGCGGTGATAACTATGACATATAACAGCTGATTCGTGACGTCACGGATCTTATAACCAAACTGATAACTACACTCGCTTGAACGGATTGGTAAATACCAACCCAAAATGGTAAATACCATTTCCGTTTGGTTATCCGCTTGAATTTGATTTAAGTTCCAGTGAACATGGTGGTTTAATAAAGTTTATATGTTTAATCGTGTAGTAAAGTGTTTTTATTGGTGACTTTATTAAAATACAGTGCCTACTGGCCCGACTATAGTAGTATTAAAAATATTATTATGTACTTGTGCAGGTGAGCACCTCAGAGGGACAAGCGCAAGCTGCAGAATGGGGAGTCAGTTTCATGGAAACCTCGGCGAAGACCAACCACAACGTAAAACAGCTGTTCCAGGAACTGCTGAATCTGGAGAAATCCAGGAACGTCAGTCTGCAAGTTGGCGGGAAAGCCAACAGCAGGGTGGCCAAAGACAAATGTGATCTCATGTAAGGTGTTGGAGGTATCGTGGTGTTTGTTCGTATTTGGCTCGGGAGGAATCGCGTTTTATCGAATCGTTATTGAAATTAAAAAAGTTATCGAAACATACTTTGTGATGTATGGAAAAACGATAGAGGTACGGATGATTACGAAATAGTAAATTTTGATTTTTTAATAGCCATGTTCATGTTTTACTAAATGCAGTCAGCGTTTTGAGTTACCTAGTAGACATCATTTTAAAGGTAAAATGTGAAATAAATAATTACTAGCCTTATAATTTGGTAAATACAAATGTTTTCAATGAAATAAAGGTACTGTTGCGTCTTGTAGAACTTCGAATTTCACTGTTTTTTACTTGAAACATATGGAGGGTAGTCTGATAGATTATTTTAAATCATAAAAAGTGCGGATGAAGCACGCTTTTCATGAAATTTTTTTCCCAAAACACTATTTTTATCGATTATTTCCCCCATTATTTCCACCGCCATCTACCATATAACGTTGACGTCTGTGGATATGTCATATATGATAGGCGCTTGCCTGCGGTGTTGCCGGATTGGGCTCCGTATTTAGGAAAAAATATGAAAAGTGGAATATTTACATACGTTTGTATTATATAATGAAACAAAAACAAAAAACTGAAACAAACTACAGTAATAAAATTAAAAGTGATTCTTACTAAGTATAAAACAAAAAATAACAAACAGCAGTAAAATAAAAAGCAATTCTAAGTGATTATGAAAAACAAAAAATAACAAACAGTAAAATGAAGAGCAATTTGGATGGAATGAAATTGTTCTTCGTTTTGCTACTGTTTTTACTTTTTGTCACTTAGATTTTCTTTTTTATTCAACATGGATTTTTTTGTTTTACTACTGTTTTTATTTTTTGTTTTTTATAATCACTTACAATTGCTTTTTATTTTACTGCTGTTTGTTATTTTTTTTATAATTACATAGAATTAGTTTTTGTCTTACTACTGTTTTTATTTTTTGTTTTTTTTAATTATTTATAATTTATCATTTTTTAGCTTACTACTGTTTTTTTTTCACTTATACTTATCAGGAATCGCCTTTTACTTTGCTACTGTTGTTTGTTTCGGTTTTTCGTTTTTGTGATTCATTAATATATGTATATAAATTTTCCACTTTTCATATTTTTCCCTAAATGCGGATCCCAATCCGGCAACACCGCAGGCAAGCGCCTCTCATATATGACATATGCACAGACGTTTACGTCATATGGCAGATAGATGGCGGTAGAAATAATGATGGAAAGAACAGCTAAAAATGCAGTGTTTTGGGAAAAGCGAACTTTATTCACACTCATTTTGTTTCTAAATAATCTATCGGACTACCCTCTGAAAGTTTTAAGAGAAAAAATAGGGAAATCAAAAGTTCTACAAGACGCAACAGCACCGACATAATTTTATACTCGTACCATTAATGTATATATTGAAAATCAGTTAAGACTCCACAGCCTCACATAACCTCAAATGCACTATCGGCGCGCGGGTAGGAAATTCTAGAATAAAAAGACAGCTACTACGCGTGGGAACGCTTATGTGTAAGCATGAGGAGCAAACGTGGCCAGGCAAGACAACTGTTGAAATATACTCTACCATGCCCAATAAGCGAAATTTTGGCCGTAATCGTCGCACAACTCTAATTACATATTTTCTTCCTTGATTTACAGTATAGCTAAACATTTGCACATCCCACACTAATCTCAAAAAAGGCGTAGTGTATCGTACTTTTTGTCAACAATATCATTTATCATGTCAAAGAAACAAAAAAAACTGCATATTTCGAGATGATGTACCTCAATCGTTTCAACAGATTTTTTAATAATAAAAATTCCATAAAACCCAACTCGAACCTTTGACTCTACCAGAAATGTCTTTGTTGTTCGGGGCGGATGAGAAGGAAACATTTAATCTCACATTTTCGGTTTATGCTAAAAATGATTTGTTCATCTTCAGTGGGCATCTTTTAAGGTTATCTTAACATAAGAACAGTGTTGCCAGAAGTAGCGCGGAATTCCGCTACTGGTGGCTAGATGGTAGCAGGTGGTAAGAACACAACCTGTGAAGTGTATTTCCAAAGTAAATATGTCTAATAATTTTAGCATTTGCCACATGGTAATGCAGATGTCGAGTGGACATTGTCATATATGGAGATGATCAAAACAAAGAAAAGGAATCGTATTTTACCTTCAACTTTGTTCGCGATACTTATCAAACTGGATACAATACAAAAAAATTTTGCTGCTTAGACTTTGAGTTTGGCCTTTAGTCATATGTTTTTTATTTTTTAGTGTCCTGTAATATTTTTTTAATATGACTGCATGATAAATGTTCTGTTGTTTGACAGTTATTTGTAATATTGTATTGGTTTTTATAGTCAAATGTTTTTTATTACAGTTTTATATTACATAGTCGTGCCATAAGTTCTGTCCCATGATAATCTCATGATAAAAATGAAACAAGATAAGATATATTTATATGAAAGATATTATTTATTCGACAACATTTTTAGAATTCATAATCAAACAGTTTTATTCAAAATGTCCCCCCTTGGCCTTCACACACTGCTTCAATCTCGCGGGCCACTCATCTATCACTGCACGCACAGCTTAAAAAGGAATAGCTGCCGCTGATCGGATCAAATCCGCTTTCAGGGACTCGATATTACGGTGGGCTTTGGAGCAGGCCAACTGCTCTAGCAGGTCCCACAACTTGTAGTCTAAAGGATTGAGGTCCGGACTCCCTGAGGGCCAATCTTCCGCAGCAATGAACTCTGGCACATTGCTTTCCAGCCAGCGCTGCGTACTCTTAGCCTTGTGAGCGGGGGCGGAATCCTGCTGGTAGACCCAGTGTTGGTTGGCAAACAATGTACCACTTAAAGGCTTGACGATAGGATCCAGTATGTCGCTCTGATAGTTTGCCGCTTTTGTTTTCACGCCCTGTTTACAGAAATGGAGCTGAGTGACCCCTTCGTAGGACACCCCCCACCAAACCATGACTGACGCAGGGTGGTGGCCTCTCTCAACTCTCGGAATGATCTCCGAAGCTTCCTGTGAACTCCTTCCATACACTTTGTCATTTTGTCGGTTGAATTTTTCTTCTATGGTGAAGATTTTCTCATCCGTGAACAAAATCTTTCGGAATCCCCCAGCTGCGTACCTCTCCAAGAGCTTCTTGGATCTTGTCGCCCTGATGTGTCGCAAGGTGGCCGTAAGTCGCTGGCCCGTACGTCTCCGGTAAGCCCCTAGCCCTAGGTCTTGTTTAATGATGCGCGACATCGTCCGGACAGGAATCTTCATTTCCCTGGATAGGATCTTCTGCTTCCGGAGTGGATTCCTTTGAATCCTGGCTTTTACGGCTTTGATGGCTGCTGGAGTCCTTACTTGACGAGGTCTTCCGCTTCTTGGCCTGTCATCAACAGAGGACGTCTCATTGTACCGCTGAATGGTCCTAGACACAAATTTACGCGATATTTGAAGGCCGCGTAAGAGTTCAAAAATCTGACTAGCACTGTGATTACACTTATGTAAAGCTATCACTGCAATACGGTTCTCTGCCTTGCCCCACTCCATCGTTATGCTTCGAGAGATCAATACAAACTGAGGTATATGTAATTACCCGAAAAGCGCTTAATCAACTGACACCACAATGTAAACAATCGGACAAGTATTAACAGGTCTACACTTGTTTGAAAACGAGGGACAGAACTTATGGCATGACTACGTATATTTTATCACGCTGTTTAGTTTTTGTTTTCCTTTTTTGACACAACCTGTATAATAAATGCCCCCCACCCCACCCCAACGATAATTCCCGGGGTAGCGGAAAGTAGCGGAGTTTTTCGATACCAGTAACGGAATTTTCAATGTTGGCTCTGGCAACACTGCAAAAGAATTAAAATTGACGTTGACCCACTTTATTTGAGATTAGATGTTTTCTCCCTCTTCTAGTCTGGTGTTACTTGATGCCGGACGTTGGAATCTTCACAATGCAATAATTTTTTGGACGATTATAGTTTGTTCCGTAACCCTGTTACTTACATATATTGTGTGATAAATTATAATGTAAACAACTAGCTAGAGTGCGAACGACGCATCTGTTGGAAAATATTTCACTTGAAAAAGTTCCAATCGGTGTCAACAAAGTTTTCGGTTATCCTCGATTTATGAATGCTATTTTCACTTGTTTATTATTGAGTTCTCACACTGATATACAGGGTGTTAAGTATGTACCATAATTTAACATATAGTCGTTTCAAGACAAAAAGTCCATATAAACATAAGCCTGCAAATTCTTCGTTCTCAAGATACACGGTGTTAAAATTAAAAAAAATGGTTTTTCGTAAATTTCTTAGAGAGAATTTGCGGACCTATACATTTATTTTAATTTCGGTGTTTTTCTTAAATGTAAACTCGCAATGAATATGAATGCAGCAATATGTTCACTATCGATGAAGTAGAGTATGATACGAAAATGAGTTACGATTCCTATAAAAACTAAGCGGGCAACATAATGGAAATACATCAAAATGTATTCGCAGTTTATTCAAATGAACGAAACCTGGCTAAACGGAAATTTTTGGAACGGTTTAAATGCTTCTATAATTATAGTTTCCTTTAGTTTGAAGCCAGATGTGCGCTAATTAATTTTTTACGTATTGCTAAACAGTAAGTTATATGTCTGTATACATCGATTGTGAACAAAATTGCAAAACCATTCGAAGACTTACACTGCGTTAAATATTGATCAAAGGGTTCTACCTGAAGCGCACCTACTGCTATTTCAGATTTTCGAGATAAAATGAAACTCGTAGCGTCATCTATGAGAATGTCTCACAGTTGTATAGGATACGACGATGATGATAGCTGAATGGTAAAACGATAAACTTGAAAACAACAAACTCACCTTAGATGAAATCGAGCAATAATTAACGAATCCGGCTCCAGCGTTACAGCTCTATGAGTGAAATTTGGAACACATATATATATTTTGCTATACGTTCTAATATTCGACTGTTACGAAAAACTGTAAAGGGTTCGAGAAGGGTGAAAACTACCCCCTACAGCACATTTTTTTTTGAAAACTTTGTTTTTTTAATTAACAGATTTTTTTTATTTACTTCATTTTTTGTCTCCTATCAAAAGAGACCTTCTCTGATAGTTTTCGAGAAAAAAAAAATATGAGTTGCATCAAGAGGTTTCCAAGTGTCTCATTAATTCTTAATCGTAGCCCTTACTGCCTTTATAGCCTCCTTGATTTTCATTGTCTTTTCTCTCTGCCAGAAAGGCTGGGGTATTTCTAGCTTTCCACTGTTCCATGTCATCGGCAGCATTCTATTAAGCTTT